GTGAGTTCGTTGGCGGGCGTAGGCTGTTGATGGGTCGGGGCGGAGGGACAAGGTCAAGAAGCAGGAGGCCAGGAAGAGGAGGGCGAAGAGACCGAGTACTTTTGGCGATGAGGCGCTTATCTTCGACATCGCTTGAGCATTTGTTGACCAAAACGGCAAAACGAGATTGACGAGGAGGAAGATAGGAAGTAGGGTCGGCTTTGGGAGGGATCGTTGAATCGCGAAGTGTGGCTAGTCGTGGAAGCAAGGGTTAATCTTGCGTCTCGGCGCCTCCCTGTTCAAAGCGAGGAGCGTCGTGTGGAAAAGACTTTCTGAGAAGGAGAATATTGAGCAATCTGATAAATCGTAAGACGTAAATTGAAGAAATACTGTACAACGCTAGTCACAATCCTTTGAGCGCCCATGCAGGTATACTTGAAGACGATGCTTCACCCAAAACATTCATCCCCCTTTAAACGCCGGAGAAATCCCTTCCCAATGCTGTTGTTACATAGAGTATAGGTGAGTAGTAGTGATGATGATTACACGAGTTGGCCCGCGAGTCCAATGAACAGAGCTTGTGCCGCTAATTGAATGGTCCAGAGACCAACCTTTTTCAACCGTCGAGTGCGGGCTCCATCGTCAACAATGTCTCGGGCGAAGGCTTCGTATGTNNCTGTACAGTGTTAGCTCCAGTCAGATACAGAACTCAAGAACCTGCTTACCTCTTTCGATAGATCGTCTAGCAGCCCACTGTCGAACACGGTCCAGCTTCCATCAAACTCACTGACTCGTTTGACCACGCGACAGTTGATAGGAATGAACGTCCGCTTCGAGTTGATATATGCCACAATGGGACGGATGAGCGCGTTGTTGACATATGACAAATCCCTGGTGAAGATGGGGACAGCAGCTCGGACATCGTTCAGGTGTACGCGAAGATCCATCACGATGAATCGTTTGTCTTCCTCATTCTCGTCCGAGACTTCCTGCTCGTCATGGTGATCACTAGTATCGTGTTGATGAGTGGTATGGAGATAGTTGTGCGCAACGGTGGCCTCCATACGATCATAGAAATCAGACATGACCTTTGCGATTGAGCCGTCTTGGTCTGCTGGGAACATGATGTCGGCAACAATGTCAACGTTTCCCTCATGGATCCATGAGAAGGGGCCTTCGACACCTCTGTTCAGATGATCAATATTCAAGCCATCGATACGAAGACGACTGTGCTTTTTCCAAGCAGAATGATCGCCATCTTCCTCGTTGATGCTCAGACCAGTGTGACTATGTGTTTGACGGGGATGGATAGTGAACAGAGAGTCGTCAAAAGAGCCGGAGATCATGTTTGCAGACATCAAGTCATAGAACAGCCATTGTTTGCGGAAGCGAGGAAGATCGCATGAGAAGATGGACACTGAGAACGGACGAAAGTCGTTTGGTTGGTAGACGGTAAGAAGGACATCCGACACCTTGAAAGAGTCAATCTCAAAGTCTCCGGTCGTGTGTTCATGCCGGTAGGATTTGGGGTCGATTGTCGGGTCACCAGGCAATATTGAGGTTCGATCAACTACTCCTCGTACGCCCTTGATTTCGACATCCCTCAGTAGTCCCTTGCCGTTGAACCACTTGGTAAAAGATAGAGTGACGTTGACGGTGTCTATTGAGACCTCATACTGTGTGTAGTTGGTGTCCTCATCTTGCTGTTCCTTGCGCTCGGGCTTGCCAGCGGAAGCTGCTGCTGCGGCGGCGGCAGCGGCACTTGCGGAAGAGCCTTTTGTGACGTTTGAGCTTCCCTGACCTGGACGTCTAGACACGAAGACGTTCTTGAAAGAGATGACACCGTCGTTCCAGCGCGGCACAATAGCAGACTCGAAGACGACCTTGACGCCAGAGGACTGAGTGAGGTAGTTTCCGACCCAGCCAGCAAGAGTCTCCTGAGCGAAAACGGTGTTCATGAAAAAGATGGCGAGCGAGACAAAGGTGGTGGTGCCGAGCACGATCCAGAGGATGTGGCCAAAGACGATCCACGACACAAAGGCGCTAATGTCATCGGTGTTGAATGGACGGGCGCTTCGGATAGAGAACCACTTGAAGCGAATGCCGAGTCTCTGCCAGAAACTCGTGGCTGCAGCTAAGAGCTCGTCCTTTGTTGGGCGGTGCAAGTGCGGCAGGCGGTCCATGAGATGGTAGTGATGCTGTGTCTGATTTGAGGGGCGGGCATCTTCGGGTTTTGCGGGCGAAGGCTGTTCGTGGGTCTTGTCTTGGTTGCTCGTACTCTTCCCGGGGCCAGGGTGGGCATTGTCGCTTTTTGATCTATAGGTGGATGTATGGAACGAGTCCTCTAGGTGTCGATGCCGTAGGGTCGAGGGAAAGTGATTGTTACGTGACGTGTGTGAATGTCGCTTGAGGGCGTGCGCGCACTCTCGAGCAATGTTGCGCGGTGCTGCTGCATGTCGAAGCGAAGGAATAGTGTGGCCGAGGCCGATCTGGTGTCTCGTCTCGAGCGACGTGCTATAGCATCGCGTTAACGGAAGAGCAGAGGCTCCAGCAACGCGCCATAGCGGGCTCGCGCTGAAAGTCGTCGTCGAGGCGGCGCTCGACCGTGCTGTGAAGATGGCAGCAAAGGCATTGCGAGCTACATAGTGACCCATCGTCCAGTCTCTGCTACCGACTCAGCATTGTTGAAAGTGCCTCGACTGATCTCGAGAGCAACGGCACATCCGCTCGTCAAAAATCGTCATAGAAAATCTGCCTTGGCACTCATGCATGTGAAAGTGCACGGCTCATATTTCCTTTGGCCATTGTTTATCACCATTCTTCTTTTGAGCAGTCACTCGTGTAGTACAGATATTTTTGGAGTAGTCTGGCATCGTCTAAGACCAAGTAGTTGGTGTTCATGACCATATGTTGAAACCAGCTTACCACTCTCAAATACTAAAAGGGTCAAGAGAGTGGGATCATTCGTACCGGTTGTTGCTCAAAAAAATCTACAAACACAGCGCATTGTCACGAATCAAGGCGCACACGATTTGAAGCCTCAAGAAGAGTGTCAGTGGATAGACCTAGTCTTTAGCTCCATCTTTCGCTTTTGAATCTGTATCCTACAGTGCGTGGTGTTGAGTAGCTGCCAGTTGGGACTGTGGACAGGGTGAGACTGGCAGCAATGTCTACAGCTTACTAAGCCCGTGAGCACAGGCCAGCTTCAGTTTCTCACCTAAATCTCTTTCGCGTCTCTCGACTCTTCTCTTTCTCCTTCATGAACAACGCAAAGCGCGAAAAGCGCATAACACTGACGTTAAAAGCATTTTCGATTTGAGACGCCTCTTCGTGATGGCTCCATGAAAACGAAAACCGTCTGTTCAGTGGAGAATAGAGTAGTATAGGGTTATGGGTGACGTTCTCTCCTGCCTTTGGGCCCATGGAGGGGAGGTCAATGACCTTTCGCACATCCTTCTTAGGAATTTTATATCTTTAGATTTGAGGTCTTTCGTGTCTCGCGGCGCGCAGGGCATACTCGTTTGCTGAGAGTTCCAAAGTCATATTCCGGGCCTTGAGCATCATGCGGGCTCGCTCATGCTCAGTCACAGCCGTTGAAGCTGTGAGCAGTCACCATGGCCCACGAACTTGTACATGATGTCTATCGCACGTCGGCCAGAGCTCGATGATCGTCGAAGCATGTTCACAAAAGTGATAAAAACCTCTCCGGACGTTCATCAGCATTGTTGTGAACAGTTCAAGATGGCTCTCCGGTCTCGGAACGGGCTCTTGATATACAAGTATGGTCACAGTCGGAGCCGCGAGACCCAATCGCATCTTGAATGTTCAGCTACGGCCGCACTTTGACCAAGGATTTTGTACGTATCGCTGCCACTGAACGCACGAAGATGAGAATTTACTGCTCATCAGTGGGTGAGGGCATACCTAATCCTTGTAGACTTTTTCCGCGAGGACTTGACCCAGATTCGAAGACGTTTCAGACACCAACGGTCACGGCTCCCAGCTTTGAATTCCNNGAGGCGAGTGCAGGCAAACAGCGGGCTCTCACATCTCGGCCTCAACCGAACAGCTTTCTTCGTGGACAAAACTTTGTGTACGAAAGTCAACTTGAAGNNAGCCTGCCCTGCTTTGGTGTCTTCTTCGAGGTCCTTATATCATAGCGTCCGAAGNGATCCTCACTCTCGGCTGCATTGCCCTATACCGACCTCTCCGCGGATCTGTGCCCTACCGCGTCGACGGGTTATTGGTTGTCTGGACTCAAAANNCACTCGGTCCTGCCTGTGAGCTTTGAACGACAATCTCTCAATCGCCATGTGAATCTTCTTGCTGGATTTGGGTGTCCCGTCGATCTGGGATCTGGGGTTCTGCGCATAGGTTTTGCCTCTCGTCGTGGGTTCCTCCCCGCATACTCCTTCAATTCAGGCCTTGTGGACAACCTGGTATCACTGTCGTTTGAAACATCATTCGAATCTACTTGACTCCTGCGCACCCTTCAAACAATCATAATGATATGGACCACCGATCAGTATTGATGTCAAAGAAATATTGTTGAACGTGGCCACCACGAGGTATCGTTGACGTGGGTGGTGTTCGCAAACAGCCATGCCTACCGACCTCCGAACGGTGTTGCCCCCGGTCCGAATACCGTATCTGTTTTACTTCTGGTTATCTACACAGCCGATGTTTCAGCCCTGCGGTGCGCAAGTCCAGCCCGGAATGGGCACGACCGTGTCCTGCATACACGCAGGGCAGGGCATACATGTAGGGGCATGACTTGGGAGACTTCATACACCCCAACGCTTTTGTCGAACTCTGTGCTCCTCTTCCTCGTACGCAAGTAGATCTACAAGTATCATTGGACCTAGCGCTTCACCATCTTTATGTTTTCAGCCTGAGCCGCAGGCGAGAGAGATCGTTCTCTTGGCTCAAGAAGATCATCAAACGTTATGTACATATTCTGATACTACCCCAGCTACGAGGTTTCTACTTCGGTTTTTTCTTTGTCAATTGAATCTAGCACAATGAAGACTTTCTTATCGGACAGTTTCGAGTTGCAGGAAGTGACTCGGGATGATCTAACCATCGCATCGCTATGCTGGNNGGGTACGAAGGATTCGTGTAGCAGCTTGACAAGGGATCAGAACTGACTCAATGACAGCTTCACACTCGGATTTGGTTTCTTGACAGTATGGAAAGCCATGAAGCAATCCACGGCCATGTACAAGCGATATGGCCTTGGTAGGCTGAGCAATGCGTACGTGTGGATGATTTGGGCCGAGATCACCGTCTGCCTTGCCTTCAGTATTGCTTGTTGGCTATATCTTAGAGGCATTATTGCTCCCAGGTATGAAGCCAATCATGAAAAGTTGTTCTATCCTCCCACTGACTCGTTGCTNAGTTTCGCTTTCTACTTTAGCATCTTAACGTTATGGGCTCTGCAAGTTCAGTTCCTGCTCCAGATTATCATCAATCGTGTTGGCGTGCTTATGCTGGACCGCAAGAGGGCAAGAAATCTCAAATTTGGTATCGCTATCCTTATCACGCTCATCAACATATCTGTGTATTGCATCTGGGTAAGGATTAGAGTCAGATTCTGACAGAGAACCAATTTGACACTTTGACAGGTTCCGGCAAGACTGCAGACCAGCGAGACGTATATCAAGATCAACGATGTATGGGACCGATGCGAGAAGATTGTCTACCTTATCGTGGACGCTGCACTTAACTACCTGTTCGTGCGCGTTGTTCGCCGTAATCTTGTCAAGCCTGGCCTGAAGAAGTACGAGAGTTTGGTCAGATTTAACCTGTACATCATCGGTTTCTCTTTGGCAATGGATATTCTCATCATCGCTATGATGTCTTTGAAGAACTCTTTCGTATACAGTAAGTTATCCAGCGTCAAAGTACAACAGAGCCATAGAGCCACAGAGACTAACATCGATGTAGTGCAGTTTCATCCGCTTGCATATGTAAGCCCTCCCTTTCGACTTCTGCTTCTTACCAAGCTTTCTTCATTGTATGACACTAACATCCTTCCTTAGATTGTGAAGCTCAACATCGAGATGACAATGTCGGAACTCATTTCCAAGGTTGCACGAGCTCAGAATAACCCACATGGTGCTGTTATGCCGAGCACCAGCACTGGAGGTCACTCGGGAGGACGATCCCGCACGACCAGAACGGTGGATGACAAGACTCTGACCCAGTCAAAGATTCATGCTTTCACCGGCCGTTCGGAAGATATGGAGATGGGCATACTCAAGAACACAGGCCCACCACACAACAACAATCTCCACACGCAGATTGAAGCAGATAACTCTTCGACTGATGGCTCTGACCGTGATGATGAGTCGATCAACAAGGCAACAGGGTTCGTGGTCCGAAGAAAGCAAGAATTTCATGTTCGAGTAGAGCAGGCAGCACCGTCACCGAATGCCGATCTAGACAGACGATTGGAAGACGGAGGCATCGAATCGTCAAGCGAAGGAATGGACCAGAAGAAGTCACAACAATGGTCTTCGTATTAGGACCACAGCACCATCAGGTTTTTAGGATAGGAACTTACCAGGCCACTCCCGAGCAAACAAGCACACGTCTTTCCTTTGTCAAATTCGCAATATACCCCTTGGAGGACATAGAGAAGTACATACATACATTCACAATTTATTGGAAGGCAAAGAGCTGTTCAAAAATTCATACCGAGTTAGCAAACAGGGTAGCTGTTTCTAAAAGATCTGGCGCTAAACATTTCCAATCTTGGTTGCTCCAGATTCTTGGAGGATCTCGACATACCGAGGCGTTTGTTAAATGGCTGAACTCCGGTTCCTTCGAGATAAACTGGGTTATGTGGCTTGTCACTGGCTGAAGATCTGCTGCACAACGGCACAAGTGTCTGGGGATAAACTCTCACGGACTCGATGTCGTGATTTTAGGAAGCGGGTGGATGAGGATGGAATTGGCCGCCAATGTGCCAGTTTGCCAAAAGTTTGGAGAGCAACCACAGCGTCAAGACATACCACCAGTTCATCCGACCTCCCCACAAACCCTTCCCCTCGAATTTGTACCCCTCACAAGGCGGCATCATGCCTATCATTGATACTGGCAAAGATCTGTCGGCTCTCTTCTCGAAACAAGTGAAAGAGACGCCTGATGCCATTGCTCTTGAGGACGAGTCAAACACATACTCGTACGCCGAGCTCGACCAAATCGTTGAGGCTCTCTCTCAACGTCTCCGCAACTACGGCGTCAGTCGCGACACACTTGTTGGTGTGCTACTTCCTCGCAGTGCCGACTATGTAATTGCCTGTTTGGCTTCACTTCGTGCTGGAGGAGCGTTCCTCGTTCTCGAACTCGCATACCCTCCGGATCTTTTGGCCGACGTCATTGACGACGCTAAACCGGCTGTCGTTATAACCCACAGATCTGAGGTCGGCAAGATCCAGGAAGGCGTCCCAGTCCTCACCCTTGACGAAGAAGCACAAGAAGTCAATGGCGATCAAAAAGAGCCAGCACCTCTACCCGCTGATGATGACCTCGAGCGCCTTGCTTTTGTTGCTTACTCGTCTGGTACCACCGGAAAGCCCAAGGGTATCGCCAATCCCCACAGGGCACCTGTACTATCATACGACTTGAGATTTGCTGTCTCGGATCAGCAGCCTGGCGACCGCGTCGCGTGCAATGTCTTCTTCATCTGGGAAATCCTGCGTCCTCTACTGCGTGGAGCCACTGTCGTTGCCGTTCCTGATGAGGTCAGCTACGACCCTTCCGCCCTTGTTGAATTGCTCGCGGCCAAGAAAATCACCGAGACTTTAATGACTCCCACTCTCCTGGCTACTGTCCTGTCTCGTCACTCTGATATCGCTCAACGTCTCCCTGACCTACGAGTTCTGTGGCTCAATGGCGAAGTCGTGACTACCGATCTTGCTCGTAATGCTCTAAAAGCCCTGCCCAAAGTGCGCCTACTCAACTGCTACAGTGCGTGTGAAACGCATGAGATTGCCTGCGGTAATATTGGAGAGATGCTCGAACATCTAGACGAGGCCGCCCTCTACTGTCCGGTTGGCCCATCGCTTGACCCTAAGCACACCTACATCGTAGATGAAGCTGGCAACAGAGTTGAGGATGGTGTTAGTGGAGAGCTCTTCTTTGGTGGAGACCTTTTGGCACGTGGCTACCTAAATCTACCCGAGACTACCGCTAAAGCGTTCCTGAGAGACGATTACGACTCGACCGAGGGTGCTCTTATGTACAGAACCGGAGATCTGGCACGCCTGCTTCCTTCTGGCCTTCTCGAGATTACTGGCCGTGTTGGATCCATGATCAAGCTGCGTGGCTACTCTGTTGTTCCGGCTAAGGTTGAGAAGTCTATTGTCACTCATCTCGCTGTCAGCCAGTGTGCAGTCGTTGCTCACGGAGAGGGTCTTGACAGACAGTTAGTGGCCTACATTGTGCGCGACAAGAACGAGACCAAGGACCGCAAGTTTCCCGAGATCTTAGAATCGGGACACAGCCCTGAAGCTCGCAAGGCACTTTCTGAGGCTTTGGCACAGTACATGCTTCCCTCATTGTGGGTTGTGCTTGAAGAATTGCCTCTGCACGAAGTTTCCGGAAAGGTCGATATGAAGAAGCTGCCGGAGCCCGTCACTACTCCTCCGAATGGCGCCAACGGAACCAAGGCTGCTCAAGCACAGGACCCGATAGGCGTCAATGATGTGGCTGAGGTCTGGGCTGCCACCTTGAACATGCCTCGAAGCATTATCTCTTCCTCGAGCAACTTCTTCGACCTTGGTGGTCACTCCCTTTCGCTCGCAAACCTGGCTGCAAAACTTTCAAAGGCTTTCGGTTTCCGCGTTCCCGTCGCCCGTCTTGCAGACCCTCCCACTCTTGCTGGCCATGTTGAGACTGTTCGCGGCGTCAGAGATGGACATGCTGCTGCAGTGCAAGCAGATCTGCCTGCCGTGCTGCGCAAGGACTCCACCCTTGACAACGATATTCAGGCCAATGGAGCCAAGTTCTGCCCTTTGAACAAAGCAAACACTGTACTTTTGACTGGTGCGACTGGTTTCTTGGGTGCTTTCCTTCTCAACGATCTTCTGGAGAACACATCCGCCCAGATCGTCTGTCTGGTTCGTTTCAACAACCCCGAAGGTAGCGATTACTCTGCTGGTATCGCAAGATTGAGAAGGCATCTTCTCGATCTGGGCTTATGGCGTGATTCGATCATGGAGCGTGTTGAGATCCTGCCCGGTAACCTTTCTCGTGAGCGCCTCGGCCTCAACGAGGACCTCTGGAACGACATGGTCTCAAGAGTCAACGTCATCGTTCACGCTGGTGCTACTGTCAATTTGATCTACCCCTACGCCTCTCTGCGTGGCGCCAACATTGAGGGCACCAGAGAGATTCTCCGCCTTGCTTCTCAAAGTGGCGCTACCGTTCAGTATGTCTCTACCAACGGTGTGTTGCCTCCTTCCAAGCACGGCTGGCCCGAGTTTGCTATGCTTGATGTGGACTCTGTTCAAGACAAACTCCTCGACGGCTATGGTCAAACCAAGTGGGTTGCTGAACAGCTTGTCCACGAGGCTAGCCGCCGTGGCCTGCCAGTCAAGATCTTGCGTGCGGGTACTATCAGTGGTCACAGTTTGACCGGTTCTGCTAATGCCTGGGACTTGGTATCTGCTCTGATCGTTGAGTCAATTCATCTCGGCTTCCATCCGGATGTTGAGGGATGGCGCGCTGAGATGACCCCTGTGGACTTTGTTAGCAAGGCCATCATCCATCTTGCCAACCAGTCTCAGGCCAAGCAGCTCGTCTTCCATCTTGGAGACCCCACTCCTGTCGACATGACCTCTGTCTTTGCAGACTTGGAGAAACTTGGCTACCCCACGAAACCTCTCGACTGGGAAGAGTGGATCACTATGTGGATCGAGAAGCGAGGAAACGTAAGAGGTGGTGACGGTAACTTCACTGTTGACATTCTCCGCAGTGGTATGCCTAGTGTTGAGTTCCTCAGAGGTATTGTGGTTCTCAACAATGAGGCTACAAGACCATTCCGCTCTGTTGTCGAACGTCCCAAGGTTGATGCCGTTCTCCTCGAGACATATACCCGTCATTGGTTCGCTAGAGGATGGCTGCCCCGCCCTCCTTCAGGCCTGAGCTCTCTCGGTGGTGCCGCACACATGCCTCGCAGAGAACCTTTGAGCGGACGCGTTGCCATTGTTACTGGTGCTTCATCTGGCATTGGTGCTGCTGTCGCTGTTGCCCTCGCAAGAGAAGGTTGCCATATTGCTCTAGCTGCTCGCCGTACGGACGCCCTCGAGGCGCTCAAGCGCAGACTCACCGTTCGTGAAGGCAAGGTCATTGTTCGTCAAACAGATGTCACAAACCGCCAGCAGGTGGAGGATCTTGTCAAGGCCACTGAAGAGGAGCTGGGTCCTGTCGACATACTTGTTTCGTGCGCTGGTGTCATGTATTTCACCATGATGGCCAACGCCAAGGTCGACGAGTGGGAGCGTACCGTCGATGTCAACTGCAAGGGTCTGCTGAACTGCCTGTCCTCCACCGTTCCCGGCATGCTCGAGCGTGGTGCTGGTCACGTTGTTGCCATCTCATCAGACGCCGGTCGTAAGTGCTTCCCTGGTCTCGGTGTTTACTCAGCCAGTAAGGTCTTCGTCGAGTTCACCCTGCAAGCTCTGCGTCTCGAGACTGCAGGAAAGGGTCTCNNCCGCGTGACTGGTGTCCAGCCCGGCAACACTCAGACCGACCTGCTCACCATGTCCAGCGACAAGGAGGCTGTCGAGAAGTACGGCGAGCCTTCTGGTGCTCAGATCCTGGACCCCGAAGATGTTGCCAACTCGATCGTGTACGCACTCAAGCAACCCGCCCACGTTGCTGTCAACGAGATCCTGATCGAGCCCCGTGACGAGCCCATCTAATCTTAGGAGACGAAAGAGAAAGAGAGTTACAGAAAAAATAGGAGATGATCGCAATGGTTTTTTGACGGAAAGTATATGTTGCAAGGCCATATTTTGTAACAAAAACACACATGTCTATATGGAGGGACCCTCGTTCGCTACAACTGCAGGTGTTGGGAAGGAGTTTGCTTGTCATGTCTTTTTTGTAACATATAAAACACCAACAACGGCAGATTTCGGGGTTGTTCTCTTTTTTCCCTTCGGGGATTATCGCACTCAACAAATCTTTCGTACTAACCAAGCTGACAGATACCATCCGCTCGCGACAAACTTGACATCTTGTGATGCTTACTAACCATTCTTTACTTCTCTTCCTGGACGCAGCTCTCATATTTACGAGATCGCAGATGTCCCTTGAGGGTAAGCAAGAGGGTGAGTCTTCGACCTAACACATCTAGGGTGGGAAGTTCAAGCAAGTATTGCTCCTCATTCAATCTACCTCGATCTTAAACAGGTTCGTCACGACAGCCACTTATGGGCTTTACAATCAAAGGTAAAATCGAGAGCGCAGATACAATGTCAAGATAGTCAACACACGCATCTACCAGTCCGCTGAACATGGTTTCTATCTGATGCTATCAAGATGCAACATCGATGATGTTTTTCAATCTCTATTACAATGATATGGCTAATGTCATCGACTCTCTTTGGACACATCTCGTAGATGGATCATTGCTTTGCCTTTTTACAGACGTGAAAACACAAGTGCTGGAATCTGAGGGGATTTGGCCGATGCTAGCTGTACCTGCCTTGTTTTGACACATCTTATTTTCTCCTGAGCGCAGACATCTGTATACATGACTTTGATTTGCTTGAAGAGAAAGAAAAATACCCGAACACTCTTGTGATTGTGTCAATGCAAGGGAATTTGCGTACCTCAGCTGAACAGGCGGTATTTCGCAAATGCCCCTGTTCCCTCTCCAAGTGCTAAAGACGACGACAGTTGTAGCTGTAAAAATGCACAACTCTTTCCAGAGGAGCAGTTGTCCAAGGAGAAGACGTTTTCGTGGGGTGCTTTCGTGGCACACGCTTCCGTTTACAAAGCAATTGTGTGCTTTACAAACGCTCATAGCACTACAAGCGGACGCGGAATAGGAGCAAAATCGCGTAGATTCAAAAGTCTAAGCATAGTATATCAAGGGCATTGACAAAAGATCTTACTATAGAGATGGATGCACAATGGGGAACACGACAAGTGCAACAAGAGCCAAAAAAAAACTTCAGCCCCTAAGTCGAACTTTTTAGAGCTCTAGGGTTCCAAATGTTTGTATGGGACCATGTCGATCGTCGTGCCAGTGGCCACTACACCAGCTCTCACCTGGCGAGTCACCGAACTAGGCGAGTTACTACTGGTCCCATGAGCGAGACAATATTTTGCTGCTATATCTCCTCCGTAGACTGCCAAAACAGTCATGTGAATGCATTGATTAACTGTACAAGAGTGTTTGATAGCTCCACTATATGGCAGACAAGAAGTTTCTCATTGGGAGAAGAAAGAAAGAGGGCGCAATGCTTTAGCAAATGGATGCTTTCTCATTTTTGGAAGCAATGCAGAAAGAGCGAGTGCATAAGAAGCAAATCAGAAAAGCGAACATTCAGTGCGGATGGTGGTGCTCAGTCCGCTTCGTGTTCTTATCGCTGTCGTGCTCCATAACCTTGTCCATGACCGTCGTAAGAGGTTGCGATCGACTCGCTCCGACGAAGGTGGAGGAGCTTTGCTTAGGTCCTCCTACTCCTGTCCGTCAACCTGGCTCTTGCCGCCGATAATGGGGAGCTCTCCGAACTCGACAGGCCCCTTGCCCTTTCCCTTGCCATGAGCAGCGACAGGGGCATAGCCAGCACCTCTGATCCCAGCACCGATGTCCTCAAACGAAGCCATGTCCTGCTCGACCTCAGTGTCGGCGTCCTTCATCTCTTCGTCCTCGTCTTCGGCGTGGTCGTCGTTGCTGGCCCAAGGCTTGCCCTTGGACTCGCCCTTGACTTNCTCCAGAGCGTAGCGTGCAGCGATAACGGCACGATTCCTAGAATTGACCTTCTTCTTGAGCTCCAAGACGGCAGCATTGATGGTAGACAACTCTGTGCAGCGTTTCAGTTAGTCAAGTTCAGAAGATAGGGGCCGGGAATCACAGCTTACCGGNNGAGGGTTGTTGCCCATCTTGACTAAACCCTTGCCCTTCAGTTGACCCTTGGTTCCACCGACAATCTGGTTGTACTTCTTGATGGCCTCGATAATCATGTCGGCGGGGATGTGCTCCTCAAGCAAGCAAGCGATCATGTGGAGCTCGAGAGGCTGGAGATTGCTGTTGGGGTGACGAGCCTGATCCCAGGCGCGGTTGGCGACGTTGATCAAGGCAGCATAGAACATGCGGTAGTTGTGGTTTTCAGACATGTTGAGAAAGTAAATGTTGACCTTGGAGTTGTCGTTGCACCAGAGGCAGCTATACTGTGACATGGTGGAAGACATGTTGTTGTTGTTACTGATGGTGGTTGGTTTTGCAGCTGTTGTGGTGTGTATGATTGAAAGAAGGGAGATGGCTGTCGACGGAAGAAATTTTATGGAACTATGCAACACGAGTGAAAGCGAACGGGATCGAGGGAATGCAAGTTTTTGCCCTGTCGACGCTTCACTATTGTCAATTGTTGTGCAAATCTGCCACCTCCCAAGTCTTTCACAGCAGAATTCATTCAGATTCAACAACTGTGTTGGTCAAGAAGGATCAACCATAGAAATGGGATTAACCCAGCTTCATCTCGACTCTGGCTGTGAGATGGGTCTGAATTTGTATAGCTCGCGCAGATCTATCCATATGTAATAGGGGTGAGATTGTTCGAATTATACTTGCCCACGCCATCACGAACCTCGAGAAGTAGAGCAAAATGAGTCCAGCTCTTTAAGATCAGCCAGTAGTGGATAAAACATCTCACTTGATGCAGCCACCTACACTGGACGATACGATTGACACCGTGGAGGGGTGGAGATTGAAGATCGACACACGCACAATGCTGGGGCTATGATTATGTATAGCGAGCTACAAGAGCCAAAACAATCCAACTGCCGAACCCCTGAGTCGAACAAGAGACCTTCAGAAAGCAAAAGAGAAGATAGGACCTTCCAATCCAACAGGCGCACAACCACTACACCAGTGAAGATGTGGGATCGATACGCGCAGAGTGGTTGGTCCGTTGGGAAGTGATCGTTTCATTGGATTATAACATACCGATTTTGCGACTTCATCTCGAATGTCAAGGACATAGATGTAATATTCTTTGTATATGTTGTATTAGCCCAGAGCAAGTTTCCAGGAAGCTATCAATCATTTATGATAGGTTGTACAAAGTCCAATCAGCCTGTCTAAGTTGACACAGTCTCCAGGCCATAAAAGTTGGCAGATGCAGCCGCTTCTGTTGGATGTCCCCAAATCAAATATCGCAATACAATAACACCTGCCAGATATCCATCGCATTGAGGGAAGGTGTATAGTCTGTCAAGTCATCCAGACATTCGCAGACAGAGAGAAAGGTCGGCTTAATTGTCCAAGATCATGGAAATCATCAAGTGGTGTAGTTGGATCAGTTGCACTCGAAAGACCAACAGCGGCATTAAAGGACCACGAAGACTGACCTACTGATTCTCAGCATGCTCACATGTGGCTTGCTTTTAGATTAGTCCAAACTAAGAAGCCTATGGACGATAACTTGACCCGGGAAAGGTCGAGATTGTGGTTCCATTGCAGCCCTTCCCATTCTCTTATATCTGATTAGAAGCAATAAGTTGGACCAGAACAAGCTGTCATCTTGCTCTCTTATTACCATAGGGATTATGAACAGTGCGACGAAGGCATCTTCAAAACAAGTCTAGCTTTCGGTTAGCAAAGATCGAAGCATGTTGATACAGAAGGTGCTTATCAGTGAGTTGTTGCACTTAAAAAGAGCCAATCGCACCCAGCAGATCTTTAGGACTCCTTCCATGTGTCAGAAGTCTGCTTGTAAAACGGGACAAACAAATAGAGTAATCAAATGGAAATATCAAACAAGCAGCGAAAAGACCATCCTCCCACCCTCAGAGTCGAACACAGGCTTCCAGGTAGTGAGGGAAAAAAATAGTCAGAACCAATCAATGATCAACAGGCGCACAGCCGCTACACCATTGAAGATGTAGGACCAATGCACGCAACCATTATTGGTTCGTTGAAGTTGGGTGCAATTGACTTGTTTATCAACCCTCGCAGATTGATGGCTATTCAGAAAGGCTTGTAAACACCAGATATCATAATATTGCTTCATCAATATCCAGCAACAACAATACATGACTACTGCTGTCATGTTCCATATGCTACAAATACGAGGGTTTTCAAGTAGACCCACCATGCCAGCGCTTGTTTGCGCATCGGTTTTGTCTGATCAGATGCTTCACTTCGCGCTCATGCTAGAGTGAGCGGAGAAGGATCTCCCCCTATAGATCCAAACCTATCATGGAATGTCCTCATGTCCACAATTTGTGACAATATCGAGCCCAGGAACTCGATAGAATCGATTCTGACATGCTCTACATCAACATATTCTTCCATTGAATTAGCAAAATGCTATGAAGGCAAACAGAAAGTTTGTGATAGCCACTCATACTATAGCAGGAAGACGTACAAGGACGCAATGGTGAAGACTGTTCCCTTCAAGTAAGAGTGCCGAGGACATGATCTATCAAGAAAAATTAACCAGCCCCTGAGTCGAACACAGGACTGTTGACAGCCAAAAAAAAAATAGAGAAAAAGTAATGATTAGAACCAGTCAGAGTCCAACAGGCGCACAGCCACTAGGCTAAAGCAAAGAACCAATACGCGCAGACTTGACTGGTTCGTTGGAAAAAAGGGCAATTGGCTTACATATGACACCCGAGTGAACTCCCAAAACATTGTCATTGAACATATCTGCTTCTTCAAAGCCATAAGACATGTTTAGCCGCACTGCGTTGTCTTCTGATCAAAATTAAGAGTGTATTGCCTCCGTGGCAATATCTGTTACTTGAAAGCAGCACCAGCACGCGTCACAACCACCACTTCCTCCCGCTTCTAAGCCGCTGAAACTTCTAGAGAGCAACAACCATCAGATACATCTGACCCGTGGTACCATCCACTCCTGAAACTGAACAAACAGCTGTTTCTACAGATATGTCTTCTGCCTCTGCTAGCGTGCCTCATGAGATTTATACCTGGAAGCACATCATGATCACTACGAGACAAAGCCTGATGGCGAGGGGACAAGATTCACAGCCGTGGACAGAGACTCGATCAGTCGGTCAGTTTCTGTACACGACCGGAGCTTGAGGAGCCCGACCCTGACGAACACGAGGCCAGTGATACCCTCGCGTCCCGCCCGAGCCTAGCCGAAGATGATGTGTCTGGGGATAGCATGATTTGTTGGACCTGGTATTCTCCGAAACGCACTTACAGTCGCGGTGATTCAAGAGATATGAGACAAAGGGTGGTAATCGAGCAAAGCAATTGGTATAGTGCAGAGTAACAAGGTAGAAGAAGCATGACCCTTGTGGAGACCCCGATGCCGTATGGACATTCATTCCCCCTCCCCTGAAGCGATTGGTATAGTGCTGAAAAAAAGCAACGTAGAAGAAGCGAGCTCTCAGTAATAGAGCCCACGGGTGCCCAATTTGTGTCGAAGACAATCAACACTCTGGCGATAGTGAAGAAGTAATTCAAGGAGACGATCATCCTACTCCTCGCACTCGTACTCGTCCTTCTTGCGTCCAACATAAGGCAGCTTTCCGAACTTGACGGTATTCTTGTCCTGTCCCTTTCCCTTGCCCTTCGTCGTGGTGGGAGCGTTACCAGCGGCAGTCAACTCGGTGTTCATGTCATCGAGAGAGAGCATGGTGTGCTGTTCCTCCTCTCCCATGTTGTTGTCAGCGTCCTCCATCTCTTCGTCCTCACCAGCCTGGTTACTGATGCTGGCCTTGCCCTTGGCCTTTCCCTCGGAGGAGACTCTGATGGCTTCGGCCCTGTGGTACTTGCTAAGGGTCTTCTTGACGTGCTTGCGGAAGAAGTCGATTGCCTGCTCAATAGCGGCGTNCCTCTGTGAGAGAGCATGGTCAGCCTGATTCGGGACACAGCAATAGAGGCTGTTCGACTTACTAGGGTCCTCGTCATCCCAGGGCACCAAACCTTTCTGCTTCCACTCTGCCTTGGTACCGCCGATGAAGTAGTCGTAGTCCTGCAGGGTCTTGATCATGACCTCGGCAGGGATAGGGTCGTTGAGGAGACAGGCGATCATGGTACGCTCGATGGGGTCCAGCTTGCCTAGGGGGTCGAGAGCCTTCTCCCAGGCTTTGTTGGCGGCGTTGATGAAGGAGGACACGAAGGGGCTGTAGCTGTGGCGGCTTGGGGCATTCATGAACCACTTGGTGACCTTGGGATTGTCGTTGCACCAAAGCCATTTGTTAGGGAGGTTGGCATGCATGGTGGGACGAGGACGGGAGAGAGACATGTTGTTAACCTGGTCGTTGTTGTTGGTGTATGTTGATGAAGATCTTGTATAGAAGGCGGCTTGGTGTGCGCGTGCGCCTGATGGATTGGTGTTGTGGTGGAAAGAGAAGTAGAAAAAGTTGGTCGCGGCGACAGAAGAAGGGGGAGTCTCGCGGTTGTGTGAATTGACAATAGGTGAGAGATAAAGGAGCGTGAACAATAGCTCACCTCGACTTGGCCGAGATCTCACTTCCATCGAGTGAGACAGATGGTTTATCACAGCTCTCCGCAGTGAACCCAATCAATCGCATTACAGAAGTCCCCTATGGCTATACATAGACATGTTCTCAATCTTGTGGTCGACCTTCGAGAGGGTACAGTGGCCCTGCTTCCCGAGAAAACGTCGGTCTGTAAGAAGCATCCCTGTGCCCCTACAACACGAACTGCTGTTCCAGACTTTCCACAGCCCCTATTTCGATAGCGGTAGACAGAACCAGCGGATGGGGATGACCTGACACCTACCTACGTTCCATGTCCTGGACACAGTTGCGCATCCGCATCTGATAGCCTGTTGTCGACTTCATGCACTAAGTAGCTCTGTAAGCACAGAGTCTTCGAGGGGAAACATATCGTCTCGTGATAGACGTTCATCCGGGTAGTGTACAAGTCGTGACGCAAAAAGACAACATTTTTGTTGTGGAGTGAACCAAGAAGCAAGCTTTGAGAAATTCGAACTCAGGACCTTGGGGAAGCAAAAGAAGAGGTAGGACCTTCCATTCCAACAGGCGCACAGCCACTACACCAGTGAAGATGTAGAACCGATGCGCGCAGACTGGTTGGTCCGTTGGAGAAAAGAGCAATTTGACTTGGATATGAAGCTCGGTGTATTACTGAAGAGCCCATGACATAGGTGCCATAACGCGAAGTACGTTGCACTAACTCCTTGCGAGCAGTAGTGTGTTGTACAGATTCAACAGCGGCTGGTACTGCCACTGCAGTTGATTCCAGCATCAGGAAGCTTGTCCAAGCCACGTTGAGTATGAGCTTCGTGCTCCCTGACAGTGGCTTCCAGTCCGAGTCGAAAAGCGAGTCCAGATACCAGTAAGCAGTAGGCTAATTGCATTTAGATTATCATCGTCATCTCTACAGGTAGTATGTGTCTACGACCAGTATGTACGATGAGGGTTATTGATTGAAGTACATCAGATAAGTCTTGTAACCTCCATCCTGGGTGCAGGAAGCAGATATTCACTGCTACCGAGATCAATCTTGAGCCTTAGTCGGAGGCCCTCATCTTGAGCAGTTGTTTGAGAAATTCACAAGAGTATATGGCGAAATTCATGTTTGATTGCTGGTGGCGAGAGAGTAGGAAAGTGTGGATTGACGTTGGAAGAACGAGCAGCAGCAGGAACAGTCCGTGCACTTTCCCTCTCATCCGTTCCTTGTTCACACTGTACAGAAATACAGTTCTGTTTGGTGTCAGGTTCACAACTATGGATACTGTGGTAAGAGGCAGCTCTATATGGACATTCTAAAGGTAGTCAAAAGGTTCGTCCCTTTTCAAAGCTTGCTTAGCAGAGGGGCGACAACGAGGAGAGGAGAGTCCAAGACTTGGTACGTCTTCTTCATGCTACCTTGACTGTGGAACAGTATCAACATGTGGATCATAAGTCGAGAGAGCGTCTTACAACGTCCACGTACCAACACTCTATACGAGTCAATAGCCCTTCTACCAAACCGTATAGCCACCATCCACCACAATCTGACTGCCGGTCAGATAGCTACTGGCGTCGCTAGCCATGTAGACAGCCGTACCCCTAAACTCTTCGGGTTTGGCAATTCTGTGTAAGGGAATGTCTTTGACCCATTCCTTGCTCAATTTCTCCATTTCCTCACCCTCATTGGCGGCGGTCTGGATATAGCCTGGTGATATTGCGTTGACGCGGATGCCGTGCTCGCCCCATTCGCTGGCGAAGGACTTCATCATTTGGACGACTGCTGCTTTCGANNCTAATCCGAAATAAACAGTTTAGCTGTGTTAGTTTCGAAGAGGAGATTGAGGATGACTTACAGTGTTGTATGCAGACTGCTTCTGGGGGCGATTGACAATCACACCAGACATACTCGAGACCATGATGATAGAACCTTTAATGCCCTGCTTGATCATATGCTGACCAGCCTCCTTGGCAAACAGAAAAGTGCCATTGACGTTGACATCCAGCATACCCTTCCAATCATTGAAATCATAGTCTTCGGCAGCAACTCCACCAGTGATTCCGGCATTCGTACAGAGAACATCAACTTTGCCGAAGTCTTTTACGATTTGGGCGAAGGTTCTCTTGACGACGGCTTCGTCTGCTGTGTTGCACTCATAGGGACGCAGGTTTGCTGGTGGGAGACCTCTTTCTTTCACTTCGGCGTTGATGGTTTCGATAGATTTTTGGGCGCTGTCGAGGGAGAGGTCGACGACTGCACCGTGGCCTCCAGAAAGACAGAAAGCTGCTAGGATCTGTTGACCCAGACCTTGAGATGNCGCTGTCACGGTGTCAATTGAATTTTTATACCTTTGGTTGCTTGATAGATCCTACCCGGTCACGACACAGACTTTGTTGTCGAGAGTGAAGCACGGAAGTGTACTGACAGGGCGGTAAGTTTCTCTTCGATGAAAGACATGCTGACGTGGTTGTATGGCTCTGATGAGTGGGCGAAGGTTTTGTGAGAAGCGCACGTACGGTGGCATGATGGTGTAGTAGGAAGAGGTTGGAGTTGCGGAAGCCTCGGACTTGTATGACAAGGTGCTAAAGTGTCCTGTGATGTATGGACAACCGAAGGTTTTCTGATTACTCCTTCCTAAGCTATATAAATATTCCTCACGGCCACATACAGCAGAAAGCTCTCTCAGTCGCGCGTCACAATTTGCTCATGTTGCAATCATAGCGAGGTGGAAACCCGGTCGCGTGGTTCCTGGATCTCGTCAGACAAAGAAGCAAGGCACCGTACTCGACTGCGCTTGCCCAGTCAGGCATTGTTGTAGAGATAGCAAAGATCGCTCAATATCGAGGAAGTAGTCGTCTGCTGTACACAATGTGCCAGAGGGTGGAAGAGATGAGGTTGAAGCAGACGCGGAACAATTCCATGGTCGAAGACCCACTGCCGCTCTTCCTGCCGAGGTGGTCAACCATGACGGAATCGACGGACATTTCTAATCAATACAACTACCTGCAGTCCAAGAGCTCGATTATTCTGTTTGACCATTGACACTGCTTTCTCACCACGAAACAAACACACCTACCGCCAATATGAGTTCAGACAAGGAGCAACACCAGCACAACCCCACGGCGCAAGAGATGGAACACCACAAATACGACGCCGAAAAGCAAATCAAACGCAACCCCCACCCCGACTTCAAATCAGTCGAGGCCTCGCGTCCCGACTGGCCAGAAGAGAACAAATGGCACTACACCAAGGTCCGCAACCCGGACTGGAAGCTCGGCGACGGCGCCAACGACAAGGGCGAATCCCTTCAGAAGGAACACATCGAGATTGATCCTTATGCCGAGGGCCGCCCTGCTGTGTCCAACTACAAGCTGTTGATTTCGGCCATTATCCCCAGACCTGTTGGTTTTGTGTCGACGAGGAGTAAAGATGGAAAGAGCACCAACCTGGCGCCGTTCTCGTATACTCAGCTGGTCAACCACGACCCGCCTGTCTTTGTCATCGGATACGCAGGTGGCATGGACAATGCAAAGGACTCGTTGAAGAACTTGACCGAGACGGGCGAGTGCGTGCTCAACATCATCTCTGAGCACTTCATCGAGGCCGCCAACAGCACCTCCATCAATGCTCCCTACGGTGTTTCTGAATGGGCACTGAGTGGTTTGACCCCTGCACCCTGTACTCAAGTCAAGGCCAGTCGTGTCAAAGAGGCCATTTTCGCTGCAGAGTGCAAGTTGATGAACACGCAAGAGTTTGAGAGCAGAGCCACTCCTGGCAAGAAGACTGGTGTCTTGGCCATCGTCGAGGGCGTCAGATTCTGGGCTCGCGAAGACGCCATCAACGAAGACAAGAACTTGATTGACCCTGCTATCCTCAAGCCCATTGCCAGACTTGGAGGTATCACCTATTCGCGCATCACAGAGGGCTTCGAGATTCCTCGCCCGGATTGGGAAGAGAACAAGGAATTGGTCGACAAGCTTGCGAAGCCAAAGGTTGATGGCCAGTAGTGGACACATGGATATATACAGTTTTAGAACATATCTTTGCCATACATTTCCCTTGACATTTGTCGTTTCTGTCTAGTTTCCCTTTCACGAACACAACACGACCATCGTTCCGTTCGGCAATCCAGAGTACACGAAGATATATATTTACTCGACCCGTCACTCTCCCGGCAGCAATTTTGGTCCCTTGTACCATCTTTGCTAAGGCCACACTAGAAACGAAAAGCCGTAGTCTGCAGGATGAATGCTAGACTAGGGTGTGGGAGTTATAGTGGGCATGGTCTAGCAATCACTGTCTGGATAAGGAAAGACATCGCAATCTCGCAAAGAAGTAGACGACGGCTTGGGCACATAGCCCGGGTTGACGATCTCGGGGAACAAAGNGCGGCTGCTCGTTTGGGTCGGCATTGGGCCCGACTTTGGGTGGCCAGTTGCTGGGTATGTCTGTCAAGGTGGGTGTAGCGGCACTGGGTGGGATGTTTGGTTTTCCGGTGTTCCTGATCGGATCGCCTGCTGGAGATTGGGTTCGCGTGATTGTCTCTATGACTACGTCGGAAGTAGTGGGTGTGGGTGTGGGTGTGGGTGTCTNNCTGTGAGGTCTTCCCAGCCTTCTTCATCGTCTGTGGTTTCGGACTTTGGCTTGTCGGAGGGATTTTGTGTTATTGGGATCTCAAAATTGGTGGTGTATGGCGATGTGATCCAGATGCGTGTCATGGTAATGTTTCCAGGCGGATTGTCTTCGTCACGTCGACTGATCTTTGCTAGCTCGAGGTCGGGCTTGTTGTCAAGTGCTGGAGTAGACCTGTCGACACTGAAAACAGCTCTGTCCTCGACGATTGTCTTGACGACGGTCACGAAGCTTGTAGCCTGCACAGCCGAGAAGCCAGCGAGGCAAGAAAGCGCGATAGCGATGGCTCGCATTTTCTCTTTGGCGTTGACCCAAAGGTCTTGAGAAAGAGTGAGATTGAGAACACGAATGAAAAGGCTATGCATGGAATTTATGCTTCGTCAGTCGAACACAAAACTAAAACATCAGGAGACTGAGAGGGTTTCTTGCGTGGCAGGTTGTGGAGGCGGCGGATGAGCAACGATGTCATCCGTGAAGTTTGTTGATACGGATATAGATCACTCCTCTTCTTCGTCTTCTTCAGCCTGGAGATCGGGGTTCAAGACTTGACCCATGAGCTTCATGGTGGCATTGAGCGGTAAGCCGACGACATTGTCGTATGAACCATCAATCTTCTCGACAAGGATGGCGCCCATGCCCTGAATTCCGTAGCCGCCTGCCTTGTCGGCACCTTCGCGAGTCTTGACGTACGCGAGAATGAGTTCGTCGGATACTGTGGANNCATATTAGTACTATGAGGGTGAAGACAACGAGCGAGATGCGGCAGTACCTGCTTGATCGAACTTGACGTTGGTCTCCTCGACGGTTCTCTTGATGGCGTAACCAGGATCCATGGCACTTTCCAAGGGAGCCATACACACGACAGCTGTATAAACCTTGTGCCAGCCGCTGTTCCTCAAAGCCTTGAGGACTGAAATGTGCTCTCTCTCGCTTCTTGGCTTCTCCAAAATGTCGCCCATTGGGCTCACGACGACCGTGTCGGCAGCAATGACCAGCGCAGGCTCGCCCTTGTCGGAATTAATCTCCTGACGGTATATAAGGGTGCATTTCTGCTCGGCTGTTTGTAGGACGTATTCGAAAGGAGCGAGTGTTTTGCTGAAGTCTTCGGGAGCTGTGCAAGGAATGATTTCCAGGTCCCGCAGACCGATCTGGTTGAGGAGCTGCTTTCGTCGTGGCGAGGCCGAGGCCAGAATCACTCTCTTGCCACGAAGGGCCTGTAGTGCGGGAAGCTCAAGAGGTAGAGGGGCGCGGGCGATTTGCTGACGGACAGGGGCGGGTGCGCCGGCGACGAGAGGTGTGTGTTCCGAGTCGGCATCGTAGGCCGGCGGCGGTTCGAGGGGCGTCTTCTGGTCTGACATTGTGCTTTGTTGTATGTATGTGAGAAGAAAGTCGATGGGTGCTGTCAACTTTCTTGTGCTCCCGTCGATGACTCGGGCCCGTTGTGCCGATCGGCATGAACCCGCCCGCCGTCTGTTTCACCCCGCCGACGTCCATTACCACCCTCTGGCCATCACTTTCTATCCTATTCTCCATCTGTCGTTTATTCATTGTGTTATCTTCTGTTATCCCTAGTAAACGTGCGCTTGGATGGTCAATTCGCTCTAGCACTCCGATGATGGACAAGCTACCAGATGAAATAGTACTCCAGATACTTGCTTGTAATTGCAAAAGTATACAAAGCATTCAGTACAAGTAACTAATTTCTTCCNNAGTCTTGGATGTAGATGACCTTGTCAGATGCCAGTATCTCAGTCGTCGCTTCCTAGATCTATGTCGAGATGACAAAATCTGGAAACTGGAATGCTTTGATGCTTCACGAGCAGAGTCAAGGCGCAGGCGTCAACGAGTCGATCCTACAAACACTCAATTACACACCCTCAGATCTGCTTTCAATGAACTCTCCGGACAGTCTCCACAATACTCTGGTCAAGACGCTGCGCCAAAACCATCGCCTGCCGCACAAACACAGCGTGCTTTTGCGAACTGGGATCCTTCTTATGGAAGTGAGACGATCAACTTCTATGATGAGTACATCCATCGCCATGGTCCAATAAACATTGGCTGGCTAACCATGCCGGGGGATTGTTCTTTGGAAGCCACTGGACTGGGTCTGATACAAGATTCTGATGACAACCCACAACACCTTGCGGCATCCTTGGATGATGGCAGTGTCTGTATATGGGACGTACGACCGAGGTATACCGACTCGGATCTGCCACAGGGTCGTGTTGTAGGCAAAAGCTCGGCAGGGCTCCTCCTAGGTGGCTCTCGTGCTAACCAGTCTCGCGATGAGGTCAAAGCGATCATGACGGAGACAGGCGCGGTCGAGTCTGTAAGCATCGACAATGATCGAGGAAGAGGCTACTTTGCTCAAAACGGCACCCTTGTTGAAGTTGATCTTGCCACACTTCAAGTCGTCTCACAAGAAACATTTCCGTTCCCAGTGGCTGCTTTGTCACAGGCTCGCAATTCAAGTCTGGTTGTAGGCACGAACTGGACAATACACATTCACGATCCTCGCAACAAGTCAAGGTCGGCGGTGAATCCTTCTATGCAATGCGAGATTATCGGCGGACCTGCATCTAGTCATGCATCACTCTCCCAACCTGGACCTCTATCCATTCTAGACCGAGTGCAAGATGAATCCATCTGGATAGCCGGTAGATTCACCCACCTACTAAACTATGACCGTCGCTTCTTCNNCCCCAAAGTGCGTGGTACAGTGCACTCTGGAGGACGCATATCTTGCATCACAGAAACACCCCAGCCATATGTTTCACGTTCTTTGGATCTGCTTCAGGATCCTACGATATCGATATCAGATGTGTATACTGCAAAAACTGCTCCTGGATCAACCATCTTGGCTGCTGGCGAGTACAAGGGAAAAGGCAGTCTTGAATTCTACGGATTAGCACCTTCAAGTTCAGGATCAGTCATCACAGAGAGTTATCGAAATCGACAGACGGCCGCTTCGACTCGATTGCTATCGGTAGCGGCTCATGGAAACTCTACAGTGTTTAGTGATGGCGATGGCAATCTGAAGTGGGTTGAGCGAGATGGCATGACGACTGTCCGAACCTTTAATATCAACGAGGCGGTCGATACGCCGTCCTTCAATCAAGCACAGAGCTCAGCTCAGAGGCCAGATGATGAGCCATCTCAGGGCGATATCGTACANAAGATTATGCCTCTGCAACCACCAGCGGGCTCGTGGTCTAGCAAGAGGCCGGATGTGAACCAATCAGACCTGGTGCTCAAAACAGGCGATGGCCGGATAGGTGTGCTAGGGTTCGGCCACCAGACACTGTATACCAGGGAAGAGGAAGAGATTGTGGTGGAGACTACTGAGGAGAGGGTCAGGAGGGATGCCGAGAAGCAATACCGAGAGACTCTGGGACGGGCATTACAGAGCCAGGCCGATGAAGTGAGATTCATGAGAGGGCTGGGAATGGCATTCGGTATGAGTTAGTGTCCCTACCAGTAGAAAACGACCTCGATGGAGTGACTGGCCCAAGCTCTCTCGCAGACGCAACAAGTGAGGGGCAAAAGGCATGTCTTCTCCACACTCTCACATTTGCCCCACCATTAAACAAACAAACTTCCATTACCGCCTTTCTCGACCAGAATCACACTCGATGGGTCTGAGAATGGACAACCTACATGCGCCGACAGTGGCGTCGGGCCCCAGTAGCACGCAGGCAAATGGCGCAGAAAGAGAGAAGCTGTCGCTGCCAGAGCTCATTGCTGAGAAGGATCGCGTGTGGAGCGAGTTGTCTGCACTGGGCTCAGTTCTGGACAGCGTGAGTTCTGCCACTTTGGACTGTGGTATACCCAAGCTGACAACCACATGTGCANNGCACGGTGTCAACATGAGTACCTCGCTACTCACCTTCGATGGCTACCCTCGTCCCGACCTCGACATTGCCCAGATCCGCACAACACGCGCACGCATCATCCCATTGAAGAACGACTACAAAGACCTGATGGCCCGCATCGAGAAGGCCATGCATGCACACTGGGAGAATGCAGCAGCAGTCCTCCCACCAGTAGCAGCAGCACAAGCTCCAGCCCAGACTGCCGAAGCAGCGCGAAGCTCGCGCGTCGCACTCGAAGCACCGTTTGCCAAAGTCAACAGCGTCGTCGCATCGTCACCAGCAGCCACAGCAGGTCTCAAGCCTGGCGACAAGGTTACAAGATTCGGCAACGTGGACTGGATGAACCACGACAAGTTGAGCAAGGTTGCGCAGACTGTACAGCAGAGTGAGGGCGTCGCTATTACGGTCAAGGTCATCAGGCCTGCAGCAGCGGGTGCTGGCGAGCATAGGTTGGAGATGCAGCTCATACCACGACACAACTGGGGAGGCAGGGGTATGCTGGGCTGCCATCTGTTGCCTCTTTGAGGCAGGCTAGGCAACAGCAGGCTGCGGCCCAACAAGAAGAGAGACACTGGCTGTTACGAAGTTGCGACAATGATACCCAATTACAATGAGAAACGCCAACATGGTTGGTTGTGAGACGGTCGACATTACCTCAACAAGAGACAGGCAGCAGCGACTGCTTACAACCAGCGAGACAGCAGATGAGGGATGAGAGCACAAACTACCAAGCTGGATAATGGAACACATGATAGCATTTCATGGCGCTTGTTCCTACAATCTGGGGGAAATGGTATAGGGCTGGCATAAAAGCAGCATTACAGCCTAGTGCTTAGCAATCAACTATGCATGTTTTCTTCCCAATCGAGAGACAGGATTGAAAGCCCATAACACTGACATCACGATGCAGCTGGGATCTGCTGAGATCGAACAGTGAGGCAGCAGTAGAGCTCCAGCCAGCAGTCGATACGAGACAGGATTTGTAAGACAGGAGATGGTTGAGACAGAGGGTGAAAGGTGTATGGCTGAAAGGACGAACAACAAGACGAGTGACGAGTGACGGATGTGTTTGTTGACTGGGAAGCGGCCAACGCGATGCCAAGGCCTGGCAAGTGAGAGGGAAGGCAGGCGCTCGGGCCATCAAAATGGGCTCGAAAAACATGATTGCCATCGAGCGTCAACATCTCTTGCTCCCCTCTATCTACCACTCTCCCACAACCATCTCTTTCCGTCAGTCCCCCTGCCAGCTTCCATCACCCCGCGAAGCATCCACCTCTGACTTTATCCGCAGCTTGTCGCTTTACTTGACACTAAACCGACATCACAACAATGGCTGAAGTTCCCACCTTCAAGCTCGTCCTCGTTGGCGACGGCGGTACCGGCAAGGCACGTTCATCTCCAACTCTCGACTTTGCATCGTCCGCCGACCTGCGCATCGCTTCCATCTGTTCACTGTGAAAGAGCGACCCAAACTAACTGGATATCCACAAAACANNGACCACTTTCGTCAAGCGTCACTTGACTGGAGAGTTCGAGAAGAAGTACATCGCCACTCTCGGTGTCGAAGTTCACCCTCTTGGTTTCACCACCGTACGATTCCCCTCTTCCGCCGCCCGATGAAATGCGCCGACGACTAACCCCCTTGACAACAGNAACCTCGGCCAGATCCAGTTCGATGTTTGGGACACCGCAGGTCAGGAGAAGTTCGGTGGTCTCCGTGACGGTTACTACATCAACGGCCAGTGCGGTATCATCATGTTCGATGTCACCTCGCGCATTACCTACAAGAACGTCCCCAACTGGCACCGTAAGCTCAAACACCTCCCGGCCCCCGCCTTTTTCCCAGGCCCAAGATTGCCAGCCCCGCTAACACGCCCCACCCACAGGNNTGACCTCGTCCGTGTCTGCGAGAACATCCCCATCGTTCTCACCGGCAACAAGGTCGATGTCAAGGAGCGCAAGGTCAAGGCCAAGACCATCACCTTCCACCGCAAGAAGAACCTCCAGTACTACGACATCTCGGCCAAGTCCAACTACAACTTCGAGAAGCCCTTCCTGTGGCTCGCAAGAAAGCTTGTCGGCAACCAGACTCTTGTACGTCTTTTTCTTGGCTTTCTCACGACTGTCGCGTGTCGCTAACTTTGCTCCCAGGACTTTGTCGCTGCCCCCGCCCTTGCTCCCCCAGAGGTCCAGGTCGACGAGGCCGTTCTCAAGCAGTACCAGCAGGAGATGGAGGCTGCCTCCAACATGCCCCTCCCCGACGAGGACGATGCCGACCTCTAAGCGATTTCGCCATCATGGAACCGGGATTCGCTCGTTCAGTAATCGAATTCCACATCTTCTAAATACCCAGCGGCACGCTCTTCCGTCATCAAAATGCACTCGCGGAGGAAAATGATGCAGCAAGAAACACACGAGGGCGGACCGCATCTGCGCGCGTCCATGGCTGATATTGACTTAATGACTCTGGGGAGAAGGAATGGGTTTTTGCTTTCTTCCATCAATGAAAAAAAAAAACAACCACACCACCACCACACTGCGCACACTGGCGGCACTTGTAACCAAAGTGGACCCTGGCATTTCTTCTCTGGAATCTGCAGCGTTTGGTGCCTTTTTTCCTATTTCCATCTTCTCTACCAGCAGTCACATTCCCCGAAAGAACCACACATCCACGTCGTTGATGATTCGAGCACCCCTTCAAAAAGTTACGCAGAGATCGAGGAATAGAATGCGCTCTTTTCTGGTCTATGCTTTAGTGTCTCTTGTACTCGCTTGTGAAATGACCTTTATGGCAGTAGTCGCGTGAACAATAAGAAAATAGTGTCAAGAATGTCCTTCCCGTCAGCAGGAACCCACACGCTAGCAGCTCTCCACACTCGCCCTCCCCTTTGCGACCCTGACAATCATATCTTTACCCCGTCTCACCCTCTGCTTCAAATCTTTGGGACCGTGTGTAATCCATCATCACCGTAACACCCCTTTTGCGTAAACTCTTTCTTCGATGACTTTTGAAACACAACTCTTTCGTACTCGTCGTCGAGATTTGGCGGTTGGTCCGTCGAGGAGTGTGATTGGGTTTCCGTCCTTTTGTTGTTTGATGGGTTAGCTCTGAGGATAGCGGTCGCCAGAGACAAAGAGTTGGGATTGACCCCTGCTGAAAAGGGAGAGGCAAGGAGGAGGATAGTGGTGAGTCGAGGATATCGTCGTCGTTGACCATGACACTCTGGAAATGAGACCACAGGTGCAACTTTTGCAAGACTTGCTTGATCTCTTGAGAGCAATGGTGGTGGTGGGGATCGATATTGTTGCGAAGACTTTCTTCGGGAAAAGGAAAGAGGGTCTTGGGGTATGCAGATGAAGCAGCGGGAAAGGAGGACTGAAGTTGCTGCGTGGGAAATTTCTTTGCCGCAGAGGTCGATGGAGCCCGATTGGAGTGGGGAGAGGCGGAGGAGTGCCATGAGTAGAGTGCTCTTTCCGCTAAGTAGGTGTTAGAGAGATGATATGGAAGGACCAAAGGAGCGCTGGCAGTCTCACCTGCCTGTTTCGCCGCAGATGTAGACCTTTGTGCCGGCTGGGATGGTCAGGTCGATGGAGTCTAAAATGACTCGAGGACTGCAGGTGAAGTTTAGTGAATATGTATTTTCTTCACAAGACGGGGGTATGACTTACCCATAAACATCAAATTCATCATCTTTGGTGGCAAGCTTGCTTGTCTTGACACGGGTCGATTGTGTCTTTTCCTCATCGTCGAGTTTTGCCGCGTCGTCAGCTGGGATGATATGCTCTATTGATGAGCCTAGGTAGGTGCGAAAGCTGTTGCGGTCACCATCGAAACCGATGCAATTGTCGTTCAGTAGCAGAATTCTGTCCGCGAAAGAGTGAGCACTGGAGGCATTTGTAATCAAGAACACAGTCGTGTATGGACTTCTGAGCAGTCCATTGGGACCAAGCAAATTGGTGATCACACGCTCCTGTGTGCGCTGATCGAGAGTCGAAAACGGGTCGTCAAGGACAAGAACTTCGCGTCGTTGGTATACAGCACGACCTAACGCAACTCTCTGCCGTCGTCCTCCCGAAAGCCTTGCATGTCCTTGTCCAGCAACTCGGGCGGCGGAAGAGAGCAGGATAACGTCGTCTATACAGCAAGCATCCAGGACTTTCTGGTACCAGACGTCGTCATGCTTGGTAGAGAGGCCTTGGATTGTCTCGGATATAATTTGACCTGGAAGCCATGACGATTGAGCACACAGCCCTATGCGTCTGCTGATGACGGATATGGATCCTTTGGACGGGAACAACTCTCCAGCGATCGCTAGGCCCAATATGCTGTTTCCTACTCCTGTAAGTCCAGTGTATACAAGGATAGAACCACGGTTGATGCATGGATTGATGTTATCCAGGACCGGAGTCGCGGTGCCTGCTAACTTGAATTGAACACCCTTGAACTCAATTGCCACTTGGGAAACACGATCAGCGTCTACCAAGATCGCTGCTTCCGTACATTGAAGAAGAAGACGAGTATCTTGGAAATGCGGCTTGCCGACAAAATCTTGTATCCTCTGAAAACTGGCCAGAGAGGCAATTGCTCTGGGTACTATAGTCATGATCATATTTGCAGGATGAGTGACCATGACCAGGATTGCGAGCGTAGTATAAGCTGTTTCTGCATCGAGTTTCGAGTTTCCCAACGCAGCGAAGAGAATGATGGTGATTGCGGGTGTGAACAGCCCAAGTGCATTTGCTGTTCTCGGTCAGACATGTCTGTCTAAGGGTTTGATACAGAGTTTGCATCACTCACCACTTGCATTAGCGAGCACAGACACCCAACGCATATCTTGCGAAGCATCAATTTCTGCCTGCCTCATGCGGCCGATTTGGGTTTCGGCAACTTTTGCCAGACCAAGCATTTTGATGATCTTGATTTTGCTGACCACAGAGACGATCTTGTTGATACGATCTTGCGTAGCTTTGTTCCATGACAGTTGTTTGGGACGTAGATTTCGTGCTACATATCGAGTCGTATGAGAGCAGCCTGGATCATGTCGGCAGGAGTGATAGAACTCCTAAGATATCCCAAGACTTACCATATATCATTGGCAGAGGGATGACACAGAACCATCCGATCTGCTGTGCCAGCAAGGCCATACCTACAACAACTTCTAACACTTGAGCCCAAGAATCGTGGAACATCTCACTGACGTTGCCGAGAGCATCAACGTCAGTACTCATAAGGGTGACTGCGCTGTAGTCCTTGTACGTAGCATAGGGTGCAATAAGCGTCTTCTCGTATACGAGTCCAATAAGTGCAGCCCTGGTCATGATTTCGAGACGATTTAGCTGGTGCTGATATCGTGAAGATATAATCTGTTTGTGTGTTAGTTTGATTGATTCATAACATGGATCACACTTCTCATACAGCTTGTCCAATGTATATTATCGCAGAGATGATGATTATGGTGCATGAAAGCTGATAAGATTGCCCCTCCAAAGCATTGTTGGCCAGCAGTCGCAAAATCTTACCCATCAGAAGAGGTTGAGCATAGCGGAAGACAACGAGCATTAATCTCGTTGGTGCGATGGTAGCAAAGTCTGGCATAAGGCACTTTGCCCAAACGAATGGCAACGACAAACGACTTTCTGGTTTTGCTGTGGAACATTGTCAATTCTGATACACTTGATGCGATCGGAAGACTTACATCTCCGATCCCAAGCCATTAAAATGTTCTGACGCAATTTTGTAGGTCCAAACTGACGAGGATTATGGGGCAATGATCCTAGAGAGAATACGAAGTCCTTTCCAGCAAAGAGTATTGAACTCACCCAAGCGAAGCTGGCTTTGCTCCAAAGTCCAGCTGTTCCTTCGGGTGCAAGCTCTTGGAAATTGTCGAGCAAAAGTATTTCTTACTTCGAGACTCGATTGTGAGGCTCGCCGCCTCCATGATTGTTCGTAGTACCTGAATTGGAATAGAGCCTCTGTCGCAAAACAGCAGTAACGTGAATACGTTCAAGAAAGTACGTATAGATAGATAGGAAACCATCAAGGCCGATGGACTCACAGAGCGGTAGTGCTCTCGTGGTGATATAATCGTGAGACCAATGATTGCGACGAGGTGGGCTACTTCGAACAGGGCAATGCTAGACTTAGTCGGCACCGATGCAGAGATACCTACAGTAGAAGACTGGAACACCAATAAGGCCAGATTGCAAGCCTTGACAGCAGTAAGCAACCTGATGATTGTTCCGCCATATGCTTCGGTGGCTAGCTATTCCAATACTCACGACTTTGAGATTCCCTTGGTGATGTGGTCCGATCTTGATGGACGACTTTTCTAGTTGACGCCATCTCAGAGCTGCAGAGATGACAAAGCACAACGATGCAGCAAAAGATAGGATGAAAATCCAGTTGTGAAGTTCGGAAGAGGTTCATCGCTCGAAGCGGAGGCATTATCGAGATACATAGCGGAAGACAAGGTACTGTGTTTATGACCAAAGACACATGTTTGTGCTGGAAAGCACGATCATGATTGACAGGGTTCGCTCCTACCCTTTTGTGAAGAAGACAGAATGCTAGAAGTCGGGTAATCATATGGACGCCTGCCTATCACGGCGCCGTGCCCCTGAGGAGTAGAGACAGCCCACGCGCTAACGCCAGCCATAATATGGAAGCATGTTTAGCATTGGATGCTTTACTTGTCTTGATATCCGGTGTGCAGAAATGAGCATGAGTATGAGTATGAGACCGGCATGTAGTGCAGGTTGCGGCGTTGCGGCGTTGCGGGCAGCGAAAGGTCGAGCCCGAGGGACAAAAGTCGACGTGACTGACGCAAGATGGTTGTAGCTTCTATGCAACCCAAAGGACGGGCTCCAGTTCAAACCACCGCCATCATGTCCAACGAGAGCGTAGCACTCGAACTCGAGGTGCCCGATGAGGATCAAGAGGCGCTTCAAAGGTTCCTCGGGACGACATCGTTTGGCAAACAGACCAAAGGCGCCGAAGCCGACGATAGATTCGAGCAGAGCAAGAGACAAATAGTTGTTACCAAACAGGCCGACTCAAATTCCGACTCGGACGATGACAACTCAGACGACGACTCGGACGATGAAGACGAATACCCCGTCTCGCATGAGATGGTTTTCAAGACACACGACCGCGCCGTCACATCAATCACGCTCGACGCGTCTGGAGGACGATTGGTGACTGGCTCCAACGACTGCACTCTCAAGTTCCACGACTTTGCTTCTCTCACGCCCTCGACCATCCGCGCCTTCAAATCCGTCGATCCCTCGTCCGTCAAAGGCTCTGCCTCGGCCGAAACCCACCCCGTCAATCACGTCTCGTTCAATCCCATCTCGCCTAGCACCATCCTCGCCATTACCGCTCATCCTCAACCGCGCATATTAGATCGTAATGGAGAGACTCTCGCCGAGTTTGTCAAGGGTGACATGTATCTGCGCGACATGCACCACACAAAGGGTCACATCTCTGAAGTCACTTGCGGTGTCTGGCACCCACTCGATCGCAACATCTGCGCAACCGGAGGAACAGACTCTACCGTCCGTATCTGGGACGTGAATAACCCTAGGCAACAAAAGAACGTCATTGTACACAAGTCAAGAGCTGCTGGTTCTGCCGGAAGGACGCGAATCACTGCTCTTGCTTGGGCTGCTAATCCTCAGCACAATCTTCTGGTTGCTGCTGCTCTTGATGGCAGTCTGGTCATGTGGGATGGCAACGGCCCCTATACCAGACCTGCTGCCGAGATTCGCGATGCTCACACCAAAGACACTTGGACCAGTGGTCTGCAGGTCAGCTCTACTGGTCAGCTTGTCATGACGCGCGGAGGCGATGATACCATCAAGCTATGGGACACCAGGAAATTCAAGCAGCCACTAAGGACTGTCGAGTTCCCATCAATGTCAAGCCAATACCCCACGTCTAACATCTGCTGGTCGCCATCGGGTACCGAAGTCCTCACTGGCTCTGCAAATGGTGATCTCCACATCCTGAACCCTGCTACGTTAAGATCAGAGTTGGTGACCCCAGTGACACCGGGCTCTGCTCTGATTAGTGTCTACTGGCACAAGGAGCTGAACCAAATCATAACAGGTTCGGCGAATGGAGAGACGCATGTTCTCTACAACATCAGTATATCAGAAGGTGGCGCAAAGACTGTCATGCTCAAGGCTCCTAAACGTCGTCACATTGATGATGATCCTAACCTGACCATGGATCTGTCTCATGGTATTGGTGGTGATGCTGTCATCCTGCCTGGAGGTTCGGCTCCAACCGCTGCTTCCTTCGCGTCGAGACACCCTACAATTGGCTTGACAGCCTCAGGCAAATCAAGAGATCCTAGACGGCCACATATCCCAAACACAACGCCCTTTGCAAAGAGCAATGCAGACGCAGCCTACATCAAGGAACACATTCCTCTTAGTGGCATGCGCGAAGAAGATCCAAGAGAGGCTCTTCTCAAATATGCCGACAAGGCCAAGAACGATCCATTGTTCACGAATGCCTGGGCCACCACACAACCAAAAACGATATATGCTGAGCTCAGTGATGAGGAAGAGGATGGACCAGACAAGAAGAAAGCCAGACGTTGATTGATGATCTCCATCTTTAATGCTCATCTGTCACGGCGACCCCAAAAATAAATCATGATACCCAATTCGAATAACGCATATTGACCCTTGGAACATATGACAAAATGCGTGACTGGTGCATACCAAAGCCCTGCCCAGACGGCCCGATAACGCCATGAGGCTTTCACAGGCTTATCGGCGGTCGCCCCACTTATCTTTTGTGTTGACAGCGCCCAACAGACCATACAGATTGCTGGGAGTTGCCATGTGGTGACTGGGTAATCGCGACGTCTACAGCTCTTCAGTGACGCCGAAAACTTTCATCCCTCTGCAATTTTCATCTTCAACGCCAAATATCTAAAACGACGCTTCTCCTACGAACCCGACGATCTTCTGACGATTTCCGCCAAGCAATCCAGAGGCAGCTTCCACCCCCAGCCACTACGGAGGCTCACTCCGATCGACAGCTTTGCGAGGCAACCGACACCATGAACAAGAACACCATCGAAGGCAAGGTCGTCTTTTTGACAGGAGCCGGCTCCGGGATTGGACGTGCCACAGCACTCAAGCTCAGCAAACTGGGAGCACGCCTGGCGCTCAGCGACATCAACATCGAATCATGCCGGGAAACCGCCAAGCAATGCGCCGGAGGGCCTCACCAAGTGACGCTGCTCAATGTGGCAGAGTACAAGCGCTGCATCGAGACGGTCAAGGACGCGATAGGCTATTTTGGACGTATCGACCATGTGTTCAACTGTGCGGGCATTAACCCTGTCGCGCGCGACTTGGTCGACTGCAGTGAGGATTACTTTGACAAGCTGGTCGCTGTCAACCTCAAGGGCGTGTACAATGTTACCAAGGCCACTATCCCATACTTGCGCAGTGGTAGCGCAGTGGTCAATGTGTCTTCTATCTGTGGCATCCACCCGCATAAGCAAATGGCCATTTACTGCGCGACCAAGTATGGCATCATTGGTTTCTCAAAGTCCATGGCGTTGGAGCTGGGTCCCAAGGGCATTCGTGTCAATGTCGTTGCTCCTGGATATATCGAGACACCGACGAATTCTAGCGTTGTGGCTGGCGAGGAGGCGCTCAAGAAAACTACTGAGCAAGTAGCAATGGGACGTATGGGCAAGGCCAGCGAGATCGCTGATGTGGTGGCTTTCCTCATGGGCGATGAGAGCAGGTACATGAATGGATCTGTTGTCGAGGTCAACGGCGGTACTGGATAGATGACAACACCATGGGATATGCGGTGTTTGTACGGTGTTTTCGGCAACTTGTCTTTATGTTGTTTTCGTTATTTGAGCAGGAGGAGCATTAGGAGTTGTGGTGAAAAGGCAAAGAGAAGCAGGTAGGCAGGCTATCACAGGACGAAGAGCAATGGCGAAAAGTTCTGTAACTTATTTCCGATTCACGATTCCCTGTGAAACTTTGTTTTGTACCCTACCCTGCAGCTGGTTTACAACCTTCTGAGCTCCGATCGAAGCGCATGTGGTCAACTTCGAAATTTCACTGTGATTGACAGTCACACTATCTCTCCTAGGCTGATGACCAGTGCTATCGTGTACAATGAAAAGGCAAAGCTGCGTTTTAAAGCAGATGAGTGAATATGGAGATAGATCCACAATGATATCTCCTTGGACATTGTATTGCATCAAAAAGTATCGTGTATGTATATACTGTACTGTAAAGCTCAAGCCGAATGAAGAAAGAACGCTAGAGCGAAAAGCAGGTAGGAAATAGGAGCACATGTTGTTCATAATCTACCACATGTTATGCAAAAGCAGGTATGTCCCCTGACCCTAAACTCGCGTGCAATTCAGCAAAAAGATGGATGCAAAAAGTGTTAGACAACAGGCTAGACAATAACCAGCACAATACAAATGTATATCCACAAAAAACAATAGCCAAGAGCACAAAAAAAGGAGAAACGCAGCGAGTGAGATTCGAACTCACGATCTCTACAACTCGGTGTGAGTCACCAAAGTCTCGACCACCTCATGCTCGTGTTTGCAAGACATCTTTGTATAGTGTCTTGACCACTAGACCATCGCTGCTTTTTGGTTGGAAGCATAATGCAAAAACTTATGTCTTGCAAGAAGACAGAAAAGTCAAAGTTGTAGGAAGGAAGGTAGCTCGTAACGGCAGTCACAAGCAAGTCACAACTCTTGCCCGAAGGACAGAGCCAACGCCGCTAATCCCGCTTTCCTACTTCTGTCTTGACCCTCTATAGTTCTTGAGAGTTCGTACCCATCAATAAAAAGCAGCAATGGTCCAGTGGTCAAGACGCCTCGCCTTTACGGTCTTGCAAACACAAGCCTACCGGGCACCCCGAGCATGGTTTACCTTACACGTCTGCCTAGGGATGTTTTAGGTAATGAGGAGGTCGTGGGTTCGAATCCCACTCGCTGCGTTTTCTTTTTTTTTTCCCTTCTGCTTCTCATGGAAAACTAACGAGTATGTCACTATTATCATTCAGGCCTGATGATCAGCGAAGAGTTCCGGACGAAGACGTCTACAGACAAACACAAAAATGACACATAGAGAGCAGAGTGTAATGAATGAGAGTAGATTGTACTAGCTCTGGATTCAGAAGCCCCAGATGCTTGCAGAGATGCGAAGGAGTTTTCTCCCATCGATTGATGTACACAGAGTTGAGATGTCGTTCGGGCTTTCCCACTGTTTAATCCAAAGCCTGATTTTGACACTGAGATTGATTCGTTAGCGTTGGAAATCTTAGATTGGAGCAAGAAATTTACCATATTCCAATAAACACCTCGCTTCTTGACAAGTTCAGTATGATTCCCCTTCTCCACCACCTTTCCCTCATCAAACACAAAGATAACATCAGCAGTCTGGATAGTAGACAGCCGATGAGCAACGGCAATCGTTGTTCTTCCACTCCGTGCACGCTCAAAAGCGGCCTGCACTGATTTTTCAGACTCACTATCCAGAGCGGAAGTTGCTTCATCAAGAAGGAGAAGTTTGGGATTGCGTATCAAGGCTCGAGCAATGGCGATGCGCTGTTTCTGGCCACCTGACATTGCTATGCCTTTTTGGCCGACGTCAGTGTCGTAGCCTTGAGGAAGAGATGTAATGAAGTCGTGGATGAGGGCGTCGCGACAGATCTGATGGATTCTTTCATCTGGAACATGATTGGGATCAGGTACGCCGAAGAGAATGTTGTCACGGACGGTCCCTCGGAACATTGTAGGTTCTTGAGCAACCAGCGATAAATTGCGTCGGTAGTCGTACACATTCATGTCGTTGATGTTGATACCGTTGCAGATGATCGCGCCTTGTCCTGGGCTCACATCGTAGAATCTTTCCAGCAGAGAGATGATGGTGGTTTTGCCACAGCCAGATGGACCCACGAAAGCTGCGTATTGTCCCTTCTCAATGATAATGTTAAGGTCTTCGAAGATGAAGTAATCTCGAGTGGGATATCTGAAAGACACATTGTGAAGCTCAACTCGTACTCCACCGTCAGCTTCGGGTATACTTTTCTCATTGCTCTCCGCAGCACGATTAGTGTTTGCAGACGCCTGTATCTCAAAGATACGATTGGCAGCAGCTGTTGCTTGCGCAGTATTGGGGGCAACACTGAGAACTTGACTCGCGGCTTCTGCACCCTGGATCATCGCCATGTAGCAAACGAAGAAAGCTTCAAAGCCAAACTCGCCACTTGCCAGAAGTCTGCCGCCATACCAGAAGATCAGTGCCTGACAGCCAAGGCCGGCACTGTCTGCAAAGCCATAGAGACCAGATGTCCACAGGGCTTTGGTGTGCGCTGCTTGAACGTGTTCAGCCAAGAGCTTCGCATATCGCTTGGTGATGATACTCTCCATAGTGAGCGCGGAGACTGTTCTGATCGCACCTATCGCCTCGGTAGCAAACTGCGAGCTTTCCGCGAATACCTTGGAGTTCATCTTGTCAAACTGTACATCATGTCTATATCTCCAGAAACCAGAGGAGAGCATGATGGGCATGGTGACAAACAAGGCGACTAGTCCCAGCTTCCAGCTGAAGATCAAGGAAATGATTATGCATCCAATCACGTTGAACATTCCAGACAAAGCGAGCGCGAGATTGAGACCAAAGACCTCTTCTAGAGACTTGGCATCACCAGCGATACGCGAACTCAATGTTCCATGGGAGTTACTATCCTTGTCGAAGAAGCTGATCTTCTGATAGAGCATATCAGTGAAGTGCTGCGTCTTGTATACTGCACTGACGAAATACTGGACGCGCAAGCCTACCCAGGCTTCGCAAAGGTTTGCAAGGCCCGATCCTGCAGCAAGGACAAGCCACATAAGAGCCCAAGATCTGGACCTGCTTTTTGCATCTTCGCCGTCCAAAAGGAATACCCCAAGGACTTTTGCAAAGAGCCAAGCTTGGATTGGCGTAGCTGCTGCTACTGCCATGGCAGAAAAGACGATTCCGACGAGAGAGACTCGATGAGCTCGCTGTGTATTTAGAAGTCTTTTGAAGGTCTGGAAGAGGTTCTGAGTAGCCACAGTTGGCGCATCCTTGTGAGTGTCGAGACTGACCGGTTCAGTGGCCTGTATAGTGTCGCTTGTCGTCTTTCCAAGAACCTCATTTACATCCAAGGACTGCTGTTCAGACTCCGCTTGGTCGGTAGAAGAGAGATGCATCGACTGAGCACGTATCAAGGCACTGTATGCACTGGATGAATCCTTGACGAGACTCTGGTGAGTTCCCTGCTCGATCGAACGTCCATTCTGCAACACAATGATAGAATCAGCCTTTTTGATTGTTGAGAGACGATGAGCGATGGTGATAGTTGTGCGATTCTGCGCAATTTTGTCAAGAGCCATTTGGATGATCTTTTCGGATTTAGCGTCCACGGCGCTTGTGGCTTCGTCGAAAATGATGATCCGTGGCTTCTTGATTATGCTTCTTGCAATAGCAATTCGTTGTTTCTGCCCTCCTGAGAGTTTGATACCACCGTCGCCGACTTTCGTGTGATATTCCTGCATTGGTCAGTTCCGAACAAAGCTCAGTCGAACATGCGAGCAGCAAGCCCATACTTACATCAGGTAGCTGGGTGATAAAACCATGAGCGTACGCTTCACGGCATGCCTCCTTGACGAGTCCGAATTTCTGTTCTTCCGAACCGTTCTCCCACTCAGTGCCGATAAGCCCATTCGCGACGTTGTTGATGATACTGTCATTGAAGAGGAAAGGCTCTTGCTGAACTACTCCGACCTGAGACCTCCACCATCTAAGGTCCAAGGTTTCAATATTGTGATCACCAATGCTAATGGAGCCGCATAGGACAGGTTTGACCTGTAATTCAGCTTGCTCGTCGATCACTTCAGCCTCCAAAGTCTCGGGTTTCTTGGATGGCTTCTCTGCGACCACCTTCTGCAATGTATGTTGATCTTGGAGTGAATACCAACGTTCCAATAGACCGACAATCGTACTTTTACCCGAACCAGAAGGGCCAACGAAGGCTGTGTTTTGACCTGATCGAAGGCAGAAGCTTAGTCCGTCCAGAACTCTGACACCAGGACGACCCGGATATTCGAAAGTGACATTGTCGAAAACCAAATCTTGCGAGCTGATATCTGGTTTGAGAGAGCCAGAGGTAGGTGGCGGTGCATCAATGACTGTCAAGAGCTCGCAAGCAGCAACCATGGCTTTACTTACGGCCATGAGAGGGGTTGATATGAAGCCCAGTGACGTTATAATCATCATGACAGACATCAGCACGACGATGACCACACTTGAATTACTGATTCCGCCAGCGATGTACTTTTTGGTTCCGTACCAAAATGCTAGGCCAAAGGCGCCAAAAATGCCGAAATACTGTTGGTGTCAGTATGCTTACCATCAAGTATGGTGAGTCGCTCCCAAGACATACCAGCAGACCCAGTTGGATGCCTAGAAATGGAGCTGCCTTTTGTGCCCTCTTCAAGGCCTCTTGCACCCAGTTCTCATAACGAGCAAGGACATGGTTTTGGCCACCACATGCTAAGACCAGACGTATCGCTCCGAGAGCCTCGCTTGCAACGGCTGTTCCTTCTTCATCGGCCTTGAGAGTCGCAGTTTGACCTTTGAGGATGAGGGGCATAAGGAACGTGACGACCAGCATGGTATACAATATCAATGAAGATGTAACCAATGCCAGATCCCAGCTCCAGATGAATGCAATGATAATGGCAGCCACAATCGTTGTGATATACTGCAGTAATGTACCAAGGCGTTCGGAGATACCAAGCTGCAGGGTATTTGTTGTTGCGGTGATTGCAGTTGCAGGAGCTCCTGCAGGCATGGAATCAATGACATGGATTGATTGCGCGAATAGCGATCGCAGATAATGAAGGCGTATAGCTGACGACAGTCTAATGCCAATCATTCTGAAGCAATACTTATTGATGGCGTTTAGACCCCAACGGCCCATGAAGAGAGCCATGATGTACAAGGCCTGGCGGTTCAGAATACGGTCGAAATCATCTCGTGTCAAGGCGGTAGATGCACTGTAGTAGTCCGTGAATTGGCCAGCGAGTTGTCCGAATACGACGTTCATGAGAGGAAGAGTTATACCAGCGCCGACTGATGCGACAGAGGCAATTGTGTAGACTAAGAAGTCCCATTTCGTTGCATACGAGAAGACCCTGAGGTAGTCAGAAATCTTTGGTGTCCTATTGGTTTGCTTGTCATCTGTTCGTGCCTCTTTCTCATCAACTGCAACAATGTTCTTCACCATGTTGCTCGAAGAACCGAGATGGTGAATTATGGGCTGTCAGGTGGCAGGCTCATGTATAGTAAAAGAGGACCACTTTTAAGTCCTGAGGCGGCTTGCTGGCCTTGATGTATACTATGTTACGATCGAATCATCCTAACTCGACTTTGCTGGCAAGTTTCAAGCTGTTGCCTGACCGGTACAAAGGGGGAAGCAGCGCGCTCCTGCGGCATGTCTTATGACTACTTTGACCAATGAAATTGTACAAGGAAAGCTTGGCCAATATTCCGAACCCTGTGTACTCTACACCGGTTTCAGCTGGGCTGAGTCTGCATCATGTAGTATGTGTTATACTGCTGTCCACCTTGCGCCTAAGATGGCAAAAGAACCCGAAGTAGAGTGAGTTGATGTCACGGGTCAAACATGGCATAGGAAAAGATGGTCAGGAATGCTTGACGAAAAGGGAAGTTGCGGGGAAGAGTTGAATGCGGGACAAGACGCGGAGGACGGAAGAAGCCGTGGACCATGATGACCAGGAAAAAGTGCAGCAGCCAGAGCCGCCACGCCAAGCGGACATTTGTTGGACAGACAAGATGAGGGTATACGGAGTTGCCAGAGCACAGAGCAGCGCATTGCGATCGCTCGAGGTCGCCTCGCGCAATGCTTGCCGCAGAAACTACTCTGTTTCGCGCTGGGCCTCGCCCGCTCTGCTGCGATCCCAGAGTGCTGCCATCACCGAGAGGACGACCGCATGGCAGCCCAGGAGACTCCAGAGCGGTACTGCCGCTGCTGTGTATGTGCTCTCAAGTCATTCCAACTTCATGACTGACCCAATCCAGNNGCTCGACCACGCCATGCAGGACCCCAGCTCGCTCTCGCAGACCGACATCGTCAACAACCTGAACCCCAAGGAGGCCGCCCGTCTGGACAAGCTGAGAAACATTGGTATCGCTGCTCATATTGACAGTGGAAAGACAACGGCCACCGAGCGCGTTCTGTACTACACCGGTCGTATCAAGTCGATTCATGAAGTCCGTGGCAAGGACTCGGTCGGAGCAAAGATGGACAGCATGGACCTGGAACGTGAGAAGGGTATCACCATTCAGTCGGCTGCCACTTTCTGTGACTGGGTCAAGGTCGACCGTGAGAAGGGAACCGAGGAGAAATACCACATCAACTTGATCGATACCCCTGGCCATATCGACTTCACCATCGAGGTCGAGCGTGCTCTACGTGTGCTTGATGGTGCTGTCATGATTCTGTGCGCTGTCAGTGGTGTTCAGTCTCAGACACAAACTGTCGACCGTCAAATGCGCCGCTACAACGTCCCCCGTATCTCCTTCATCAACAAGATGGACCGCATGGGTGCCAATCCCTTCCGCGTTTGCGACATGATCAACAAGAAGCTCCGTATTCCTGCCGCCATGATCCAGGTCCCTATTGGTGCCGAGGACGAGTTCAAGGGTGTTGTCGACATTGTCCGTATGAAGGCCATTTACAACCAGGGCGAGAAGGGAGAGACTATTGTCGAGTCGGATGAGATCCCTGCCGATGTCAAGCAGGTCGCCGAGGAGAGACGCAAAATGCTCGTCGAGACTCTCGCCGACGTTGACGACGAGATTGCCGAAATGTTCCTTGACGAGCAGGAGCCCACCATTCCTCAGATCAAGGCCGCCATCAGACGTGCCACCATCGCTCTCAAGTTCTCTCCCGTCATGATGGGTTCTGCTCTTGCCGACAAGTCTGTCCAGCCCATGCTCGACGGTGTCTGCGATTACCTCCCCAACCCCTCCGAGGTTGAGAACGTCGCTCTTGACAAGAGACGCAAGGAAGCTCCCGTCAAGATGGTCTCCTACCAAGAGTTGCCTTTCGTCGGTCTTGCCTTCAAGCTCGAAGAGAGCAACTTCGGACAGCTTACCTACATTCGTGTTTACCAAGGAACTATCAAGAAGGGACAGGTCGTCTACAACGCTCGTACTGACAAGAAGGTCAAGATTCCCAGAATCGTGCGTATGCACTCCAACGAGATGGAGGAAGTCAACGAGATTCATGCTGGTGAAATCTGCGCTGTATTCGGTGTCGAGTGCGCCTCTGGTGACACCTTCACTGACGGTACTCTCGGCTACACCATGACTTCCATGTTCGTCCCTGACGCCGTCATCTCGCTCTCCATCAAGCCCAAGCAGACCAAGGACACCCCCAACTTCAGCAAGGCCATGTCGCGTTTCCAGCGTGAGGACCCTACATTCCGTGTTCACGTCGATACCGAGTCACAGGAGACCATCATCTCCGGTATGGGTGAATTGCATCTCGATATTTACGTCGAGCGTATGCGCCGTGAATACAATGTTGACTGCATTGTCGGTCAGCCTCAGGTCGCTTACCGTGAAACCATCCAGTCGCGTGTTCCCTTTGACCACATTCTCAAGAAGCAAACTGGTGGTGCTGGTGATTACGCTCGCGTCGTTGGATGGATGGAGCCTACCGGCCAAATCGCCGACAACCACTTCGAGCAGCAGATTACTGGTGGTACCATCAGCGAAAAGTACTTGCTTGCTTGCGAAAAGGGTTTCTACGCATCTTGCGACAAGGGTCCTCTGCTTGGCCACCGCGTCCTGGGTGCCAGTATGGTCATCAACGACGGTGCCACTCACATGACCGATTCGTCCGAAATGTCTTTCCGCAACGCCACCCAACAAGCCTTCCGCAAGGCCTTCCTTGCCGCCCAACCCCAGGTCCTCGAGCCCCTGATGAAGACCACCATCACCGCACCCAACGAGTTCCAGGGTAACATTGTCGGTCTGCTCAACAAGCGCAACGCCGTCATCTCTGATACCGAGATTGGCCCCGAAGACTTTACTCTTTACGCCGACTGCAGTCTGAACTCCATGTTTGGTTTCTCCACCCAACTCAGAGCTGCTACACAGGGTAAGGGTGAGTTCTCGATGGAGTTTAGCCATTACTCGCCTGCGCCCATGCAGTTGCAGAAGGAACTCATTGCCAAGCACGAAAAGTACCAGGCCGAGAGAAACAAGAAATAAAGCAATGAACAGAGTATAATGAGATGGATTCTGTACGATATTTGTTGGATTGGCTGGGCCATGTTTTCTTTTTGGAGACGCAAAAAAAAGTTGATGTTCTGCTGTTTCTCAACCCGTGGCATATGGAATGGCGTGAATGGAGTCTTTTTTCTGGATTGTACATATACTATTAGTTCTTTGGCTGCGGAGTTGGGTCCCTCGATAAACGGAGGTATAGAAGTAGACTCTCGACTTTTGTATTCTTCGTTCGGCTATGTTTGCTCTGTGGATCTCCACGAGATAGGCCATCATCAGTCTTCTGTTGCGGCTCAACTGGAGTGTACAGGATGTTGGCTGGGATAGGATCATATACACATCGAATTAGCTCGGCTACCATCAGACCAATCAGGAGTCCAGAGTCGCCGGCTTCACGCTGTTACACGGTGTAGTTGATAGGCCACCTCGACCGACGGTTGGTTTGTGTTTTGGCAGTTCAATGGTCTAGACGTATCAACTTTTGTTGTATTTATTCGGAAGTTTTGGGTATCTTGTACAACAGCACGTCGATGCTCTGTTTCGTGTCTTCCGATATTCTCGTTCAACGGACTGTCCCTCTAGTCCAGACCGGCGAAGGAGCCCATGCTCTTGCGCCTCCAGACTTGTCCTTGCCCTTTGCGCGCTTTCTCTTCTTTCTACGTTTGCGACCCATGTCTTCTTCGTCGCTGCTGTCATCGCTACCCATGTCGCTGTCGTCATCGTCACTGTCTGCATCGCTGCCTTCGGCTTCTCTCTTGAGATCACCATCCACGTAGGCGTGCTGGTCTTCATCGACCATCTCGTGCCAGACCTTGATGGTGCTGCCACCTGCTGTGATAAGTCTGCCTGCAACGTCGAAGTCCAAGCTTACGACACCCTCGACATCGTCGTGTGTGATCTCCGAGATGACCTTGTTGGGACCGAGCTTGACGAAGCGAACCTTGCCGTCGCCCATACCCACAGCAAGAACCTTGCCGCCGGGACCGACATCTGGAGGCAGCACGCGAATGACGTCCAAACTCTCACCACCACCAGCGCTACGGTCGACAGTAATGCGCTCGTCTTGGTCGTCCCAGACTCCACGCTCCCACAGTGTAAGCACACCATCACCACCACCGACGACAAGCTTCTCGCCCTTTGACGAACTGGTCTTACGTGCGGGCAAGCCAGAGACGAAGCAGGATGAAAGCAGAATCTCTTCTTGGTCTTCGCTGCGGACCAGGACTCCGCGACGCAGATCAGTCACGCTGAGGGTAGTGCCGCCAGTTGTGACCCATTGTTTGCTGTAGCCAGAAGTGCTGGTCTCGGAAGCAGGAAGTGGCGTCAAGGAGGAGATGTAGTCTTCGTGGGGGTGGTGTGTTTGCGAAGGACGAGTAGTGGAGAAGGTGGAGAAGTTGGCTTCGCGGGTGTCGTAGAGGTGGAGGGCAGAGCTGTCGGTTGCGAGGAGGAATGTTTGGGGACTGAGAATGTGGAGGATTGAGGGTTCGTCGATGTCGTCGGTTGNCGCTATGTCATTCGTCAACTGACAGTAATGGTGGCTACATGTGGTGAATACTCACGGATCAAGAGGAACAGCAATCTTGGTGACAACCTTACCAGTGACACTATCGGCGCCCTTGACAATGCCGTCAGTACCAGCACTGAAGAGGGTGCTTCCGTCCAGACTGTAGCCGAGACTTCTGCAGCTGCCCTTGTGTCTGCGCGTACGCCATGCAGCTTCAACCTGACCTCGCCCAGTTGCTGCAGCTTCGGCTTGAGCCTCATCCTCATCATCGCCCTCGACTGGTGGTAGTTTCAAAGTCGCAACATGTCCGGAGCTAAGTCCTACAGCGACCAAGGGTGCCGTGGGATGGAGCGCCTGAGCGAACAGCTCCGACGAAAGCGGGAGCGTGCATATCGTGTCGAACATGGCGATCTGTCGTTCTTGCCAATGCTGCCAGGTCAATTCGTTGTCGCGAACGCGCTTTTTGGGAAACTGCTATTTTTTCTACGTCCTGATCTAGTTAGTGCCGGCTTTAGGAAGGACTTACCCCAGACTATGACATCGCCTCGGCCGTTCCTTCCCCCTCATGAACCATCTCGGGAAACCTCTGGAAAAGCAGTTCCTTCCTCGTCGAGATCCACTCTTCGTCCCTTAGCCTCCTTTTAGACCCTTCAGTATGATGTCGACATATTCCTAGTGCTGCTCTGTAACATCGACTTCTCCTAGGTATCGTCTTGCTTTTTCCTCAACCATCAATGTCATTTTCCTAGATCCCATCTCTCTCTCCCCCTCGTTCCTAGATCCCTATAAATTATTACTAGAATAACACTCACCAATGAAGAAGAAACAAAACCAAATCACCTTTGGCTTCTGCGACGTCAACACTGGACAACGAGTATATCCCGCCCTCACCGACTTGCCTGACAAGCTTCCGCCTGCCCAACAATTTTACACTTCCGAAGACAACATGTACGCTGTTATTACCTGTTCACCGCCAATTGGCCAGCCCACAACCGTTTCCAGAGATCAGGATACTGTAAAGGCTCTTTCTATCTGTATATTGTCTTTCCTTGCTGATATTCATTCAGATCACNNTTTCTCTGTCTTGTTAGAAGCGTCTGCCTCAGCATTAGGTACATATCTTCAACCCCTGTTTTTGCACATGTGTGCTAACTCAAATCCTCCAGTAAACGAAGAGAAGATCAAAGTCTCGATCTGGCACAACCAGAAAGGTCAGCACGATTGGTCAGAACTTCCTCTCCAGGCATCCAGTGACTTCGAAGATGTTGTGAGTCGTTGGACAAAATGCTTGTGCGATATAAGCTTACACTCCAGNTTACTCATCAATTCCAAAACACAAATCGCTCGCAAATGGTATACTGGCGAGCTTTCTGGCAGACCCAATGATCTTCGACCCGTGTCTTTCACTGTCAAATTCCAGATTGGTGATGATGCAGGATGGAAGTGGATCAAAGATCAAAGCGGGCTGGATGATGGGCAACTGCATTATCAACAGTCTCACGAAGAGTTAGGCTTTCCTGCATACTTCAGCGGCACTAGCTCCGATCTCAACATTCGCAAGACGACTGCCGATACTCCCAAAACCAAGCTGTACTCTATCACGGCGTCTATCGAGCCTGCCAAAGGCAAAGATTCTGGCTACAGTAGATATGTTCTGGGCACACCAAAAGACTTCACCCGCTGGTTCTCTCTAGTACGGCTGTGGAGCCCCTGGCTAGCTCCACGTCAAGGCAAAGACAAGTTCTATCTAGACAAAGATGCTGTTCTAGCAGCTTTTTTACGACACGACGGAGCTCATGTTGTTTGTCTCGCTATTAGTGGCGTCGAGGATGTTCTCACCATCTTCCAGCATGATGACAGCGGTAATGTTGTTATACAAGGTCGTAACGATCGCGAGAAAGAAGGCACTAGCCACATAGTCGTTGCAGTCGCAGATTCTTTTGAGGTAGCGAACGCTGCAGTCATGTATCATGCAAGAAAGATAGTCGGAGGCTACGAGTCAGTTTCTGGTGAGGTGGAAGCCGAAACCAAAACTCTGATGGACAAGAACGTCAAGGCCGAATGGCTCGAGGAGTGGTATGATGGCTTCACCTACTGTACGTGGAACGGTCTGGGCCAAAAGCTCACCGTCGACAAGATCAACGAGGCCTTGGAGTCGCTGGAGAAAGAGAACATCATCATTGAAAATTTGATCATTGATGACAATTGGCAGTCGTTGTCGGAGGGCCAGACACAGATGGACAGAGGCTGGACTGACTTCGATGCGAACAAGGAGGGCTTCCCACAGGGTCTCAAGCATGCTGTCACAGACATTCGCAAGAAGCATCCAAACATCAACCACATCGCAGTATGGCACGCGATCTTGGGCTACTGGGGCGGTGTCGCTAAAGATGGTAACATTGCGAAGAACTACAAGACAACAAAGGTCCAAAAAGAGCCGGGAGTTGCAGAAGGCGAGATGCTCGTTGTCGAAGCCTCTGACGCTCAGCGCATGTACAACGACTTTTACTCATTCCTAAGCGACTGTGGTATCACTGGAGTCAAGACTGACGCTCAATTCTTCTTGGATATGATTGTCGATGCACCCGATCGCCGAAATTTGACAACCGAGTATCAGGATGCTTGGACAATCGCTCATCTTCGCCACTTTGGCTCACGAGCTATCTCTTGCATGTCTCAATCACCTCAGTTGCTCTTCCATTCGCAACTACCGACTAACAAGCCCCGACTTCTTGTTCGCAACTCCGATGACTTTTTCCCCGAAGTACCAGCTTCTCACCCTTGGCATATCTTCTGCAATGCCCACAACTCTCTGCTCACCCAGCATCTCAATGTGCTGCCTGATTGGGACATGTTCCAAACATCACATGAATGGGCTTCTTTCCATGGTGCAGCTCGCTGCGTGTCTGGTGGACCAATCTACTTCACTGATTATCCTGGCAAGCATGATATCAAATTGATCAACCAGATGACTGCTAGGACTACACGAGGCAAGACTGTCATCTTGCGCCCATACAACATCGGCAAAAGTACGAGTGCCTACACTGGCTACGAAGATCACGCCCTCCTGAAAGTCGGCACCTACCACGGATACGCTCGCACTGGCACAGCATATCTGGGTATCTTCAACTGCACACAGCGCCCACTATCTGAACTCGTTCCCTTGTCAACCTTCGCAGGCGCTGAGGAAGGCAAATACGTAGTTCGCGCTTTTACCACTGGTGCAGTCAGCAAGCCCATGTCTTGCGGCGAGAAGAAAGCTCTGGCTGGTGTCGAGATTGGCGTGGGCGGTTGGGAGATTCTGTCCGCTCATCCCGTTCACGAACACAAGCTCCATCGTAGCGGTCCTGTTGCAGTATCTTGCCTTGGTCTCATTGGTAAGATGACTGGTGCAGCCGTCATAATCAGCAGCGACATCTATGTCGACAGTCAAGGAAAGTTGAGATACTCTGTCCTCATAAAAGCTCTGGGCGTACTTGGCTTCTGGATTGGCGATCTGAGCAAGAGTTGGAATGTCGAGAAAGACATGTTGGTCTTGATCTTTGGAAAGCAAATTCCTGAACACTGTGTTAGTGTCAATGGAGATGTTTTGGAGATTGACGTGGATAGAGCTTGGAAGGAAACTGGACAGAAGGCTGGATGGTCGAATGAGATTGAGGTCGAGTTGTTCGTGTCTTGAGATTGGTCTTCGTTAGCTTAATTTAGAGTTGACAATTGTCTTGAATCAACTTATGCTTTCTCACAAGTTCCCTTTCTTTGTGACAGGTAAAATCAATGCTAACAATCACAAAGCTCATCAAGAACTCGATCGACTTCATTATCGAAGCCGCTGGCCAGATGCTCTTGACATAGTCCACAAAGCATACCAATACTATGTTGCTCGCGGCGGGAGTGAGTCTGACAATAGCATATCTCAACTACATGAGTGACTCTTAGGCTGCGGAAGTCAAGTGCGGATCTTCTTACGAGACAGGCTAGGACATCGATCGTCTGATCTACCAATCAAGCCAGTCTTTGTCAAAAGTCCCGAATAGAGAGTGCAGAACTGCAGATCAGTCTGACAGAGTGCGTCAAAGATGCTTTGGTGTTATGTTGCTTGTGGTGGAAGTCATCGAGGTAACTTAGGTTAGCTGACTTCTTGGTGGGAAGTGCAGGTCACTGAAAAGCCTGGTGTACGAAAGCAAAGCAGATACTTTGAAGTCTGAGTGAATCTATCGTTGATTAGGAATCTCTTGCAAGCAACATCGATGCAGCGCAGCATGGCGACTGCTCTGCAAGCAGATTGCTCGACAATGGGTAACAAATTCGGTAGACAATCCGTATACACCATAAACTCGAAGCCATCAGCTGGCAAGTAAGAGATGAGAAATCGCCGACCAAAACAAATTCGTCCAACCCCTGAATCGAACCTTGAGTAGTTGAAAGAGTTAAAAGAACCGTGTAATCACGACCACTGAGCCAGCCGCACGTACCTTTCGTATACTCCAGGGGGCAACTGGGGGCGGAGGTGATTGGTTCAATGGAGGAGAACAGATTCGAGTGATATGTGAGGCTACCAGCGCCGGACCAACACATCGTCACAACCCGACAACCACTGTCTCATGGCTTACAAAAGAACATGACTTACACCTTCCCAACTCATAACTCTAGCTGGAGACCCAACGAAACGTCTCAGTTGTACTGAGAAAGACAAGGAAGGTAAAAAGAATTCGAGCAGCCCCTGAATCGAACCTGGAAGCTCCAGCACAAACAAAACGCAAAAATGAAACCGTGTAACCACGACCACTGGGCCAGCCGCACGTCCCTTTCGTATACTCCAGGGGGCAACTGGGGGTGGATGTGATTGGTTTCATGAAGAAAGGGCAATCTGGCTGAGTTATGTAGCCCTTCTGAAGACAGTCAGGTGTAAGAACTTGACTCGGCAGATGTCGACAACAACACAGAGTGTAGGTGATCCTCTTGTGGTGGCTGTTCCATGAACACTATCTTCATCGTCAAGTTGTTCGAGATTGGACTTGTAATCAGTGACATGGGAGGTGGGATCTTGTTGCATGTCGGCGAGAGAGACATTGCATTGAACAACATCCCGATCATAATCGAAGCATTTGTAGTTGCTCATGAGAGCCGTGACAATACTGGGAATTTCGTATAGAATGTTCAACCTCCTTCCCTCTTGTTCATCCTCGCTTCAATATCTCCCAGGGGGCCTTCGTGTGGCTTGTCATGAAGCAAAATGCTCTTCTTCCCTCCTGGTTGATCTAAAAAAACGCTGCCTTCCCAAGCCAACGAGCGTGGCAACTCGCCTAGACGCCGCTAGTTCTCCATCCCCACGTCTTCTTCTGCCTTGTTCTGATCAGAACTCTGACCTGCAACATTCAGGCCCGACGGCAGCCGACCAAACTCTCCGGTGGATCCAGCAGCTTCCTTGGCAGCTCTTCTCTCGTCCATATTTACCCAGCGAGCCTGGCTTCTCATCATGCTCTTTTGTCTCTTGGATAGAGGCTCGACCTCGTTGGGATTGAGGTAATCATGCTCACCGTGTTGCACCCAGTGATTGTGGCGGGCGTCGTGGTCAAAGACCTGCTTGTATAGGAGGTCTCTGGCCTGGCCGACGAGTTGAGGGTTACTTCCTATCACAACAGTGTGTCAGCAAGAGATTCTGCATCTTGTCGCACACATCACGATATGGTAGACCTCCTGAGAGCATGCTGAGCAGATAGGGTAGGAGANCTTACCGTAAGTGGAGCTATCGATCAGTCCTTTCTTCTGGGAGCCGACACCAGTCCAGTCCGTCTTTCCCAGGGCGTTGGTCTTGTACCAGGTGAACCCCTTGATGGCATTGGCGGAGGTCATAAGGTACTGTTCGAGAAACGCGGGAATGCGCTTGTCGTGCTCGATTAACTTTCCGACGCGCTTTCTGTAAATGACTGCGTTGGCATCGTTGATGTAAGTGGCATAGAGATGAGGATAATCCTGGTTGGTGGATAGCCAGTTTTCGATGCTTTCATCTCCCTCATGATACCAGAAGTACTGATCGGTCTTGAAGATCCCTTGCTGGGGTTGAGAGTCTGACATTGTGCAGTTATCTTTGTCCTGTGTTATGGTGTGAAATCTGTCAAGAGTCGACATGGGAGAAGAAGTCGAAGAGTTGAGAGGTGTCTAGGCTTGGGAGTGAAGACTTGAGCGTTGATGTCGCGCTTCTTGGGGGTGCGAGCTGAGTGAGCCCTCGATTGGGAGATCCGAGTGCGTGTTCCGTCACTTTCGTATACAGTGCTGACCTCACAGGATCTTGTCGTGGAGGACAGTTTCACTGATTTCCCACCACCACCACCACTACGATCTTCATCAACACCATCAACACCAACAACATCATGTCATCCTCTTCCGCACGCCCTCGCGCTTCCATGTCGGCCTCGATGGCCTACGAGTGGCTGTGGTGTGACGACCACGTCAAGATCACGCAGTGGTTCCTCACCCAGCCGCGCCTAACGTACAAGGAATTTTATGCGTCGTTCATCAACGTCGCCAACAGGGCATGGGAGCTGTCTCGTCAACAGGAACGCGCTCCTTTGGAGGGCCTGCAGAAGACCATCGTTGAATTGCTGCAAAAGGAGCGTATCCCTGCCGATGAGCTGCTTACCGCCCTGCAGGAGTACTCGGCCGGTCTGGGTGAGGGCAAAGGCCGCTGGAAGGAGAAAGGGCTCGTCGCCTTCGACGAAGGTCTCAGTAAGTTGACGATCCGTGCATGTCTTCANCAGACACTGCCCCTGAGACATCCCACTTACACTCAAGTAGACGACAAGGCTCTGACCGCCGGCAAGAACAAGCTGCGCGCAAAGGTCATGAAGGACCTTCGCAAGTCTGAGAACCTGGGTCGTGTCGCTCGCCTCCAAGCCGCCGCCACCGCTGCCAACAATGCCACTATGGCTGATCAGCAACCTCTGCCTGCCTTCAAGGCACCTCCTTCCCTGTCGGCCTATGTGCCACCCTCTCGTTTCCCTGCCTGGTTGGCACCCTCTCCCTTGCCTGTGCCCGCGCCCTCGCCGCGTGGCCTGGCTCTCTCTTGGGATCCGTTCGTGCAGCGCGAACAGCCCCTGTCTTTGGAGTCGATGGGAGACGCCATTGGCAACCTGGGTCCTGCTGCTGCCCCCTGTACGCAGGCCCAGCAGGCCACGGCTCTCTCAGTGCCCGTGAAGTTTGGCAGCCTACCGCTGGCCGGAGGCAAAAAGGCCAACGAGGAGGAAGAGATGCGTGATGGATGGGAGGAGGATGAAGATATGGTGTTGTAAGTAATAGGTTTTGGGGTCGACTTTTGGTTTCTCGTTTTTCATGTTGGTGTACTTCATCTTGTATCATAGCATTATACCCCTTCGCAATCGATTTTCTTGCGCTCTTCACCTCAATTTGCGCGATCGACTGCTTCTTGATTGATGCTGTTCATCATGTCTTACCTGAATTCACCTTGTGCATGTCCCTCTAGGATTAGTGCTTCGCCAACGCCCAGCTTCATAGGGGGTCAGCACAATGTAAAACATGTCAAGCCGCTCGTCCAGTACCTCCAAGTCTTTCAAGTCCTCACTTGGACCCAGGTCACATATTGAGCGAGACGAGTGCAGATTGTATCAGACCAATCACTTCCACCCCCAGTTGCCCCCTGGAGTATACGAAAGGGAAGTGCGGCTGGCCCAGTGGCTGTGATTATCGTTGTCTGGTTTCTTTTGTTTTGCTCACCCAAAGACTGTGGGTTCGATTCACAGCATTGGCTAGTCATCAAAACATTAGAGCAGAGAAGTTTTGAATCCGAACCAGCTCCATCAATTTCATCAAGTGGGGGGAGACACACCGGCAGGGGGGGAAAACGAAGATGCGCCAACAATGAAAGGCCGGACCCGGGCGAGCACCTATGATCGACATTGTGGAGAGATAACTGCGCGAGGAGGTGGACGGTGTCCAAGAGATGGCGGACAGGCACAGTTGTATACCCTCACCACAGAAGCGGGACTTGGCAATTCCATGCAATAAATTCTCACTGTCACCATCTCTTTCTTGATCATGATTGTTCTTGTACGATGAGATGGAACCAAACCACTTACAAATTACAGTCATGGTGCGTATACATTCGTCTACTTTTGGCGCTTGTTTTGTCTACCTGCTGGTGCGGTCTTGCGAGCCGGCACCTTGTTCTGCACAACAGTCGGGGTTGGTCGTGCTGGTCGCACCACACTTGCAGGCAGCTGTGGCTGAGTTGGACGCGCCACACTCACGGGTGATGACAGGCACTTCCTCGACATGTTGGCCACAGTGTTCCTAGAGATGGCATCCATAACCAAAGGCCAGACGTCAGGAGCACGACTTTNTTTCCAGCGAGAGGCGACTGGGCGGGCGTAGAAACGCTGTAGCGACCACCTTGCCCACTTTGGTATTTTAGACGTTGCGTCACTGGCAGTGGCCTGTTCAAGGTTGGCTAAGCGGCCCAAGCCCTCAGGACGAATCCTCAACTCCCCCACGCGCAATGTCTTTGTCCTAGGCCAGGGAAGGAAACCGAGTGTCTGGATATCCATAGTAGTGTCGTTCGGCAGGCTTTTGGAAAAAGAGACCAAGGCTTCTTTGGAGCGGCGAGCATGAGCAGGGACGTCGAGGAAAACATTGGCTATGGTGGGCCTCGTCAGGACATGAAAGAGGGGGAGGAGGGTTGCGGATGCAGCAATGACTAAGAGATGGGTTAGCAAGAAGCCTCGAGAGGGCAAGGCGACACAGATACCTGCAGGAGTCAACCAAAGAGGGCTTTCTTCATCTGCGTAGACATTGGGAGCAATCACAAGGCAAGCCATGATGAATACGCCCAGACCTGTCAGCTTGATGGTACCGATGGTGGCAAGCTCTACCGTCGGCGCACGGTATATCAGCAAGCGACGAGGATACGCTACTAACATCAGTATAGAGATCAAGCATTGATCATGGTTGACTTGTGGTACTGAGTTTTAAAGCGGCCTCCGAAGTCGATGTCGGGCGTGGTGTGGGTCGATGCTTTGGCAAGGCTTTGGCGGCATTGCTGGCGAGACGGTGCTGGAGCAAAGTCACAGCAGAGACCTGTGATCTCGCAGTAGCGAAGCGATACAGAAGCCTCGGCGGCTGGTGGCAGAGGAGGGTCATGTCATGGTATGGCCCTAGAGAAGGCTTGTAGGGCTAATAGCGAACCAGAAAAAAGAGGCAGGCACGATACGACGTTGGAATACGGTCCATGTGCGGGCCGGCCCTCGCTCCATCTGGGGAAGACGCCCAGCCTCAACTGCCAACGCGACTCATCGCAGATGAGGGCATTCTTGAACAGCTGTCATGCAGCAGTATCTAGTTGTCATGTGCTTTGATCAGAGTCGGTCGAGCGCGTCAACATGATCATCTCACGAGTTGCCGGCCTGCTGGGCCTGCTATCCGGAGCACTTGGATACAAGGCTCTCTCGGACGACGGGCTCCGCAACATCGCCGACCCGGCAAACGACTTTGACATCAAACAAGGTGCCCTGCTGGCTCCTATATTGCAGCCGCGTGTTCCTGGCACTCCGGGTTCGACTGCCGTCCTCAACCACTTTGTCGACTTCTTTCGGAAGGAGCTACCCGCGTGGGACTTGACCTTCCAGAACTCTTCGTCGAGGACACCCATCTCTGGCAACGACGAGACTCCCTTTGTCAACCTCATCGCCACTAGAGACCCTCCATGGGCAGACCAAGGACATGTTGGAAGACTCGCCTTGGTCGCCCACTATGACAGCAAGATCGATCCACCAGGCTTCATCGGGGCTATCGACAGCGCCGCCCCATGCGCTATGTTGATGCACGCCGCCAGGAGTCTCGACGATGCTTTGACCAGAAAGTGGGCTGCTATCGAGGCTGAAGGCGAGAGCGAGTTGGAAGAAGCGAGCGGTATACAAATCATCCTGCTGGATGGGGAGGAGGCCTTCAAAGTCTGGACCCATGATGACTCCATCTATGGCGCAAGGTATGACCAGAAGCTTGACATCTCGACACATGCGTGCAGTGCAGCTGACTAGTCGNNCAGATCTCTAGCAGAAGAATGGGAGCAGACGATGCACCCTGCCACTTCCATCTATCGCACTCCGCTAGACGCCATCGACCTCTTCGTGCTACTCGATTTATTAGGCTCTGCAAACCCTACTGTTCCATCCTTCTTCCGAACCACCCACTGGGCCTACTCGAACATGGCAAACGCCGAAGCAAGGTTGCGTTCCTTGAAACAACTGCAAACCACACCCGCCAGTCCCTTCCTTCGAGAAGCGAACAAGAAAGAGTCCGACAGGTGGCTCGGCGGTGCTATCGAGGATGACCACCTACCTTTTCAAGCCAGAGGCGTCGATATCCTCCACATGATCCCTGCACCTTTCCCAGCAGTCTGGCATACAATCGCTGACGATGGAGAACATCTCGATATACCCACCGTCAAAGATTGGGCCAAAATCGTCACGGCCTTTGCTGCCGAGTGGATGGAATTAGATGGCTATCTGCTTCCTCCTAAGAAGAGAAGCCCACTGCCGCAAGCGGACAGGATTGACAGGACCGAGTTGTGAGTAAGCCTTGCTCAAGCGTTGCATTACTACCATCGCCACTTTGATTAATCATGAAACAGGCAATAATCCCCTCTGGATCACCGAATCCTCCGCTTTGGGGTTTCCAGGAGCGCATATAATGCATTCCAGAGCTGTTGGTCACCACAACTCAACATTCCTCGCTTCCTGGACTAGACTTGGTTCAGGCGTGCCACGAATATGCAGCGTAGCATATGCGACATCTCGAAAACGATTTACGACCGACTTGCAAATACTCAAAGATATCAGATTTTCTTGTGCAAACAGATCTTGTATACTCGTGCATGTACTGGATGGGTAAGTCGAGCTCATACTAGAATGGTAAGACAAACTGCCGCGTTCCAGCAACCATTTTTCTTTGTTTTCGGCGAAGAGTCTCATGCTTCTGTCTTTGAGATTCCCGCATGCGTACAACTTCCGTTTTCGGAATACATCATCTTCAACCCATCGTGTATATCATCTTTGTCTTGATTGCGCAAACTCCATTTTCTTTGCTCTGCATTCTCCCACTCTTCCTGTCATCGCCCCCATCCACTCGCAATTATCACTACATACATTTCGCCATCATGCTGCGCCGCCACCACGAGCGCCTCGCTGGGCTCACGCGGTCCAAAATCCAAAGGACACCCGTGAGGTCAAATACAATGCAGAGGTTACTGCCGAACTGAACTCTTACGAAGCGCTTGCCATCGTTGATAAGCAACCTGGATCGTTGGTCATCAACAATTTGAGGGATTGGGAGAAAGATGCCGTCTACCAAATCGCTGCTCCTCATCGATCTGGAGGCGATTTCTCACTTACCCCTCTCAAGTGGTCTTCGCCTGAGAAGCACATAGTCAGAAAACCATCCGCTGAGGAGCAGATGGCTGTACTCAACTTCGGTAAACTGATTGGCTCATTGGCTGGTGGCAAAATTGTGAAGGTTCCTTATGCTGAGGAGTTTACTGGTGCTATCCCCGTCATGGACACTGAGGTTCCTGGAGAAAAGTTCTATTATCTACCCGCTCAGATCGAACAACTCGCGATGAACTGGCGATACTTCGAGACAAAGCCTTCCTATATCGTCATGAAGGCTGGCGAGATGCCCAGCTACGTTTTCTGGAAGCGCAAGGCAGAATTCGCACCATCATACACTGAGGCGGAGCTCCTGGAGCACCACAGGAATATTAGATCGGGTGCACCTACACCAGAGGCACGTCATAGTCCTCTTGATGCCACTGCACCTGTAGCAAGTCCTGCTCCGCTTGCTATCAACGTCGACAACGCCGCCGAGGTGAGCAAGGAAAAGCAGGCTCAACGAGTCTGGGAGGTCTTTGATCCTCGCCTCGAACAAGATCCCATCGAGTTCTTGGAATTCTACAACACTTGCTTGTATGGACGTAAAGGAATCAGATCCAAGTTGATGCTTCGTGAAGCTGATATCGACCGCGTCAACTACATCAGCCCTTGTCTTGCACACAACCACAAAGAGCCTGCCAAGGAGTCAGAAGGCGCTGCCGTCGAGGAGATTGCCATGGACATCGACCCCGTGCGCAATGCCCCTTCGCCTAAGATCGTTAGACCCTCTGCCTCGCAGCCTTCCGATGCTGTTGCCCCCAAGCCATGGGTACAGCCTGGACCCATCGCTGACGATGACCCATCATGGCTAGGTTTCTTCGCCAGACAAGACAAAGAGACACAGATCAGAAACGCACGTATGCGACCCAAGCCCGTCTTCACCACCGAGTTCTGCAACTTACCTTGCACAACGACGCTTAATCCCAAGAAGGCAGTTCTGACACGCGAGTTGTATGACAAGTACTACCATCGTGCCGTCTTGGCCCATCGCGAGATTGAGAGCCGTTCCAAGTGCTGTCTTGCCTGTGGACTCCAGTGGACCAAGTGTACCACAACAAGATATAACCACTACAAGCAGCATCGTGCCGAGCTCAAGCTGTACCTCAACCATTTCCAGAACGAGAATCCTCTCATGGAGGATCCATTGCGTGTGGAGAATCTGGATGCAGCAAAGACTTCTACGGTCAAGGGCGTGCCTGAGATCAACTGGTTCAAAGAACTGGAAACCATCATTCTCAACATGGAGAACGAGCTGCTCGAGCGTCAGCAAACTTGCCGTATCTGCGACAAGCATGTCGACTTTGGCGACGAAAGCATGGCTGATCATTACCAAAAGCATGCGGACCAGCGTAAGCAGTTGCGAACTGTTGGTGCCATTGTGAGCTCAGTCCCGGATACTCCCACTGCTGTCATTGTTACAAGTAATGGAGCAACTATTCTTCCTACTTCGACGTCTGAAAAGTCCTCGCCTGCACGTAGCTACCACAAGCCCTCATACACACCACCACTTATCAGAAAGGTTCAAGCCGAGGAACGCAAGAGGAAGTCAGACCTAGCCGCGGTCGCCATCATGATGGCAGACAAGGCAAAGGAGCTGCAGGAGACTGGAACCATCCAGTCTACCTTGCCATCTCCTATCTCTCTTACTTCAATGTCCAACTCGAGCAGACCTGTCTTTACAGCACCCAACGATGTGATGGACACTACAGAGGATGGACCCATCCACTCGAACATCGTTGGCAAGACCACAGCTCGACTTGCCCTCGAGCCTTGGATGAAGCCTACGACGCCCAAGTCCATGTCTCCTGTAGCTACAGCGGATGACATGGATTTCCTTTCTGGAAAGGACGCTTACACGGTTCCCACAATGAGTGCGGACACAGAGCGTGCCGTGAGGGCTGGACATCGTCCCGCAAAACGCGCAAGACTGAGTCCCAAGATCCAGACTAGTGTCATCGAGGTCGAGGACGATGACACTGATCTCTATACTGCTCCTTCCCCTGTTGCTTCTGTGGAAGAAGAGAAAGCCGAATCTAGTCCCGAAGATCCGGAACTGGTGGCGGCTCTGAGCCAGCTCAAGAATTACTGCGAAGCCACGAATGTTCCCAGCAAGGCGCTCGAGAATGCTCATGCAATGGTGGTTGTCTGTTACCATTCGGGCGATTACAAGGAGATACCCATAGCACTACTCCTCTTGGCATGTGTGTACTACGCCTGTCGCAACAACGGATCCTCCCGCAGCTTCCAAGAACTCTCCAAGGCCGGCTACACACCCGAGGCGATCAGAGAAGCAGTCGAAAGCCTACCCGAGCACTTTCTCGAATCCAGAATCTTCGCCAGTCCTCGCTCAAAACAGCGTCTCGCAAGCCGCGAGGCCAAGAACCGTCAAGTCTTGCCTGAAGCCCTAGACGACGATATCGATTTGTACACCTCCCATGCTCCTGGTTCGGCCGCTGCTGTCGAGGAAGAGGCTGACTATGACCACACAGAGATCATTCAAGCCATTCGCAGCAACTCGGGCGAGCTGGTCGCCTTGGACGATTCCGAGTCGATCGAGAGCGAAGAGGGCGAGGAGGTGCCTAGGGAGTTTGGACTCTGTGAGCCCGGTCGCGGCCCCGTCCATGGTCTTGACAGTGACGAGGACGAGGACACCGACGGCGATGAGGACGCCGAGGACAACGGAGATGCCGACGACAAAGAGGACAGCGGTGATAAAGAAGATGCCGATGCCAATGAGGACGTCGATGAAGTGCCCAAGCAGGATGGAGCTGACGAGGGCAATGACTCCGAGGACTTTGACGACAGTACCAGCGAAGACTTCTGGTTTGCCGATGAAGATGCTCTCGACTTCGATGGTGGCTTCGACGTTGATCAGATGGTCGATGCCGCCACACACGATTTGAACTTGATTCCTGAGCAACTGTTTCAAGCTAGAGATGCTACCAAGGCGCTTGTGCGTGGGATTCGCGAAGATTCTGTCTCTACCAGGAAACACGGCCTTCACCAAAGAGAATGGACACAAAACGCGGTGAGAAACCTCTTTGTCCCGTGCGAGGAGGAGCCTGTACTCGATGCTGCAAGAATCCTTGCTCATGCCACTGGAAATCGCAATCTTCGCAAGATGAACCTCAACCTTCAGCAGGCTTTCTCCGCTGTCGATATGACCAACGCACTCGTTCATTCATTCCAAACAGATGAGGAGGGGCCACCGAGTGATTCTACGACAGAGCAATGGATTGAAGGCTGGGTCGTAGACCACTTGTACAACCTCAACAAGGTACTCGAACGCAAGCGCTCCACCAAGACGCCCACCAAGCGTGCTGAGTTCAGCTTCAAGGATGTTCATGTCGATACCAGTGATCTGCTGAATGGTGTCCGGCTCGAGCTGTATGATCTGTGGAGAATCATCATCAAGGCCAAAGAGGCTTTCGAACAGTTGGTTGCTGCAAATCGCAAGGGCCCTCTCTCGGAGATCAAGTACAGAGTTGTTGAGGCTTCTCCGAGGTGTCTTGAGAGACACCTACCGTCACGGCTACACAGACGCACCCTTCCCCATTCGACCCTCGGTACCTGTTAGACACGACGGCCTCGATCTTGAGCACGAAGACCTCGAAATCGACCAGTTGCTGACGGACGCTCTTGATTGGGGATGTGGTGCCAACAACCTGAAGATTCTCTCGGACAGAGCCTTGGAGATGGCCATAGAAAAGGTCAAGGCCGAACGCGCCTCACATAGTGAAGGTCATCCTGTCATCGCTAGAACCAGAATTGTGCGTGAAGTCCAGGCATTCGTTCGATCCGAGATCGAAGCAGAGAAGCGCTGGAGGCGAAAGCAAGGCCAGACTACTCCTACCCCTTCGTCTGCGAAATGGTCAACCGAAGCTTCAGCAAGTCGCACCCCTCGCACTCCTATCAACTCGCCTTGGACACCGGTAGCTCCCCAGGCCAGCAACAGCAGTGATTTTAGCGGCAAGCGCAAGCGTCCAGCACCCCTGCCCACTCCTGCCTCCAACCGCAAGCGCAAGGGTAGCGATGACTTCTTCCAACCTGGTCCTCCCACCCCTTTCAACCCCGACGAGGTGTCACCAAGAATGCGCAAGATGCCACGTAGGAGCGACGACCCACTCTACCGCCCTGGCTCTGCCCTCTTCGACCCCACTACCCCACCTTCGACACCCAAGCCCGGCAAGCGTAGTAGCATTCAAAAAGCTACCGATCGCACTGCCAAGAAGGTCGAGAAGACGTTGAAGAAGAAGCAAGCCAAGAAAGCTGAGAAAAAGGCCGCGAAGAAGGCAGAGAAGATTGAGGATAAGAAGGGCAAGAAGGTCACCTTCGACGCCGCCTTGGGCTCGATGACATCTTCCCCCAAGCCTTCCTCATCTCCACCAAAGTCATCGCCTCAGGTGATGATCACGAAGAAGGCTAGGTCACCAAGCCCTGCACCTGCCAAGAATGCCACCAAAGTCGTTGGCTCCAAGTCATCAAGGGGTGTCAAGAAATCCGCCGCCAAATCTGGCGTCAAGAAGACTGCGACCAAATCCAAGAAGACTGACGTTGTCGCTGCTGCCACAAGACCGAAGCGTCAAGCTGCCATCGAGGCCGAGAAGAGTTTTGGAAAGACGAAGATCATTGGATGAACCAACAGAAACAGAGAAAACAGTGAATGTTAATGGGATGGAGTGGCTGAGATATGGGTATGCATGATACTATGTTTATGTTTATGGTTTTGGTTTTGGAAGTCGTTTCTGGGAAATAACGATGTTGTCTGCACAGTATTGAATTGAATTGGATTGAATTACTTTTGATGACGTTTGTCTCTTGCTTCCTTCCGTGCCAGTGCTGAGTGAAGTCCATTCCTGCTTCTCACGAACTATGCTAGATCTCGTAGAGGGAGCAAGCGCTGTCGGTCTTTCAGCTTGTCCTCTCGGGAACAGTCAAAAACTTTGCACAACGAGATCTGTGATTGCTTCCCACAGCTACATCTTTTGCTTGATGCAAAACACCAATAAATTCGATTGCAGCCCACTTTCCGACCAAAATGGACAACGAATATTCTAGCGGTCTTGAAACCACTCATTTGACAAGATTTCAGTCACTGATGAACGAGCAGAAGGTTGCCACTGAATCAGCCCTCTGATCATTCTCCCAAACTGCTTGATTTCATCTCTTGTAAAATCAGGTCGCTTGTCGTCATCGAAGTATGTTAGATCCAGCCACTCTTCTAGTGTGTATACTGGATCACCATCGTAGACTTGATCTGTCGAAGTCAGTAAAAGGTGCTCCACNNACAGTGTGATAATCGAGATATGCTAACCCCACTTTGACATCGCCTTCCACCTGGGTTGCCATCTCTCTGGTGGTTCCCCAATCAGATCAGCTATTTGCTGGAGTATGTCTTCCTTCTTTGCCATGATACCACTACATGGTGGGTATCCGACGACTAACTCGAACATCTGCGTTGTGAATGAGAACAAAAGTCTACTGATAATGATGCCTTGTCGACCTACCGTACAACCAAGAGTCCAAAGGTCCGCTCGGAGATCGTACTCATCCTCGAATAATATTTCAGGAGCTCTTACTGCTATGGGAGTGTGTAGCGTCTTCGGCTTATCATGTGGAAAGAATGACTCTCCGAAGTCGATGAGTTTTATTGAAAGCTCTTCAAGAGCTAGGTCGCGCATGGGGAAGCGAGCAGGCCATACTAAGTATTCTGGCACCCCGGACTCGATTGGGCTACCATCAGCACGACTGACCGCACCTGTCCTGGGATGGCCATATTTTTCGAACAGCTCGTCCTCCGGAAGGTGTCGAAGTTGAGGCACCGCAAATGCAAGATTGCCTGTATGCAAATCNNTGGCACAGAATCAGTCCAGATCTCTTCCCTTCGCATCTGGGATATTTCTGCGAGCCTACTGACCTCCATGACCGATTCCTTGCTCGTGTAAAGCTTCTAATGCGAGACAAAGCTCCTTGCAAGCCTTTTTCGCGCTATGTCCTGGGAGTCTGTTTTCGATAGGCCGTCTCTCCACCACACTAGCGACACCGGAATCGAGTAGTTCGAAGATCAGGCAATCATGTGCACCGTTTGGTCCATTATGCCGAAACTCATCCAGCGACTGCATGATGTGTATTTGGCCTGACTGCGAGCCAGATCCAGACCTCGAAAGAAACTGAAAAACCAACCGCTCTCGGTTTCCTGAGGACGAAGCTGATGCCACTTTGACTTTCAACGCCACATTGATGCTCAGCTTAGAATCTCGTGCGATCCAAGTGGTTGAGAAAGCTCCATGGCCCAGTTTGTGAAGAACTTTGTATCTTCCTCCTGCAAAGACATCACCCAAATGGACTGGATGGTAGCCACCAGGTTTGTATCGGTACAGTAGCTCTGCTTCAACTCCGCATTTATACTCAAACAATCGCTTTGTCGAAGTCAACCTTGTGTGCATATATGGTGCCAATCTGCCCAGAAGGTATATTGGAGGCGCGTATCTCGAGCTTCGTTGCCAGGAGAGTAGAGCATGATGGCTTCTCATCTTTGATCTACCAGATGTCGTTGTAGCGATGTATTTACTAAATTCATAAAAGATCAGAAAATGGTAGTCGGACGGATGGTGACGATGTTCCTGCAGAGATGCGACGCAGATGCCAAGAATAACATGCACGCGATCCGACCAACGTGCAGTATGCTGGCCATATATATTCTGTTTACTACATGTTTAAACCCCTTTTCCCAAGTCTTCTAAGTGCCTTGAAATAGTTTTCTGGATAATATCATCAATAAATCAATCAATCTTCTCCGATACACAAAGTAAATTGATGTTGATCTATGGTCATCACTGATGAATTCCGAGCAAAAACACAAATGAATCAATTTAAACGTGCTTTCATCCTATCCTGAACAAAGCTTCTCAAAAGAGAATACCGATGACGCCCAAACACAAAGGTCTAGAGACAGATATCTGAGTTTACTAACAGCTCTCTTTGATCAGGAGAAGAGAGAACGACATGCAAGCCAGCACTTTTTTCTTAAGCCGATTTAGCAGGATCAGAAGTGCAGGCGCCCGAAGGACAGTAGCCATGACTGCAAGCAAACTCGCAAAGACCGCTGTACTGTGCCACGTTCTGGCCAGCGACCGGGAACCCAAGAGTGTTGGAGGCAGCAGGAGGATTGATCTGGCTTCCTTTTTGAGTGCAAGTGCAAGCATTGCTGGGGCAGAATCCATAGTTGCAAGAGAAACTGCAAAGCCCTGCCAAGTTTCCGCTTCCTGTGCCGCCGGTGCAGAAGGAGCCATCGCCATTTGCTGCCTTGGAAGGATCGGAGGTGCAAGCGCCTGAAGGGCAATAGCCGTGACTGCAGGTGAACTCGCAAAGACCACTGTAGAGAGCGACATCTTGACCCGCGACAGGGAAACCGAGTGTGTTGGACACGGCAGGAGGGTNGACCTGACGTCCTCTCTGCGTACAGGTACAAGCGTTCGAAGGACAGAATCCATAATTACAAGAGAAACTGCAGAGACCGGCTAGGTTGCCATTTCCGGTACCAGCAATACAATAAGAGCCACTACTACTGGTGGGTGAGGAAGCAGGGGCGGTAGTAGAGGTTTTGAGAGTGGAGGAAACCTTGCTGGAAGATGAGCTGGACCCACTGCCAGATCCAGAGCCTGCAGAACTGGCACTAGCACTGCCTACCCAAGCGTTCCAGTTCTCAATCCCGTTGGTACAGCTGTCTGAGATTGGATCTCCATCCATTTGCATAATGACTTTTCCGTTCCTGGAGATCTTGACGCTCACAGCACCGCGACCGTTGAACGGCACGCTACCGTGGTATATGCCAGAACCACCACTTGGAGTGTTCTCCCAGGCTCCAGTTTGGGTCGTACCGCCGATACTGACGACCACGTCGGCGGATGATGTAAGCAGTGCAGAGAAGAAAACCTTGTCTTGCGCGACTTGGGTCGGTGGGTATTCTTGCTGACCTTGGCTCGCCGAGTTGCCGGTAGTGCCTCCACTGGAGCACGCCGAGCCCGGTGATTTTCTATACCATGCAACGAGACCTTCTGTCGAGATGGATGCCTTACCGTTCTTGTACATGTCGATAACATAGGGGAGGAACTGTCGCCACCCATCATGAGGCATGCCTTCAGCGTAGTTGTAAGGCGCGTTGCCATTGCCAGCACCAAACAGACCCCATTGTCTATTGTCCAAAGGAGCAATGTAGTGCGACTCGCCCCAATCGTTCCATGTCAAGATCTCGACAAAGTCTGGTTGCACAGACATGACCTGGTTCCAGCGGTCAAACCATAGATCATCGCCGCGCCACAGCCAGTTCTTGCTATAACCAGGCAGGTTGGTGTAGAACCATGGGGAAACAGGCATCATATAGGGCTTGCCACCCAGAGCGCTCTTATAAGAGTCATCTGGTTTTGTGGTCATGTCGTTTGGACCTGAAGGCCATGCTTCCCAACTGAAAAGACCATCCACAACGCCACGACTGACAGCAGCTTGAGCGCCTAATGACGACCAGTCGGGAATAAAGAAGCATCCGGTCTGAGACTTGATCGTGCTCCAGTCACCAGAGCTTCCGGGGCCTTCGAAAGTAGACACAAATGGCTTGCCATTGTATTGGTAGTATGCACCGTTGGAACGATATTGGTTGATCAGATTGATGACATCCTGCTGTGCGAATGCTCCCTGAGCGGCGTAGTCGAAGGAGAAGAAGAGTTTGAAACCAAGTGAGTTGGCTGCGGAGAATGCATTGGCGACCTGGCCGGCGTAGCCGCCGTTGTTCGCGATGTTCAGAGCGAAGGCATCAATGTGGGAGTCCTGGGCTAGACGAATGTCTTTCTGCCAGTCCGATGTGCCCCACGAATTGACGTTCCCTACNNCTAAGTGGTATTTCAGCATTGATATGAATATCGTGTTCTGACCAAGATAACGTACCATGAAATGAGCAAAGACCGCCTTGGCTTGCACATGGCTCGCACTCAGAAGAGCGACCATTACCGAAAGAATCAGCATGTTGTCTGGCAGGAGGCGTGCTCAGCTGTGCTATGGAACAGGAAAAAGGGAAGGGAAATTTTGCTCTCTTGTATACCATCCTCGTGAAGGATTCGAGCTAAAGTCGGTGGATCGTCATGGCGGTGCTGGACGCTTCGACAGTCTTGTAAAGCATAAACGTTACTCGTCGCGACCACCGTTGACCTACTGCACTGTCCTGCATATTACGAGCCGTCATCCTAAAGAATTGTCGCTTGGGTTTCCCTATATTGAGAGCAGATGAACCAGGAAAGTATTCTTAGCCAGTAGGTTCCATCGATACGGCCTAGCATAGGGAGTCTGCCCAATCACAACCACAGACACACTTGTTTCGAGTGGGCACTACACACATTGTTCGCGCGCGCTTGGTGAATTAGTACTTCCTTAATCTGGAAGCATTCCACGAGGTAAAAAGATTGGCATGGGCCAAGTCGTCGGAGAGTAGGTGATTGATGATGGTGAAGAATGGTTTGGTCTGGCTGTCGTGCGTGACTTGTGAAATGGCCGGCTTTTGGTGGGGTGGTCTCCGCGTTCTCTAGTCTTTGGCTTCGCGTTCGCTATCAAGTTCCGGAGATAAGAACTCCTGTATCACCGATATGGCTACACAACCACGTCGCTCAAGGCAAGCTGTTGAAAGAAGTGGGCAGTTTGATGATTGTATATTGCAGGTGTTGATCGGGTACCTGTCATACAATGCCAAGTGGCGATAAGCATTGCCCAGAGAAGCCAATTGCGAGTGAGTGATTCGTCATTGGCGTGCGTGGCAGGGGTACATTTCCAAGGTCTGGACCTTATCAAGCTGGTTCCTTTGCTTGCAGCATGAGCTCATAAGACGTCAGGATGCTTGAGCTGAACAATAAGCGGTCAAGTGCTGAAGAGTTATAAGAAGACCAGGCAGTCTTCCTTTACTTACTTGGCTTTTTCATCAACATTACATCTAAACACAGACACAAACCAACAACACATCAACACCTTACAAAATACATCCATCAACAGGTCTGGATTCATGCGTGATGCTGAACAGGCCTTCGAGGGCGGTGACAACAACCAGCAAGACAGTGGCCTTGCTCAAGACGCCGAGCGTGATCTTTCTCAACAGAGCGGCAACCAGGGTGGAAACTCGGACAGCAACAACAGCAGCGGCGGTGGCTTCGAGAACACCCTCAAGACTGGCGGTGAAGATGCTATGCTCAACACCGGTATGCACGATCACTTGACTCAGTTTCACCTGTGATGACTACTAACAACCTGTTCAGAGGCCAACAAGTTTATGACCAAGGAAGGTGTCCCTCAAGGTGCTGATGGGGCCATAGATGGCTGTACGTAAGGCCAAGGTACAGATAGCACAAACCAAATCCCATCAGATGGGGTTTCGGCTGCTATGTGTTCCACGCTCATGCATAAGAAACATGCTAATTGTACCTTCACCTTTAGTTGTCGATCAGGAGGCCAACAAGTTCATGTGAAGGATTCACGACGAGTCTTCTCCGAGAAATTTGATGATTATGAGAACACTACCTGAGCGGAGAAATGGGACATCACCCGATTAGCTAGCTCTAGATGACGAATTATGAAACAAACAAGCATTCAGCTCAATGCTCTCATTGTGCTTGTTTTGTAACACGTTTCAACTTGAGCTGACTGTCATGTGATTGTGTGTCTAGCGAATTCATCCTTCCTTGACCTTGTGAACCTGCCCCATAGACCATTCCTCAGCCTGCCTCTGTCCCTCTATCAACTTCATCGACACAAACCACACATTCTTCTTGTGTTTTCGTTTATAGACAATAGTGCTTCCTTCTCAGACCCGTCGTCCCATTCGCTCTGCTATATGTAGATAAGGAGTTACTGGCGCGTGGGCCATACTCTGGGTGGATACCCTGCTGTCGTACGTTCTGCATCATGTTCTGGCTGCCGTCTTTCACTGATCTGTCGCCTTCTCATTTCTGTCCTACGTTGTCACATTCTCGCACTCGTCCATTGGCAAGCATCTCTGTGATTACTGGTGGGGGATGTAAGTTCTAGCTCATGTTCTATTGATTTTGACATCTATCTGAGCACATGCACACCATCACAACAAGCTAAAGAGCGTAGAAGATAAATGTCTTTGAGATATTTTGTACTGGTTTCCAGCGTCATACAACCACATAACCAGCGTACAAATGCTAATAGGCCGCGGCCTCCTCCAAGAAGAACGTCTTCATAGCTCTGGGCTCGATCTGAGCTGTGAACCTGCCACCCTCGAATGTAAATTGACCAGCCTGAGTGACGTTGTGGTCATTGTCTGTCAAGTACGCAGTCGCTATCGACACGTTGGTGGCAGACAACTGCACATCCAAGGTGTACGTGTAGTGTGCAGCGTTGATGACAGGAATGGCAATGGTGCCGTTCTTGTTCTGCCATGCGGTGACATAGACCTCTTCGACACTGCTATCGGTGAATAGACGGACAGCGCCAGGACGCGCGAAACGGAAGTAACCAGCGAAGGCCCACAAGCGAGCAGAGACTTGATAAGAAGTACCGTTCACCTGGACGAGGGAGGCGTCTGTGGGCGAAGTCCATGAACACCACCAGTGAGACCACCCGGCCACGTTGTTCCTAAAGGCATTGTGCATGTATATAGCCCATTGGAAGCCCTCGAAGTTGTTGCCTGAGACATCCCAGGTCCTGGTCCAGGTGTTGCCTCCATCACTCCACTCAGTCTCAAGGGTAGGTTGACCAGCCAACAGATCATCAAAAGGTCTCTTGACATCGGACTGGTAGTTGTGGTAGGTATTGACATCGAAGAGAGTCTTACCACCAAGGCGACCAAGCTCGTAAAGAAGGTCTCGCTGTTGGCGGGCACCGGTTGAGTCACAGCAGGACACAGCCAGGCTGGGGAAAGCCTTCTTGACCATAGGGTAGAAGATACTCAGGAAGTCGTAGGCTTGGTAGCCGTCAGACAACATTGCAGAGTAGGTGACGGGGTTGAAGTCAGGTTCGTTGTAGGCGCCCAGGAGAGAAACCTTGATACCACGCTGCTGATAAAGTCTGACGTATTCGATCAGGTAGTTGGCGTAGGCCTCACGCCAGTCGTAAGTGCAGTTCGAGCGTCTGACACCGCAGATGAAACCCCCGCCAGCTTCGCGACCAGTGGTCTTGAAGCAGCCTGGGGCTGACCAAGCATCTGCGTACAAGTAAAGGTCCGGGTTGTACTTGAGTGCGTTTTGGGCGAGTGTCAACTGGCAGCTGTCGTTGTTGGCAGCGGGGAAAGTGTAATTGAAGGGGCCGGCGGGGGTTGCTGGGCACGTAGGAAGTATAGTTGTGCCAGGAGAGGATCCAATCAGGTTGCGGAGGATGGACAGAGCACCGATGTTCTCATCGAACAATGTTCTGACTACTGTGTCCTGGTCGGCTGCTGAAAGAGTGTTGGTCGTGCAGGCTGCTCCAAACGCGCCTGAGCATCCACCACCAATCATGGTCTGGTATCGCTGCTCGGCATTGACTCTGATAGTTGCATCGAAGCTCAGGGAGTTGTTCGAGTAAGCAGGAGGATGGTAAGGGCCCCATCCTTTGGCTGAAACAGTGCTCGCAAGAGCTGTCAACATAAGAGAGTTCTTCATCCTGGGTTTGATTCTTCCCTGAATATGGAAGGTGGGTGAGGAAACAAGGCATTTTCACGAGTGAGGTTACCTCGAGAACTTATACCACCAGCGGATGTTATGGCAAAATTGAACAAGCCAATTTTCAGCTCTCTTTCTATTGTCCCGCCTTGGATGTCACGGGAACATCGGAGAGCTGTGGTTACGTAGGTGCATGAATCGATAGCCGAACCACCTGGAATAGGTATGTAATGGGATCATCATGGCCAGCCGCAGGCATAAATTGATGGAGATGAAGTCGGAAGACGGCATGTCGACCGCCTATTCTGAACATGGCGCTTTGCTAATCGTCCTGCAGACCTGGATATCCCCGCAAAGCAACAGGATGTACCCATGAATATGGAGTATGTACTTTTGGCTAAATGTGCTGTGCCTGATCCGAAGACAAATCATGTCGATCATGGCGGGGAACACCAGCCATCCCTATCACTTTTACGATACGGCTAAAACAAGCATCAACTCCAAGGCTGCTAATTCGCAGTGTGGAGCCGGCCGGCAGGTGCCTTGGTCAAGGATATTGACAGTGAGAAGCTTGTATGCAAGCCTGTATGGTCCTTTGCGGATGTGGCTGCACCACTGGATCGAGTATCTGTCAGTAAAGCGGAGTGTGGCTCCAAATAAGCGTCGCCATCTGGTCCATCAAGCAGGACATCAGTCTCGCGATGGTCATTCTCATGTCTTTTCGTAAAGTCAGGGTCGAGAGCAAGTCTTGAGTGGTGCGTCCTTGAGAGGAAGAGGAAGTTAGCAGCGGTCTGAGGGACGAGAGATGTTTGATCAAACTCACAAATTTGTGGGGTAAGCTGTTTGACCATCTCGGCACAAGTTGCGTTGAACCAAGCTTGCAAGTTCAACCGCACGCCAGCCAGTCGGCGATCCTTCCTCCGACAGTTCTTGCCTTCTTCTCTCCAAAATAACCACAGAATGGGAACAGGCAAACAGCGCCTCGCAAGGGCACTTTCCCGCCTTGTTCTCCATAGTCGACCCCGCCATCCTGCTACTCATGACTTTTCGCGGAAGGAACAGGGGTTTTCGTACATTCCCTCGTTCTTCTCAGCCTGCGCAACCTCGATGGAGGACTATGGACTAACACTTTTGGTTCTACGCTGACTTCAAAAGTTGAAAATATGCGCCGAATGTGCTCTGATGTTGCGCAACGTGAAAGGATCAGTTCGTGCAATGGACGACTCGAAGATTTCTTCCTCTTCTCGAACCAAGTCAAGAAAGCGGTCCAGCGCAGGAACTTCTCCAACCCATTTCGGACACGCTTGTCTCGGGACGACCACGTCTTTGCGTGCCACTCCAAGGTCGTGTTTTTCGTTGAAAGCGTCAACAAGACTTTCGATGGTCGCGGCCAGCAAAGCACGTCGCTCTGGATCATCTTCATCCGGATCGGCTATCTGCTCGAGCAGCCAGTTCGTTCTGGCCAGGAAGTAGTCGGTCTCGATCATGAGTTGGTTGTGTTCGTCTACGCAGATGAACTCACACATACGATATACCGAGTGAATTGGTTTGTCATGAGAACGGAATCTTTTTATATATCGGAGTTCGTCGATGCCTTCGTATCGCTCCCACACGATGGTCTCATCTTCGCGCAAGGCTCTCGGTGTTGGTAAAGGCCTTGGTAGTGTGAGAGTCTCTGGTGAAAATATGAGTTTTCGAAGCATGGTGAGCCGATGACTTCGGTGTCCCGCGAATAGGTGGTACAGCTTCCAGTATCTGGTTGGCACATTTGCATAGAGAAAAGAACTGATGGGATTGTGTCTAGGGAGGTCGATGATCGCGCCAGGTGGAGTGACAGACATGACGATGCGAAAGGCAAGCTCAAAGACTGAAAAGAATTGGCCGGCCATGTCCTTTATCTTCCATCGAGGTTTGTCTATGTGTTTGCTTAGCTACTTCCACCAGGCAAGCTTGTAACACTTGCCCTCTCGAGAAGCAAGCAAGCAAAGTTCCATTACAGCCTTTCCAAAACGCAACATATATGCCATAGGTAATGCGAAGCATTGAACAATCAAGCGCTTTGCTGAAGGGACAACAAACGGCCGAGCACAAGGGAGACACGACCTACTTTCAACTTCAACACTTTGATGGTGGCAGACTTCATAATACGCCGCTTCTCATATCACTCCTGGTTGCTGTGTAAGGCCTTGTTCGTCATTCACCTGTTCTAGCTGTCTTTGTTCCAGATCTTACGAGGCGATTGGAAGCTGACATTTGCAGTGTTCAATTTCTGCTGACTTCGCCCTGTTTGGTGTTTTCCCTAGAACTTTCTCACAGCGATGCTTTCATCGCATTCAGGGGTGAGCGACCAACTTGAGCTCCCATCACAACAGGACTCTTTCCAAAGTCGTACATCCTCCATCTTCGTTGGTCGCCGACATACACATTCTTTATTCCTCTTACCAAGGGCCACAGATTATGCGGGATCAGCTCTCCTGTGGTCCATTGATAGTGGAAGCCACGACGAGTGTACACCCAGACTGTCCCAGGAAAGGTTTCCAGATTCGTTAGCCTTTGCACACGGCTCTTCAATTCAGCCACCGTTTCCGGCAAAACAGGTATCTCTCGTTGAGCGTTGTCATAACGTTTGAGGATGATAGGACTCAGCTTGTGGCCATTTCTTCTGAAGAGGAGACTGGCGATTGAGATGCAATCCAGCCAGTCTTGAGGCTTGGGTTCGCGATGCGGTCTTTGTATGCGTTTCAGCTTTCGTGAGAGCACCCATTCCCACTTTACTGCGTAGATGACCAGGCAGTCGTTCTGGTAAACAATGATGCCCTGCCGCTTCGAATCGTCAAACAGGATCTGCGGATCACTGAGATAATTCAAGAAGGTCGAAACCTCATCATTGGCCCATTCGTCCTCATAGTTGAGGGTTCTGGCAACTCTACTGATGAGACGCCGTAATTCTTCTTTGACGGCCTGGAAACGTCGGCCGAAGGTGCGCGCGTTAAGCAAGTAGTCGAGGTCGTGGGTGGTGGCTCGATTATGGAGATGCATGACTGAGATGAACCCACCACAAGAGACAAGTTCTAGCGGTCGGTATGGTGCAAGGATAGGCGACTTGACAATTTCTACGCTTAGGTACCTGAGGCCTTCCAGGGGGTCAATTTGAGGGGTGAAAAGAAGATCCGATGACTCTTACCATCTCTGAACGCCTTCGAATCGTAAGTGCTTCTTTTCGGAGGCGTGCGAGGCATTTTGCTATCGCTAGTAGTATCGAGACTGATGTTGGAAGAAACTTCACACTCATGGCATGGACCTGTCTATACATGTAGTCTTGCGAGAAGACACTAGTCTCCGAGGGTCTACGTTGATTGGGACACATATCCGTTGGAACCCAAATTCAAGAGCTGTACTGAATAGAAGGTCGTAATAATCCATGACAGACAGGGTGCGAGACACGTAACTACCGTACGGACGCAAACATAGCCTTGTGTCCCCATAGACTACGTATTGGTTTGTGAATGGCAGGACCGATGACTGCAGCAGGATATAGGTATGCTTTCCCAGTACAGATACGGGCACTTGCCTTTTATCGCGACCAGGAACAACCACCACTATCTGCGGAACATGAACCTGATCACCCTCACCCGAAGTAGCGCTTCGTAACTCTGTCTTGTGGTAACTTTTTATGTATGTAGGGATTATGTTGTTGTGGTGTGCGTATGTTTTGGGAAGGTGCGAAAGCCTCGATAGAATAAAATTATACGCTCGTCGGCGGTCTTTTCAGAACTTCACTGTAGGCAAGTGCTCCCGAGCCTGATATGGCCCAGATGCACAATTCGAATGCTGTCTCCTCGAGTTTGATGTGATAGTGTTGCCTTGAGGATGTGAATCCTTCTATAGATCGACTTGATGTCTAAGAGCATTTCGCTTTTATCCAGCTGGCGGTATAATCACAATCCGATGGAACTGAAGCATCAATCACCAAGTTGTAGTGGTAGTTTGAGTCTCGGAAGTAATCTCATAGCTGGCGGTGTGATACGAGCTTGATGATTGAGATGACTCTTGATAGACAGACTCACTCGAGTTGTTGTCGTGGTGAGTTGTGAGTCCTGCTCCGGCTGTGGTCTCATTGTTCTTCGCCTTGGTATCGGCATTCGAGGTACCATTGTTGTGTCCGATGCGCAACGAGCCTAGAGATTCGGAAAGACCTCGTTTGGTAGATATGCTTGAGGTATCATCATGGGCTTTTGATCCCTCGCTCTCGGACTTCTGAGTCTTGGGTTTTTGAGCTTCGTCACCAACGCTTGTCGCAGATTGTGAGTCTGAGCTTTGGTTTGCCACTTCCTCCGTGGTTGTTGTTGTTGCTGTGACCTCGAGTTCTGCTTGTGCTCGCCTCTTTTCCTTATCCGCTTGCTCGCGAATCCGTGTAATTCTTTCTTCATCAGAGACCAATTTGGTCCTCCGCATTTCCTTTCTCGAAACCTCGACCAGAAGCATTCTTTTGTCTTGAGTGCCGACTTTGCCTGGACCTCGCAAGCCGTCATCGTCGCGGTCGAAATACAGTGCCCAGAGATCGCTTTCTTCGTCTTCTTGTACAATGACGAAACCCTCCCATCCTTCAAAGGTTAAGCGGCGGTCGATGGGTGTACAGTCCCAGGGGCCCACGTGATGGGGTTCCGCTTCGACACGTATGCCGTATTTGACCTCGTGTGTGTTGCTGTCCAGATAGACCCAATTCAAAAACGGTGGATCGTCGCTGATGGTAGTGACCATTCCCTCGCCATTTCTGAAGCCTGCCTTTTTCCAGCGTTCACCAATCCATGGCACAGGAAGATAATATCCAGAAAATGGGTGGGCCATGTTGGCACCTAGTCGGCTGTGTTCCGTGTCGATGTATAGTTTGTTGTCCTTGAGTACAATCATTGCGCCATCGAACTGTTCGCTGTAGGAATTCCTGACTGGCAAGGTAATCGTCAGGTTTGATTTGCGTCCTCGGTGTTCTTCACGAGCATTTTGGCGTTGGCCTTGTCGGATGGCTTCGGTTGTGCCAATGATGGCTGGACAGGCCGCCACGGCTGTTAGGATACCGAAGACCATGGAGTCAGATGGGCGTGTCCGCCTTTGGTGCTGAGGCACAGCTTTCACAGTGGAGCTTCCGAAGGTCTGTTTATGTACTAGGTTGTTTGAGTCGCACCAGCGAACACGATTTCTGGGTGCCCGCGAAATCTCCGTGATGTCATTTTCCCACGCAATTGTAGCTGTTCAAAGGACAATTCTTTTCTCGTCTGGTATGGTCACATGTACTCACTTACTCTGTGTGTGACTGATGTCTATACGGTATGCAGATTTATTCAGTATTCTTTAATTATTAATTCGTGGTATCTACAGGCCATGGTCTTCCATAATGTACAATCTTCACTCTTTCAATCAACATTAATTCCAGATCTCCTTTGCCTACAAAAGACCAATGGTAATATCTCCCTTGATTCTCGCAGTCAGATGTACTTCCACGTCCAGATCCAACTCAATCTTGATCTTCAAGCTGGAATCTCTGTCGTCCTTGCCCTTCTTGTTGTCGTCTCCTGCTGCGGTATCTGTGGGGCTGCGCTGGCTGAGTGCATTGCCAGGGTTGCCGTTGAGAGGGTTGCGGCCAGTGGGCAATGGCTCCTTTGCGACATCGGGTGTGTTTTGGGTACTGTTTGGTGTATTCGAATCAGTATCTATGCGTCAAGGTGGTTGTCGTGGCAAGGATATCAAAACGTACACCTTGTCTGCCATTTTTCTATTCTTGTTCCTGGTCTTTTTGAAATGTTGACTTGGAGGCAGCTAGACAGCTGGTATAGTGTCTATTTGGTAAAAAGATGTGTAAGCTATGTGTTGATATCGTGTCGAGCAAGAAACATGGAGACGCAACCTTTTATTCCACAGCGCGCTCTCGGCTGATCGTCGATTTCCAAGCATGCGAACAGCTTCATCAGGCGTCATCTAACTAGGATCACGTACGAAAGCACCGTGTCTATCTTTTGCTCTCCAGCCTCACCGTGTTTAGTAGTTTCTTGCTGATCATATATGGTCTTGGAGCTCGAGCTTGTCAGGTCCAGGGCCCGAAAACGTCTTACGCTCATTCATGGTGAGTTGACGGACCGTACCTACGGTTCCACTATTCTTGTGGATCAACGTGCAAAGAAGACCTTTCTCCACGATCTGCGCTACTACACCTCCTCCACCTCTTTTGATCTTGTTTTTTTTTTTTGGCTGTTGGCACGTTTGACTGCATAGTGACGCATCTATTATGTGGTCTAAGGCCGTTGAGCGTCGCGATTTTGAGCCTCGATATCCTGATTAGGTCAAAGGACGAAGCGTTCGCTTCCTAGAGCGTCAAGTGCTGTCGGTCTTGATCCGAAGATCCGATTGTGATAATGTGATTAACATGCTTGGTTGTCGAACTAGTGACCCTATTCGTCCTCTAAAGTCATTGTTTAATACGCCATGTGCCTATTTCCATAGTAAATCGTACCTCATAGCTACTATGACTACTTATAAAGCATTTCCAATAAACATGTTTTTAATGGAGGGTGGGTTTAATGCTTGAGTTAAAAAGAACTTATCGCAAGAAAGCTCCATCTTTAATGATCATGTCTACACCCACCACTTGACATCAAGACAACAACTCTGACATTTGTCCTGTCGTCGACAACTCCATGGTGCCCGAAGCATGAGTACCAAGGAAAAACATCAAGAATCGCAGATACAGCATAAGCAAATGGTAGAGTGGCTCTGCAAGCATTCTCAATAATGACTTCGGACGCATGCTCATTTGACATTACACTAATGTTGCACAAACCTAAACCGGTAAGACTTTGGCGAGGAAAAAACAATGCCGATGATAAAAGGTCATGATCATTTCTATTCATGGTGCAAACGCTACATTACAATAAAAAGGTGTAAAGAGAAACATTTTTGTATCAAAAAGCCGTCAAAGTCATTACAGGCGACATGTTCAAATCTTTGTCTTTTCGCCAATGGTGTTGAGGAAAGCAGTGTGGACGTGCTCGGTCAAATCGCCAGCCTGCAGCGAACGACCCTTCTCCTTGTATGCGAGACGGGAGCACTCTCTGGTGATGGCAGAGCCACCGAAAGCGACCAGAGCCAGAGTCTCGGGCTCGGACAGGTCGTTTTCGTGCTCCCAGAGCTTGTCGTGGTAGGCCTTTCTGTAAGCGAGAAGAGTGGCGAGGGAGCCGGTCAGGGTGTCGCCTTGACCTCCGGAACGCTTGAGACCACCCTCGTTGTCGTTGACAAAGGTGACCTTGCCGTTGGAGATGTAGTCCTTGGCGCCCTTCTGGATGATGGTGGGACCACCGAATGCCTTGGCCAGCTCCTCGCACAGTTTTGTAGGGTCACCGGTGGCGTCAATGCCCTTTGCCTTTGCCAGACGGCCAAACTCGACGACGTTGGGTGTGAGGATACACTCGGTGCAGCCCTCGACCAACTCTGGTCTGTTCTGGATGATGAAAAGACCATCGGCATCGACAATGAAGGGGATGCCCTGCTTGCGGGCCTCGGTGATGACACGAGCGCAGGTCTCTTGCATGGCCTCGTCGCGGCCGAGACCGGGGCCAATGACAACGACGTGGAGACGGGACAGCATGTCGGTGACGGTCTTTGAGATGTTGTCGATGGTCTCACCCTCCTTCATGTTCTTGCTCTGACGCATGTATGGGTGGACCATGAGGTTGGGCGAGTAGGTCTTGATGACCTGGCCGGCGCCGGGTTCGCAGATGACGTGTGACATGTCGGCACCGAGCTTTGCAGAGGCCATGCCGGAGAAGTAGGGGGCACCGGTGTAGTCCTCGCTACCGCCAATGACGGCCACGCGACCGAGCTGACCNNTGTTGCACAAAAGTCAATTGAGTTTCTTGTATAGACGACTTTGGTCGAGGGCTCTCATACCCTTGTGGAAGCTCTCGAGCATGGGAGGGACGATCTTGTAGATCTTGTTGATGATTTCCTTGCGAGATGCCATTGTGAAAGTGTTTTGGGGGCTTCTGAGATTGTGTAGAATTCAGATTTGATAGAGCAAAGCGAGAAACGGGCGAGAGAAGAGACCTTTGTACGCGGTAGACAATCTTCGAGCTCATGATGAGCCATGACGTCGCGCAGTGGTTTTGGTGGGGAAAGCATGACGATGTGCGGGAGAGACTGCGACCACCAGAACCAACAGCTGAGTTGCTTGACAGCTTCTTATCAGCAAACTATTAACCTATAATCCAATTGCTGCCAAAGTCCTGCATACACCAACCACATACAACCAAGACAGTCCCATCATGTCGTCCTCCGGCCTCGATCCCAAGGGCCCTTCGCAGCCCAACTTGGACGCAGCATACACGACTGCCGGCAACCCTGCCACCAAAGAGCCCGCAGAACAAGCCCAAGCAAACCAGCAAGATGACTCTCCTGCGATGTATGTCCTAAACCGTGTCCATCTCTTTCGTTGCCACCCACTAACTCATGACAGCGACAAGCGCATCCCCTCCGAGCAAGCACACTCCCAGTCCGAAGCTACCCCGACCTCAGTAGCCCGTGGGATTCGTGGTGCCCCGCCAGGCGAAGAGGCCAAGGGTGAGACGCACGAGTCCGTTGGCAGAAACCAAGAACTCGACGGACAACAGATGGCTGCTCCCGGTGAAGGAAAGGTCGCCGATGTTGTCGACAGAAAGCCAGGAGCCACTGGAGGAGCACCTGATCTAGCGTCTGATCTGGACCGCAAGAAGGAGGAGCAGAAAGAGGCCAGAGAGGACATCAAGGCACAGAAGAAGGAAGAAGTCGACGTTGCCGGTGTGCTGGGTCAACGAGGAGGTCCTGCCAACCCTGTTGACAAGGGCGGTTACCCAAACTCCGATTATAAGTAAACATGAACTTTGCTTGATTCACTGAGAGCAACCAATCTGCCTGTAACGATAGCCATAGCCACGAATGTCACACGAACCACTCTCCATCCCCTTAGCCATTTTGTGCCAGCGCAAACCATCCTTCCGAGCAAATACTATAGCCAGCCTTGACAAGAACGCCTGATGCTCAAAAGATATCTTTTCCCGCATTTGTCTCCCTAATTCGTTCGTCGCATTAGTCCTGTTCATTCTTCCCTTCACATCATATTGGCTGCACCAGCTGGGCCCATGAACATGTTGTTCATGCTCGCTTGCTGAGCCTGTTGAGCCAACTGCTGTTGTGCCTGGTGTTGCGCTTGCTGCTGTTGAGCTTGTTGACCGTCCAATGGATTGACCTCAAGATTCACCGACCACATCTGCATAGGATCTCCTTGAACATATGAGTCCCATGCTCCNNCTGTCTCAAATTAGCCTTACATCTCATCATGACTATGCAGAGGTGAAACACATACCCAATCTACTTCTGGTGCCGCGCCGCCAAATAGCTGTGTGAATGGAGATGCTGCACCTTGAACAGCTTGTGTGCCGTTGACATCCACGCCACTGTACTGTGGTGTCAACCCTGTACGCTCAGACATGGGCTCGTTGAGCAAGCCAGCCATACTGGCTGGGTATCCACGAGTTTCCATGCCTAGCGAGCCTGGTGCATTCGAGGCAAATCCAGCATTGGGACTAACGCCGCCTGAAGATAGTAGGCCCAACGTCATTGCGGCAGAGTGCTCAGGTGGAACCTCGTCCTCAACGAGATCAGACACTTGGCCGTTGGGGAAGGCACCAAAAGCATGGCCACGCATGCTGTATTGGCTAGGGTTACGCAATTGCTGCTCCCTGCCACCAACCATTGCTGTCTGTTGCTGCTCCTGTGCTCTCAGCTTACCCAACATTACGCGAAGTTGCGTAGATGCTTTGTAGGCTTCCATACTCTTATCTCGCAAACTCTCCCAGATGGAGGCGCAATGCTGAAGTGCTACGATCATCTGCTCTCTTCGGTCTTGTGTCCACACATCTCCCGTCGACGGCGACGATGGATTTGATGAAGAGGATTTGACCATGCTTCTATCAGATTCCGAGGTGTGGTAAAGGTCGAGACACACGATCATGGCTGCAAGCAAGAAGTCGTGGGTCGTGAGCGAAGAGATGGACCACTTGACGGATCGCAACTTGCCACCATCTCGTGATTCCAGGTAGAGTGTAGCTTGGTGGCTAAGCATCTCCATCGAGGCATCAATGCAAGTCCTTCTAGAGTAGGCGTAACGCGGCGAGTCACGTCCTCTCGCAATGAACTTGCGGTGCAACATGCATTGCGACTTGAGATAGATCAACTCCAAGGCATAGGTCTGCATGATGAGGTTCGGAGCAACCGTGGCCAGCTCAGAAGGAGGCTTCATCTGAAGATGAGGAGGAATCTGAGTACGAGCCTCGCGAAGTTGAGCATCCAGTTTCATTATCTCTTCGTAGGTTGGAGACGATGTCACTGATTGGATGCGCTCGACAATCTGGCTCAAACATGATATCAAGCGAGCCTTGGCGATCATGTACGACGCTGGGGTGACTTCTGCCTCTGGCCGAGAGGGAGGTAATAACTTCATGTCTTCGGTAAACTCATCGTCAAAGATGTTATGGGGAAGGTCAGAGTCGGTTGCGTCTGAGCGAACGAGGGCAGGAAGGCCAAACTGGCACGAGAAAAGCAGATCAGCCTGTCGTACAAAGGCCCAAACCCGTCGTCTCATCTCGGCAGTGAATGGCGAAACATTAGGGTACGGGCCAGAATCTCTATGATAACCCATACGCATTGCCAGACGGGTGCACAGATTGACAAGCAAGAGAATACCAGTTTCGGCGTCGTTGCTGCTGCTGTGCTCGGCCTGGATGTGTAGTATGAGAGCTTCGACTAGCTGTGGCATTGGCTGGGTGACGTCTGCAAGCACAATGCATTGTGCTGTGAGACGCTTGAAGGAGATGGACAAATCATGTGATCTGCCCTGGTATTCCGGAGGTTCATCTCCTGCTCTGGTGTACGATTGCAATGCGAGAGTCATCATGCCGTACAGCAACGCGAGGAAAGTTACCGATGTCTCGTTAGGATTCTGCCAGTGTCTGTCGTATTGCCCCTGGAACGTGGGGCCGTGGATGATATCTGGTAGAGTCAGCTTCCGAAGAGATGAGCAAAGTGTTTGGAGCATGTACATACGAACGGCTGGATCGTAGGATTGGAAGTAGCGTTTCACCAGGTCATCGACGGCATTCTTGTCGGGCATGGTAACGAGGACTTCGGTCTTGTTGTTCAGCCTTGGGCCTTTGAACAGGAACGAGCCCGAAGCATCGTCCTCTTTCGAGGCCTCAACTTTTCTGAACTGCTCCTGATATTGCTCCTTGTGACTGGCAAAGTAGTTCTTGACTTCGGCAATGTCTGACAAGATGGCATACCAATGCGCATCAGGCACGAAGAAAGCCTTTGCACCATCAATCTTCATGATACCGATGTCCTGAGCGACGTCGTTGATATCGCTGTCTTCTCCTTCGACTTCTCTGATGCTGTCTCTATGAGGATCCAAGGGCATGCTGATCGAGGTACCAAGACTATTGCTCCGGCTTGAGTTGATGGCAGCGTGTGCAGCCGAGGGACCAGCAGCCTGGGATCCGTTGGTCATGAGCGACAGAACCAGACTCTCGAGTCGATCGATACGATTCTGCATGTCGTCCGGGGTGCCTGTGGGTACGTGGTGGATGCCAGGCTTCTTGCGAGCGCTGGGAGAGGCATAGACACATGAGGTAGTGTCGCCGCGCTTGGTACAGTTGTCGCAAGGGTGTCCACGATTGCACTTCAGCCTCCAACAGCAGTCAGATGTCTGTAACCAAGTCCTCTGCGACAAAACTCACTTTCGATGCCTACAAGGACCGCATGAGAGAGGGATTCGGTTCCTCTTGCGCACCACGCGAAACTGGCCATTATCGGGAGACGCGCCCGTCGACGAATTGGTTGTCGGGGGCGTAGGTGTCATGACGCGACTGGACAGCTGTGCGACAAGCTAATTGTTGACTGCTCGAAAGATGGTATGGATTGAATGCGCGCGATCGCGTTCGGAGTTAACGCTGGTCCCGGAGACGAGTCTTTTCCTCGATGGCAGGTGGAGCGTCGATGGAGACTCGGTCGACGACGGTGGTATCGAGTCGCCCTCTGGTTTGCGTTGGGGAGGAGCTCTCGAGTCAAAGGTTCTGCTGCCTGACAAGATTGGCAGAGTGAGCAGATGCCGGGCAAGAGCAGCTTCGCGCAAGTCGACTGCGACTTCCTCTGGTCATCGAATCTTGGCGCTCCTCCGAGCCGCCCTTCTTGCAAAACCCCAGTCTGGAAACGGAACCACAACAAGATCAGTATGGAGCTCTCTCGTCATGAGATGTGCCTACTCAATTCAAGACTTGTCATCATGCGTGCGTACACAAAGTCATATTGTGCATGCTTCATACAACGGAAGTATAGAAGGTATCAATCGATGAAAGGGTATAAACTTGATTGACAAGATCCGGGAAAGCTACAAAAAGGTACTAAGCCAACCTCTCTGCACACTGAGCTGTACGCTCGCAATATGAGACACGTCCGTCGCCTCGAAATGTTGGTATCTACGAATCTTTGATGTACGAGGCCATGTCCCTCACAGATACTCCGTCTGTCTTTCCGCCTTGACAAACTTGAATCTTCTTTGTTGCTCTTCGGTCTTTTCATATTGATGCAACGCTTTGACGCCTTTGTCAACCACATGACAGCTAGACAGACAGGCCGAGTGAGGACGACCAGAGAGCCAGCAAATGAAAGCGAGATCGAAAACAATGTACGTAAACATCCAATAACATTGACTTTGGTCACATCATTTGGCCCCAGCTGCTCAGCCACGGGCAGGGTCGTATCTCGAGAATCTAGAAGATTGTCAGTCAAGGAAAGATAATCGGCTGGCAGGATGCAACGAACCTCCAAATCCTAGCACGCATGTCTCCGCTTCCAGTAGCGAATAGACCGCCTTGCACAGGACTGGGCGCGACTGAGATAACAGAGTTCTTATGTCCTTGGAGCATGAGTTGGGCATCGCCAGTCTGAGGGTTCCAGAACTGAACACCTCTGTCTTTTGAACCAGACAGAACCCATTCACCATCAGGCGAGAGCGCAACGCTGAGAACGAAGTCCTTNNTGCACACATGTCAGCATTCGATCTCCAACATTGTGAGCGAAGAACAAACCTTGTGGCCCTCAAAAGTGCGAATACACTTGCCTCCGCGAGGGTTTCTTGGGGGCATATTTTGGTTGCCGGGGTAGTGGCTTTGTAGCTCCCACATTCTGATGGTTCGATCCAGACTACCAGAAACAAGTTCTCTGCTGGTGGGGGAGAATGCGACAGAGTAGACACTGTCCTTGTGACCAGGATTGCCACCAGCCTCCTCGAGCCTCTCAAGAAGGTTTCCGCTCGCCAGCTCCCATACTCTAACACTCTTGTCCAGACTGCCAGCGGCCAAGAAACGGTTGTCGGGCGAGATAGCGACAGTGGTGACGCCATCTTCGATGGTCAGGCACAGAACACACTGGTTGTTAGGAATGTCCCAGACACGGACGGTGCGATCACCAGATCCAGAGGCAATGTAACGACCATCAGAAGAATAGTCAAGAGAATAAATGTCTTGCTCGTGACCAGCAAATTGATGACGGATCTGACCAGCAGCAATTTCCCAGANTCTAAAGTTTTGAGTTAGCAGACGAACATCATCAATATGGAAGATTGTACGAACGCGAATGATCTTGTCTTCGGCACCGGTGGCCAGGTATTGACCGTCGGGGCTGAAGCAGACACTTCTGATGTAGAGGTCACCATCCTGAGGGAGGCTGGTGTCCTGCAGATGCTTGACCTGCTGACCGCTCTCGACATCGAAGATCTGAGCAGATCGGTTGCATCCAGTAGCAACAAATCTTCCGTCGCGGCTGAAACGAACACAGCAGACTACACTCTGGTGGGCCAGGTTGTGAACAAGCTCGACGTCCAGGGTGCGACGCACGCGGGGGTTGAAAACAGCGTACCAGTCTTCACCCTCACGCTTGAGGTTGCTGGGAAGTGTTTCAACCGCCAAGTCGACCAACTGATTACCGCTACCACCAAGCTCTTGAGTGTATTGCTGGTGCTGAGGCAGAGAAAGGGCCTGCTGTTGTTGGGCAAGAGCGGGAGGAGGGGTGGGACGTGCCATGGCAGGAGAGCCAGGGTAGGGGTTTGCGTTGTTCTGCTGAGGGGTTCCAGGAATACCAGGGGGCCGCGAGCNGTTAGTGCGGGGCTTGCCAGGGCCGGGAGAAGCGGTAGGCTGAGGTGGTGCAGGGCCATATCCTGCAGGAATGTGTTAGTTCTGCTAGAATCTTTTTCATGAACTGATCATACCATTGACACCAGCTGGTGGCTGGCCGTAACCACCGAAAGGAGCGTGCTGAGGAGGACCCGGAGGAGGGTTCAGTCCAGGTGGGCCTTGGATGTGGGCAGGAACCCCCTGGGGTGGGCCATCTTGAGGAGGAGGAGCAAGACCCGGGCCGCCCTGAGCAGTAGCGCCGGCCATGATACCCTGGAAGAGATTGGCGGGACCGTGGCCGATTGAGGGCGGAGGGGGCTGCGAAGGGCCGGTGTGCGAAGACTGGCTTGGGCCTCCACGAGCCTCAAGGTCGCGTCGCAAGCGAGAGATGTCTTCTTCGTACCTGCGTTGAGACTTTAATTGGCGTCTGTCGTGAGGCAAAGTGGCATAGAGGTAACATACTTNTTGCTTCATCTGCATGTGTGTCTGCTCAAGCTGGAAGATCTTGCTGCGGACAAGCTCCATCTCCTGGATCTGGTTTGCGACNNTAAATCGTATAAGCTTCCGTTGTAGTCGGTATACACAACATCGGGGTTCGGAAAGGCCATGTCGCCAGCGATAGGAAGAGGGAGCGCGAGGGAGGAGTTACAAAAGCACAGCACACGGCGCATGTGTGGGAAGATAACTACCCCAAGGGCAGGTGTTTGTCGGGACAAACGGGGACGACTCACGCTGATGCTCATACTCGTTTGCACGTCCACCTTGAGCCTCGAACTCGGCGCGTACCTGTTCGAGCAGCTCGACAAGACGGTTGTTTGGCGGAGCCGGTGCTCCGGCTATGCCGCGATGCGCGTTGTACATGGCGTCCTGGGAGCTGGCGGTGTCGCTGGGTGATGAGGAGAACTGAGGATTGATGGGCGCTACACTTCAAAGCGCGTCGCGACTTTGCTCGGCGTCGCGAACAGGCACAATGTTTAGGTGACCCTAAACCGTACTAAGACTCCCGAGGATGGGTTCGCGCCGAAGGGACTCGAGATGCTGGCGCCGGCGGGATGGTATGCCGTGTAGAGATGGCGATGAGTGGAGGCCGAAAGGAGAGACACGTATGGAGATGGCAAAACGCCTGCGCACACAAGAACCTCAATCAGCCCCCTCCCACAGACTCCGTCTGTCTTCGACCAGTCGGCACGGTTGCGCTAAGATCAGCCACCCGTTCGGGAAGCATTGGTTCCACTCTTATGTGCAAATCGGGAATAATCTCAACTGCCTCCTTCTCCATGTTTGACACCCTCCCCGTGCTCTTTGTTTGTCGAACACTATTCAAGTGTCATCGAGTAGTCGTCGAGACATATGTGCTGTGTGTTTCACTGCTGCGATATGTTGCCGTCATCAGCTTTTGACCGTGCAGTCGAAACAGGCTTCTCTCCAGATTTACCGGCCGTTAGTAGTTGCTCCTGCAAACTCGGTTGACTCACCGTGCAGGCAGGGCACTTGGCTCGGCACGATCAGCCCTCTCCTGTCAGACATGTTCTCTGGCGCGTGCGCTGCGACGACAAGCCATACAAGGCTTCGAATCTACAACGCAAGTCGCCTTTTTGCATTACTGAAACCTGACATCATCAGTCCTGCAAGTCTTGTGCTGTTGTATGTTTTGTGTCCCACTCAATGCTCAAAAACTTGAAACCTTTACTGGAGCTGCTAGCCTGTTAAAGACGTACGGGTTACTACAAGTACAGAATCCGCACACGAGCCCGAATGCTTGATTGATTCGAGTCGGATAGTAACTGCAGTTCTTGGTCAGGCGGGAGTATACGAAACATGACCGAGAGAGTCCGAAGGGAAAGTTGATGGATGATTGGCGTCTCACGAATTTCCAACTTCAGTAGACTTTGTGAACGCTCGCTTCAGAAGATAGACCGCAGATGGAAGAGCGTAACGAGGTCGGATGAAGGCGCAAAAATCGAAAGCAGTTGAGAAGGTAGCGCTTTCCTAATCATCCGCAACTCAAAGCAACCTCCCTATGTAGTGAAGTTTGTAACGTCGCCTTCCCTACTGCAACATAAAGGCACTTTCGTACTATAGAAAGACACAACGTTATCCGACATCAAAGGGATAGCCACAGAGAGCTGATGAGGTTCCGTCTCTCCGTGGGTGCTGCCTTGCTTCTAATGACTATTGTACATCTCTATAGCTATACACGCCACATAGCTTAGTACATGGAGAGAGACTAGAACTCTAGAATCTTGACCACCAATGGTAAATGTGGGAGCACCACCAAAGGACCATTCAATTAGGTCGAACCGCTTGACGTTGTGATGGGCTTGTAAATAGTCCATGGCTGTGAGTACGTCGGGGACGCAATGTTTGTTGCGAGCTGGGAAGCGATAATCCATGCGAAAGACCGGAAGACCATGCTGCAGAGAGGCAAAGTTGTCCGCCATGCTGAGGTAAAAGCCAAAGGAGCCTATCACACCATCACCAGCTCTGGACACAAGAATTGCGGCTGTGCTTTGCTGATCTTTATAGTTCTCAGGCAAGAGTAGGAATGCGGGAAACGTCCTATCAGTGCCGTCCTGGACTCTAATACTGAGCGGCTTGACGTTCGAAGGAAACCTAACCGCAGCTGGCAAGTTCTCAAGACCAGTATATTGAGATAGCTTTGCGGGCTCTTCGTTTTAGGAGATTTGGGTGATGGCAGAGAGCGAGGCGTTGTCAGTCATGTGCTTGGACATGTTTGCAAGATTGTTACGAAGACTGAAAAGAAGTTGACGAGTAAAGAAGGAAACTCGAGACGCGTGAGAAGAATAGACTGTATCAGATACCAGCGTGCTTTATATATTTGCGCTTCCTATTGCCCTAACCCTGTAGGCGTTGTGTCAAACATGGTCATGGCCAGGCAGACGGTATATACACAGCATCTTGGAGGGACATTGACGTAGATACATCGGATTTGTGTCCAGTCATGATACATTGCAGCAGGGCCAAGTGCAAAAGAGATGGCGAGTTGATGCCTCTAGAAGATCAGAAGGTGAAGATACCATTATTAGAGACCAACGGCTTGAGATGGACGAGGGACGTGCACCTTGAGCGCCATCAAGGCCCTCGGAAATTGCGACTACCATGGACAGAAAGACCATGTACAACGTTTACGATCTCACCAAGAAACCATCAACTACGTTGGAGTCTTCGCCATCTCTGTTATCGACTTCTCAGATCTGAAACAACATTGAGCCAAGGAGCACCACAAGTGCCGGCGCAAACGAACCTCGAACCACTGCTCGACCTCCACCGCCCAAGACGAGAGAGACGGTCGACTCTTAGCACACAAGATGCAACCCTTCAACAAACTTGCCGGTGTGGAAGAGGCCTCGAACATACAAAATCACCCACCACCTCCTCCAATTCCTGACCTCGAATCGCAACAACCACACAGCCTCCACTCTCGGCCCTCACGAGCCTCCCTCCCTGTCAATCGCAAACCCAGCCGACGCACTCTCCACGAGCAGTCCAGTCGCAACTCCCTTCGCGCTCCAAGTCTTCACCCCAGCCTCCTCCCGCCGAGTCCAGGATGGCAAGGTATTCCCAACGGCGACTACACGGCCAGCGCACACAGCCACGACACACAATTGGACGATGAACTGCCCTGGGGTCCGTCACACCCTTGTTTCCCCCACCTGAATCCTCACGTCGCCATCTCCTCTGCTCTATACGCAAGCACTCGTGTCATCAGAGTACAGCGGGATTGGCTGGCTGCAGGAGACCTCTACCCAGCGCTTCAAAACCTATATCCAGAAATCCTGGATCTATGGATGTCCGAATCTGAATTCAGAAATGTCATTGAGACGCTGAATCCTATGTTGAAGCACGCCTTTGAGCCGAATACTTGGGCTAGTTGGTTTGACGCCTTGATGGGTGTTGCGACAGGCTTCTTGTGGGACAACTTTGGCTGGACTGGAGTGAAGAGNGGAGTCAGGGACATGGAGAGATGGGTCGAGGGATGGAACACTGAGGCTGAAAGGGAAGGCAGAGAGGTCAGGTTGATTGATCTACGCAGGACGGGCTTCCTGAGTCTGGATATACAGATTCCGGATCCGCATATCGATGTTGGCGATGGGGATGTCATGTCAATGTGAGCATGGATGGGGTGTCTGGAATGTGTGGAAAGGCGCAATAGTAGGCATTGAGCGTACTGCTTGTACGCTGTAATTACGGGGGCATGGTTATAGCTAGGAGTTCGGACATGGATACCCATATAGGCATTGTTTTCACCACCAATCACATTTTTCGAAGACCGGACTCGAATCTCAGAGCAGAAACATGCAACTCAAGTCTTCGCATGGATATGAAAGTCGCGTATGCTAAGCAAAACTTCATCTACACCCTTGGAACGGCATTTTGCTCCGACAGTACCGCCAACCTTTGGTATTCCTTACGCCGGTGATCCTTTTGTTGGAATCCAAGACAGACCTTCTACCCTTCCCAGAACTCCGTTGGGCTGCGGCGATGAAACCGCACCCTGATGCTTGCTTCTTCCCTCTCCGCCTGTCCTTCCTTGAGATCAAGTGTCTCGGTCTCGTCTCTGTGCCTCGAAGCGTGAAATTGGCATGCCGGGGCATCTCACTTCTTTCCGGTACGAGGGTTCTTCTTGAAAGTCATTTGGTTGATGACCTTGCGCTTTTGCTTCTTTGCGATGCGGTTGCGCTTATCTTCCTTGGCTCTCTTCTCGGCCTTGATCCAGCTTGATCTGGGGGCGTTGGTCAAGTCGAGGTCCATTGCGGTGTCTGATGATGAAAAAGGCGGGTTAGCCTCGTTCAGACAGTCNNAACTGGCTCACTCATAGCCGCTGCCAAGGCTGCTGCTACTGCTGCTGCTCTCATTGTCACTCTCAGAGTCGGATCCGAACCCTAAACAGATGTTGCCAAATGAGTCGAAGCCATGGATGTCGGTCGAAACACCCAAGAGGTGGAAGAAGAGCTGTTCGTCGGCATAGCGTCTATGCGCAGATCTGACGGAGCGGTTGTTGAAGTCGGAGATGTCGAGCGGAGGGTTTGGTGGGGGAGTGAGCATGTTCATCGAGGCAGCAGCAGTAGCGGGACATTGATGGGCGAGCGACTTTGGAACCGGGATTGCAAGAGCATTTAACGCACCATTTGCGCTGGTGGCCTTGGCCTCGGACTCGGCCTGCTTCGAGTCTGTGAACAGCGACGTCAGTTTGGGCAAGAGTGTGTCGCGGCGAGGAGGATTCTCACCACCTGATTCCTCGACTTCCATGTCTGACTTTGGGGGCTTTGGCTGCGAGGCTAATTCTTGCAGCTTTTGCGACAGACGCTCGGTGCGGGCGGCCTCGACAGGGCCAAAGACATTTTTCTTGAGCTTTCTGTTGTTGGTCTTGTTGACGCTTGATCGTAGACCTTTGCCCATTTTTGCTGTGTGAAGGGGGTTGTGTTGTGCGAGATTGCGGTGAAGGAAAGAGATAAATTCTCTTGGGATGCAACAAGAAAGCGGGTCGGCGGGCAGTCGCTTAAACGTGCGGAGAAGGACGATCGGGCGACTGTTGAAAGGCAGCTGCTGCACCTGCTGGAGCGTGCAGGGTCTGGTGATTCTTATTCTCGCAAGTCGCGTGTGAAACCACAAGCAACTGACGATGGGTGCGGACACTTGTGAAGCGAGGAACAAGAATAGAGTCGATGTTGGGTTTCTGTTGGTTTTGTGAGTCTTGCAACAGCAGTGACTCCTCTCGATGTCCTAGCCTCTCTCTGCCTCGTCGACGCCACGCTGAAGGCCGCCGCATTAGGCAATAGAACCTGGCGGGCCGGACTTTGGACTTTGGCGCGAGGTCGTCACTGCTGCTCGACCCACGCACGGTCACGTTCTTCCAGAAGGCCGAAAGATGTTTGCCCACTGGAGGCTTCCCTCGAGCGAAGAAACAATGTCTCTGTCCAAGCACCGTGAATGTCGTTTTTCTAGCACTGGTGCATAGAGGAGTCGTCCATCGTTTCCATGTCGATTCCGTAGATATTGTGCTTTTCGCAACCAGTTCACTTCTAGAAGCCGCCCGTCCCAATCGCCTTCGGTCCTCAACTGTCTCTCGGACATGAGCACTTTGCCCTCACTTGCTCACTTCGACGACAGAGTATCTGAGCGAAGTGCTCTGCTATTCACTAGCCGAACTTCTTGACCGGTTCTGAATCGCCTATTCTTTCGCAACTTCTCCTGGCAACTACCCTGGCACAAGACACTGCATGAAGATAAGAAGGCACGATTGAAAGAGATGGCAAGCGATTCTGTCCGCCTTCGAGACCTCGCGTCTCTCGTGGACCGCAAGATAAAATCACTCATCAACAATGACCTAAAGGAAATTTGTCGTCAAGAGGGTCTGCAGGTGTCTGGCGTAAAGGCCGCTCTGCAGAAGCGCATCTCTGAAGGTATCGATTCCACGAGTCCGTCCACTTTCACAGCCTGCCGCCGCTAACAACTCGCCCTTCANGTCATCGCACACTACCTCCGCAAGAACGACGCAGAAGCACTCGAGCGATTGCGCTACCGAGCCGAGCACCAAGGTCGCACGCCTCCAGCACAAAGTCATCAGCCTTCGCTGGCCCGCGATACCATCACTCCCATTTCTCCAGCTCCGCATACTACCGCCGGCATGCCTGCCTATTCAAGGCCTGCTGGCTTGTCTCAATATCGACAGGCCCAGCCAGTGCGCACAGCCGCTCCCTCGCGTGCCTCGGTCAAGTTCAGAGAGAGTCCCTTCTATCAGATCAAAGAAGCACTCGCACCTACCAAAGAACTGTCAGGTAGCTACACATCCCTATTCCAGCATGTTCTGACCACCATGCGAGACTAACGCAGCAGATCCNNAGAAATGCCACACAATCGTCATACGCTAGACGAGAAGGTCTTCCTCAACGAACCCACTTGTACATCCCTCAAAGCCGATCCTTCTCTGCGTGTCATGCTCTACTGCACTACTACCTCGACTCTGGGTCCTTACGCCTTCAATGTTGATATAGCCTTCCCGAGTCAGATCGAGGTCAAGGTCAACGGTGACGAAGTGCGCAAAAGCTTCAAGGGCTTGAAGAACAAGCCTGGTACCACCAAACCTGTCGACATAACCGATCTCATCCGCAAGATACCCAATTATCAGAACGTCATCCAAGTGACTTATGCGCTCACGAAAGAAGTGTGTCGAACCACTCCCTAACAACTTTTTTGAATGCGTGTGCTGACTTGAGTCGAANNGCGATTTTCTCTTATGGTTAACCTCGTCAAGTTGACATCTGCAAACGACCTCGCAACCCGACTTAAGCAAACGGGAAGCAGGATTCCGAGAGATACTGTGCTTCGAGAAAGTAGGTTCTCCAGACGTTGGTTCCTGCGCCATGCAAAGCTGACTTTACACCCCNNAGTGGCGGCCAAAGCACAAGACCCAGATATTGTCACCACTTCTACCGTCATGTCACTCAAGGATCCTATCTCAACCATGCGCATCAATATTCCTTGCAGATCCAATGTTTGCTCGCACAACCAGTGCTTCGATGGCTCGTACTTCTTGCAACTCCAGGAACAGGCACCAACTTGGACATGTCCCGTCTGCAACAAGACTCTCTCTTACCAGAGCCTCTGTGTCGACAACTATGTACAAGACATCTTACAGAACACCTCTAGCTCTGTCGATCAAGTCACGATCGAGCCTGATGGACAGTGGAAAGCAATCGACCAGGGAGACGATACCAACAGCCGTCAAAAGTCTCAGGCACGGGCAGCTTACGACAATGACAGTGACGATGACATTATCGAGATCCAGGACACCCCCAAGAAGTCTGAGACTGTTGAAAAAATCAAGACCGAGAACAATTCGGCGACTCCGGCCCTTGCACAACAGACACCACCGGTTTCGCGAGAAGCATCGACAGTTGCACCTCGACCCAGCGCAAAGCGCCCTTCCACAGCAGTCATCGACTTGACCCTATCGGACGATGAGGATGAACCTCCACGGCCAGCTAAACGCACCAACACGAGTCAGAACACTTCCTTTAATACTCCGGCGAGTCTACAAGACGGCAGGTTTGCTGACTTGGCCAACAGACCGTCTAACGTAGTAGGATCTGGCTTACCACCAATGAATCCTGGCGAGACTCTTGCATTGCCTCCGATCAAAGCACCCCAACCGAATGGAGGATTACCACAAGATCAAAGATTACCTTGGCCATTTGGGGCACCAACCTGGTCCGGCCCCTATAGAGATGCGCAAAGCTACAGCAACAGCCCTTCTAGGAGCTGAGGTAGCTAGGGACACACATCGATTGAATTAACGACAGCAGCTAATGACATGCGGCGAGCACGGTGTCTTGTGAAGACCGTGGGGACAGCAAAAGCTGGGGTGCGGCTGCATTTCCTGGGGCGTATCATTTGCAGGTTCATGGGGTTCTTTGTTTTTACAGCATGGCGTGACAGGGAGAGGCTGATGATACCATGCGCGCCAAACACTAGTTGTGGCGTTTTGCTTATTGAGGAATGCTCCCAAGGTCACCTCGATGGGCGATCATAAATGAAACTTATCTCAAACCACACGTACGCATCCCGCCGCCTATTGTGCTGTGATATAAAACAACATGACCACAACAAAGAGAACAAGGCCTTCGAGGCTGCTCGGGTCCTCGGATGCTGTAATCTCCGTGCGCCGAGATATGAGCGTTGTGTTTTTCGAGATGAGACGACACCAGGGGAGATAGAGGGGAGAGCTGACAGGGCTTGGGTGCAACTTGGAAGTTGCAAAGACCGAAAGACAGACCACTTTTGCGGCGTTTGGGCACTTGGAATGGCGCCAGTGAGACGTGTGGGCTGCGGGAATCGCGTGTACCAAAGCATGATTGCCCAGCCCAGTTGACAAGGCGAGCACGTCGGGTTAAAGTTGATGGCAGGGGTTTGTTCGGAAGGGGTTCAGAAAGAGGCGTTCTGCTGAAACTAGGGAGGATAGGCGGCTGACAGGCCCTGACGATTGTTGCTCGTTCGGGCAGGAGCGACGCGCCTGTCTGGCTGAACCCTGGCGAGGTCGACTCTGCTCCGTAACCTCACCGGACGGCCAGGCCCCACTGCTCCCTCATTTGCCTCTGATTGTGGTTCGATTTTTTGTGGGCTGATTCCGAGCTGCGGGAGCGCGCTCGCTCACTCTGCCACTTTTGATAGATAAACAAGTCGTTCTTTTTCAATCGCTTCACGCGCCTGTCATTCTTTACCGGCTACTGCACCTTCTACTCTGACGCCCTCACTGTCTAATCTCTGCTACGAAGGAGCTGCCTGGACCCTTTTATCTCCTTTATCCTCGCTTATCAACAATCAAAACTTCGTACAATCACAAGAGCGCCACACAGCAATACCGCGACGATGGATGTCATTCTGGAGGTACTCGACACATATGCCTTCGATCGACTATATGCGACCGTTCTGCCCTTGACGTCGTCAATGTTGGCCATGAGCACTGTCGGTGACTTTGCTGGCTCACCCAATGCTACCTGGTCGAGCATGGCCCGCGATGTCACNCCCTACAAATTCGAGCCTGCGAGCCAGTACTTCTCGGTCGAGCCCAGTTCATACGCCTACATGAGCCGATGGCCGCGAGACAACATTGCCAGACAAGCCGTCTCTTTGTTCCTTATCACATGGTATGCCTTGGGACTAGCCAGCCTCTGGGAACTGCATCGCAGACTAACAATTTTACAGNNGGTCTTCGGTCTGCTAAACTACTTCATCTGCGCCGGTCTCTCATACATCTTCGTCTTCGACAAGACAACAGTCCACCACCCCAAGTTCCTCAAGAACCAGATGCGCCTCGAAATTCGCCAGGCGCTCGAAGCCATGCCCGTCATGTCCGCTTTGACTGTTCCGTGGTTCCTCGGCGAGGTCCGCGGCTACTCCAACATCTACGACGTCTTGCCTGAGGGCTCATCGTGGAACCTCGGTGGCTGGTACTTGCTTCTCCAGTTCCCCTTCTTCGTCTGCTTTACCGACTTTTTCGTCTACTGGATCCACCGCGGCCTGCACCACCCAATGGTCTACAAGAAGTTGCACAAGCCTCACCACAAGTGGATCATGCCTTCGCCTTTCGCCTCGCACGCCTTCCACCCTCTCGACGGCTACGCCCAATCGCTGCCCTACCACGTTTTTCCTTTCATCTTTCCGCTGCAGAAATTCGCCTACATTGCTCTTTTCATGTTCATCAACATCTGGACCGTCATGATTCACGACGGTGAATACGTCGCCAACAGCCCCATCATCAACGGCGCTGCCTGCCACACCATGCACCACCTGTACTTCAACTACAACTACGGACAATTCACCACTCTCTGGGACCGTCTCGGTGGCAGTTACCGCAAGCCCAACGACGAGCTCTTCCGCCGCGAGACCAAGATGGGTCAAGCCGAGTGGCAGCGCCAGGTCAAGGAAATGGAGAACATTGTCAAGGATGTCGAGGGCGAAGACGATAGAAGCTACGAGCCCGAGACCAAGAAGCTCAAGTAAACCTTGGCTTTCGAATCCTTTTAACGACTCTTTCTTTGGGTGGCGCAACTTTCTTTTACTTTCGTTTTTACACAACATGGCATGGCATCAGGCGTCGAGACTTTACTCCTCCTATACCTCTTTTTTCTCTTTCTTCCGCATTCCTTCTTTACCACCACCCCATCATCTATAGACTTTTTTTCCCTACATTTCACGAGAACGAGGTGCGAGTACCTTTTTTTTCTTGTATAGGTCGGCCCTCGAGTTAATACCCTGCTTCTCCTAGACAGAGAGAGAGCATGCAAAACAAAAAGCAACTCCTTTTTTCTTCTTCTTCTTCCAACTATACATTCTGAGTCTTTGGAAACTTTCCCCGCCTGCTGTGCAGTATATGAATGTACACAGCTCTAGAGTGTTCCTCCCCCAACACGATAAAACTGTCAATTGGGCAGTCTGCTTCACGTCCTCGACATGACTCTAGCTTTCAAAAGTGAAACGTGCTGGTTGATAGCTCTACAATCAAGCTCTTGCTTTGTCAAGGATAGGCTTCACCGCACTGTGAGGTCTTGAATACTGGGTTGTTTGAACAATGTCATATATTTCTCCCATATCTATCAGTACGCTAGGAACCCCTTTGAACGCCCCACCGCTTAGAAATATAAAAAAGATCATAAAAGATTATATAAGAGAGCAAGAAAAGAGCAAGAGACGCCGTCGTCAGCCCACAATCTTAGTGACCACCAGTAGTAGGCAGACCGATAGAGACCTTGAAAGAATCGTAGATCAACCACTGGAAAGCGGTCAGAGTGCCAATCATGACGATTCTCAAACCCACACCCGACCACAGGCCTTTAAAGCCAATCTGACCGTAGATTCTGCTGACGGCCTGGCCAGCACCTTCGCCGGCCTTGCGGTCACTGTTCAATTTGCTGACCATGACGTCGGCAGGGTGGGAGACAACAGCACAACCGATACCAGCAATGTAACCACCGAGGAAGGAGACACCGGTTTGAGCTAATGTGCCATAGCTCTCCTTAGGACTACCGAGCTGCTTGTAGATTTGCGCAACGGCGGACTCGAAAGTTGCGAATTTCACCATGGTGTAAGGGATCTGGCGAGCCCAGAGAGGGTAAAGGCCCTTGTAGAGACCGGCATAGCCTTCTTGTGCGACGACCTTGCCCCAGCCTTCGCGCAGGTTCGAGGCGAATGGCGGCAGGGTGGTCTGCATGCGGACCTTGAGGGCCTCGAACGGGCACAGGAACAAATCGGCAATGGCCTCTGCGGTGGCAGAAGCACCGAGGTAGACAACGGTCTGGTTGGTGTTGGGGAACATGTTGCCATATGTGTACTTGAAGAACTCATAGGCGCCGTACTTGCCGGCACCCTGGAACGAGTATCCGATGAAAGTCGGAGACCATCCAAAGAAGACACCGCGAAGTCCCTCTTTGCGGAAAATCGTGCGCCAGGCTTGGGTGTTGGATGAGTAGAGCTTGCTGTCTACTTGGCGACGGCACTTGACGAGATCGAGAGGTGTGACTGCTGTGTGGGTAGGTCCGCAAGNCTGGTTTTGATAGGCAGATTAGCTACTGCAAGTCTGCTCGAGATACGGAAATGACTGACCAATGATTCCACCCAATGTGCAAGCAGCAAAGTAGGTGCCAGAGAAGAGCTCAATCTTTCTCTGAGGAGTGACAGCGCCAGGCGCCTCGGGCTTGGTTTGAGGCATTGTTGTTGTGTGTCTTGTGGATAAAGCTGCAAAGCTATAATGTAATGCTGCTGCTGTATGGAGCTGGACGGCCGTGCAGTGGGACGGACGAGAATTGGACGACACGACAAGACGACGCAAGAAGCAGGCACGAGACAAGAGAAGAACAACAAAGTAGCAAAGCAAAAGAAGGAGCCGCCGTAGAACAAAAGTAGCTTAACTGAACGGGCGTTCTCCAACCTTGCTCCTTCCCCCCGGATGCTACGGCGATGATGTCAGCCTGGACCCGCCTGCCGTTTATACCGAACGACCGACCACCGACCTATCACTTTCACCGACCTATCACTTTCCCAACCCGCCCAATGCCGTTTTCTTGCCAGCCATGTTGAGAAAGAGATGTGCAGAGATAAGAGCCATGTTGAACCGGAAACTGGGACGATAGATCTTGGCCGAGTATTATTCTAGAATTCGATATGGTGCGTATATGATAATGAATGCTTCGCTAATGAGTCTACTGTGTTATAGTGAGAACGAACGTCTCGAAAAGACACCAAGAACAAACTCCTTTTCCCTTTCTTGTTCACCGAGAAAACTGCCTGTCAGTGCCCCATGATCCACCATGCCCTGAAAACAACCCCAAGAACGCCGTAAACACAATGAGAAGAAAGCCAGAACTTGTGCTTCCCCATGACCTTCGATGCCATACCTTTCCAGAAGTTGATTGGTTGGTCTCCTGAGCTCCCTGCGCCTATGCTCCCCATAAATAGTCATAAGATGCCTCGATGCTGTGCCTTGTTCATATCAAGAAGTTTATCATCATGATGTGACAGGTGAAGAGACCTCGTTGTCGCGTGGAGTCTCGTCTGTCATGATTGTGTCCTCAGCCTGGACCTCAGATGGCGCGTCTGATATGTGCATTGGTGAGGGTTCACTGGCTGGCAGCGCAGGCATCGAGACGACTGCGGGGCTCGATGCTGTGCTGCTTGTGTCTCCATCCTCCGGTGGGGCGAAGCTCCAGACCTCCATGACTGTTTTGCCTTGCCTAGATGCAAGAACGACTGCTTTCTCCTCTTCAAAGACAACACGCCAGACTGCTTCGGCAGGTTGTCCAAGTTCTCGTACGAGACACCCGCGTTGGAGATCCCATACCTTGACACGTCCGTCGGATCCACCAGATACAATACGCGACTCGTCGAACTGCAGCGACGTCACGCTGTTATCGTGTGCCGCAAGACGATGAATGGGTGTGTAGGATTGCAATGACCAGACTCTAACACTGCCATCGCTGCCGCCAGTCACAAGTGTATCACCACGGAGCTGGAGTTGACCGACGAGAGAAGTATGGCCTTGGAGGATTGCAAGGCATTTGCTGTAAAGTGTCAGTGGCTTGATTTCAAGCGATGGTTTCAGGAAATGCTTACCCATCCGCCACATTCCAGACACGGACACTGGTATCCAAACTACCTGTAGCAACGCGCTTTCCATCGAAGGCGACAGCGTAGATTTGGCTGAAGTGTCCTTGCAACGTCCTGAGGCATCTTCNNCTTCGCTGATGCTCCAGATTCTCGCTGTTGTGTCGTAACTCCCCGAAACGACCAGGTCTCCGTGAATCTCAAGGCAGCGAACGCTTGCTTGGTGACCCATGAGAACGTGTTTACACTGGCCCTTCTCAATGTCCCAGATGCGAAGAGTGGTGTCACGGGAACCAGAGATGGCGGTGGTGGCATTAGACATCTTCAGACAACGAACCGTAGAAGTATGACCACGCAGCATGTGAATGGGTTNGTCTGTCAGTCGTCATTAGCGATGTATTCAATATCATCAAGACGGCATCTAAACTCACCCAGTCGCCATATTCCAGACGCGGACATCTCTGTCACAGCCACCAGACACCAAAGTGTCACCCCAAGGAACCATGGCCCATACACCCATGACATGGCCTTGTAGACATCTGAGATGCTTGCCTTCGGTGTCGAAAACGTGGATTTTTGCGTTGTCCAGGGCAACGATGATGTACTTGTCGGTAAGATGCAGACTGGTCACAACACCTTGATCTGGGGTGATCTGTCTTTGGTCGACCTTGCCGCCAGTCCTCCAAGCGGTTTCGACCTGGTACTTTTGCTTGAAGTGAGAGCGGTAAGTCATGGCTTGTGGTCGTCGGCGGATGGCCGAGGAAGGCAGGACTGGAGCGGAGGTTGTTCTATCGAGACTCTTGACACGACTTAGATCAGGTGTTGAAGTGCTGAAGCTGGCAAATGCGGGGTTATGTATGCGAAGGGCATGCGTGGCGAAGCTGAGAGACGATCCCGAGTGGAACGGCTCGTATGGCGACGAATGTTGCTGCCTAGTACTGGTCGAAGGAGTGTCATCTGACATACGACGATATGCATGCTTCTCACAAAGGCTCTTCCAAGCCATATCGTCGCTAACCAGCTCGTGCCATCGTTTCGATACCTGCGACGAGCGGGCAAGTGTTTTGGCATCATCGATGAACGTGAGTANTCTGTAGTCATGTTAGAACCAGACCAACTCCAAACGAGACAGGCTTCGTACCCTCAGGCAGAGCTCATTGGGTAATACACCAAATGGATCTCTCTTTAATCGTGGTGCAACAAAATTGGCAACATAGCCGAGTAGCTTCCCGTCGCAGTTGGCCAATAGTTCGGTCAAGATGCGTTTGCGTTCATCGTTGTCCATTTCGGAAAACATGGTCTTCATATGCCTGAATCTCAGGCCTTTGTCCAGGGTGAAAGTAGCTTCGCTGCCAAGGTCGTCCAGATCGCCATCCCCGGCCATGTGCAAATCGAGAGACGGTGCTGTCGAAGAGGCCCAGCTGGGAAGACGACGGCCAGGCGTTGGTGACGGAGCCGGGGTCGGCGGAGATGCAGGCGCTGACGGGAGTAGATTGCCGGGAATGACATTTGGATTCGATGGAATGGGTATGGGTACACTGGTCGACGACGAGGATATCGAGCGTGCTGAAGGGCGCGAGATGGAAGTCTGGGGCTTATGATGACGCTGACCAAAGATGCGCGCTTCACTGCCCGACGCGACTCCAGGGTCGTATTCGACGGGCATGGATAAAGGACGCTGTGTCTGCGGATACGAAGGATGCCAGTCGGAGGGATCCTCCATGGTTGTGCTGCCTTGTGCGAGTGAAGGTCGCTCCTGTGCTTGTTCGGGCCCTGTCAACCCTCGTGGTCGGGCGGATTTGCGATCGGACGGCGGGTTGGCGGGGACGACGGCGATCAACGACGGCACAGTGTCTGTCGAAAGTGGGACCAAGACCGGGGTTGGCCAAAGAATGGATGCGGTTGTTTGTGAGGGTCGCCGAGAGGTGTTTGTGCCGGAAGAGAGTAGGGAAGAATGGACTGGGTTGCGCAATAGTCGAGGCCGGGAAAGTCTGAAGAGGTGCTGCAATGCTGGTTACTCTGAAACACAAGAGCACGCCTGAACAATAAGCCCGCCCTACAATTTATCCTCCCAAAACAAGTCCTATATTGAGAATGACTCGCACGCCTTTGCGTCGACTCTTGTTCTCTTGCCTCTGCCAACCCAGCTCCGATATCAGTACCTCGTCTGTGGTAGAGACAACTATCAGTGCAAACGGTCACCGCCCCGCCAAGGCACCTTTCTAGGTTGCCCCAACTCAGACTCTCTACATGACGTGAAGAGCCTTGTTTCCAAACTCAAATCTCCATTCTAAAGACATCTCACGGCTCTACGCATCGATTGCAAATATATGCCCAATGGCGACTCACGCAGTCGACCTTGTCCGATGCCTTCTCCGGTCAAGAGCGGTACTGCTCTGGTCACACCTGCATTCCGCTTTCGTCCACATGTCCAGAATCTCCAGCCGTTGACCTTCTCCACCTGCTACCTTATCTACCGGGCCTGCATGCAGCGAACCAATACTGCCGCCCTCCATACCGTTGCCATTGTCCAGCCATCGCATTCACTCTGCGCTGAAACTTGTCTCCCTCAAATACGTCCAAGTACACCGTCTCGTGAAGCAACCAAAATTTGAGCTGGATGCTTGTCACAACATCCGGCTGTCATCAGGGCTCATAATTAATCTCAACACTCGAAACGTAGGGTCTTTTCGTACAAGGATGGTGATTCTGTCAAAACGTCGTGAAATTCGAACATAAAGCAACAATCTAATAATCTAACGAGATCAATGGCCATGTCCAAATACCTGTGTCAAGAGCGGAAGCAACATCCCACCTACTACAGCCAGCGTGTCACTGAGCACAGGACTCTCATGTTTGTTCGATGTGGGCTGGTAGCCATCGTACACATTCGAGTCGCCATAGCCGTTAGGACTGGCATTTCCCATGTCGTGGCCGTGTTTTGTGTCTTGCATGGCATGCATTGCTACGTATCTGTTTGAGTGGTTAGATTAGGGGCAAAGGAAGCGTCAGACAGTCCACGTCAACTTACAAGAAGGTACCCCCGAAAACAACAACAGCAAACCGGTGAAGAAACGAGTGCCATGTTCGTTCTGGCCAATGCCTCCTTCGAATATGTTGACAAGAGCCCAGGTCAACAAGGCGCCGATCGGTGCAGCCAAGCTGAACACAACAAGATGGTTTCGTGCTCTTCTCTTGGAAAGGCCTTGTTTGAGCAACGCCGAAGTCAAACCAAACGCTGCAGGAGCCTTGTGTATCATCAAGGCCACAAAGACGATGAACCCTAGTCTTCGCGACGAAGCAGTTGACGAGGCTCCAAGAGCGATACCATCTGCGGCAGCATGGATGACCAGACCCACAGTGGTTGAGGAAGGGCGTGATTGCTGCATAGGATCGGGTGGTGGACCATCTGGATCTTCTGCCTCGGAAGGTTGGTTTGTAGATCTCTGAAGGTTGAAGCGATCCAGTGCTATATGGAATCTCTGTGGTTGGGACGAAGCTGCCGCATGACGAGGCAGTTGGTCGATCAGGTACATCAAGACAAAGCCCGAGACTAGAGAAACACCGATCCAGGCATGCGGCTCCCAATCATCGTGGTCCTCTGATTTGTGTTCTTCTGCTTTGTGAGAAGGCTCTTGCTGAAGGGGTTGTCCATCCTCTGGGCGTCCATCGTCGGGTCCAGTCAAGTCTGTATCTCTAGTATGCAAACCGACAGATGGATAGTCTCGACGTGACAGGTCGAGAGGGGACAGACCATTCAGTTCGTTGTGACTTCTGGGCTCTGAGGAGAGTGATCGTGTTGCGTGCGTGTGGCCTCCGACCTCGCGGGCACTGTACAATGTTTCAATGCCCTCCGGAATGATGACGATGAGGGCGGTCCCTACGAGGACACCGGTACCAATTGCTGTCGTCAATCGAAGCTGGCGTTGAGAGAGGGAGAAGGATAGTGGTAAGGATCCAGCGAGAAAGGAACTGGGCGCATTGTGTCAGTCGTTGGGGTTGCTTGTCTGCAGAGGGATGCTCACCTACGCGACCGTCATGATGGTGCTCAAGACGAGCAACATGAAGAGTCCTGACCACATGTCGACTGATGGGAATGTTAAGATCTAGATGTTAACTTGTCCAAAACATTTCGCATTGCTGAAGATGCCTTCTCGGGTTGAAACAAATGAGGATACGATTGGAGACGTGACGAGCGCAAGGTCCAGCTCGAGCGTGAGACGCAAGCCAGGGCTGCCCGCACAACATTTCCGTTTCGCATTACGGACATCAATTGGTCTCTCACCGTGACATCTCACCAATTAAATCATACATATCCATCTCTTCGCGAAATTTCCGCAGTCAATATCAGGTTTTTGTGGTTTTAAACTTCGAGATGGGCGTATGTGGTCAGGTGGCACCCTCTTTCACCTCGGTCTTGATCAAGCTAATTGATTGCTTGGTAAGTGGGACGGTGGAACACAACTCTTGTCCACGATACGTCCACATCTTCTCGATAACCTAGATAATTTGCACACACTGCAATAACTACTGTTTCAACCCCCAGTTTCCTGCTGTATCTCATTAAAGATGAAGCTTTTCGTGTAGGTCCTTGTCTGGCTGTCATCAGACGATCAGATCTCACCGCTGACGGACCTCCAACAGGACAGGAGCCACTGGATATATCGGAGGTGATGCATTGCATGCCATCGTCAAAGCACATCCAGAATACGAAATCACAGCTCTTGTTCGCAACTCCGATAAAGGTGCCTTGGTCGCAGTGGATTATCCCAAGGTAAAGCTAGTCTATGGTGATCTGGACTCCTCCGATCTTCTCGAAGAAGAATCAAGAAAGGCAGACGTTGTGTGTCGTACGTCAAATGCCTGATCATGCCCTCCTTGTGTAAAATCTAAACTGACATGTTCATCAGATTGGGCAGACGCGGACCATGAAGCATCTGCCAAAGCCATCATCAAGGGTCTCTCGACCAGACAATCCGAGACACCCGGCTTCCTGATCCATACATCCGGAACTGGTATTCTCATGTACACGGATCTCGATCAAAAGATATTTGGCGAAGAAGCCAGTAAAATTCACGATGACTGGGACAACGTGAAGGAGATGATCACTGGCATCCCAGACCATGCACCTCACAGGAACGTCGACAAAATAGTCCAATCGGTACGTGACGGACACACCGTCAAGAGCGCCATTGTCTGCCCTCCATGTATCTACGGAGCTGGAAGAGGCCCAGGCAACCAGACAAGCGTCCAAGTACCATCACTTGCTCGATGCACTATGCAGCAAGGCCATGGTATCCAAGTCGGTGCTGGAAAGACCTTCTGGACCCAGATCCACGTTCACGATCTGTCAGACCTCTATCTCAAGCTTGTGGAGGCAGCCTCGAACGGCGGCGGATCTGCCACCTGGAACGACGAAGGCTACTACTTCTGTGAAGCAGGTGACCTGGTTTGGGGAGAGGTAGCACATCAAGTGGCCAAGTCAGCTCATAAACAGGGCTTCCTCAGGGATGATCAAGTCAAAGAGTACTCAGCCGGTGAGGTCGAGAAGATCAAGTCCTTTGGTTCTGCACTGTGGGGATGCAACTCTAGATGCCGAGCCACAAGAGCCGGGAAACTGCTGGGATGGAAAGCCTCTGCTCCTAGTCTCAAGGAGGAGATTGATGCCACCGTCTTGGCCGAAGCAAAGAAGTTGGAACTGGTTGTTGGCCATGCCAAGATTGCTGCTGGAGAGGCATGATTTCGAGTGAAACCAGAGTAGGCCTCTGTGAGAGGATATGACCTGATGTGCTCAAGGCAGTCACAATCTCTCTCCTACCCCCAACAGATAGTGCTACAGTATGATATTAAGATACATACTTGCGAATCCGATAAGTGACCGAAGTAAGAGATAGCCCCTGAGATAATAACTCTCTTTGGATATTTGCGCCCAATAAGAAAGCATCGTGCGTTGGTGTACTATATGACTAGGTCTAGCTATCAGCACTTTTAATTTTTGCCGCCTTTGCCCACTCTCCATTTCCTGCTGCGCTCTCCTGACGGATCGCATACAGCTCGTCGATGAAAGCCGGGACAAAAGTGCCAGGTCCTTTGACGGAATCTTTCTTCGCAGCCCTCTCTGCGGCTATCTCGTACATCAGGATGCCAGTAACAGCAGCGAGCAGCTTGTCCTCTCTTTCGATAGCTAGCAAGCTCGCAATTGTCGTGCCCAACGTGCACCCACTTCCAGTAATCTCACCCAAGTATGGGTGTCCATTGCTGATCTTGAAAGTGCGCTTGCCGTCAGAAATGACATCCACCTCACCAGTCATCAAGATTACGTTACGCTCTTTGGCAGCGACAGACTGGACGAGTTTGACACGATCATCCAGGTTCAAGGTTGAAGCACCACTGTCCACGCCATGCTGCTTGAAGCCTGTGGCTCCAGACACAGTACGAATTTCGCCTTCGTTGCCCTTGATGACGTCGAAGTAACCGCCACGCATGAGTGCTGCAACACCTTCACGGCGCTGTTGAGTGGCTCCTGCGCCGACGGGGTCAAGCAGAATAGGCCCACCAACGCTGTTGTATGCGGCGATGGTGTTCAAATGGTGAGCCCGCATCTCTGGAGTGGTGGTGCCCATGTTGATGACAAGACTACCGCCGAAAGATGCGAGATCGCTGGCCTCCATGCTGTTGTTTGACATGATGGGACTTGCGCCGACGGCCAAGGCGACATTTGCAGCAAAGTTCTGCACGACTAGGTTGGTCATGTTGTGGCAGAGCGGCTTCTTGCTGGCTAGACGCTTGACAAGCTCTGGGATCCTGCGCACAATGTCCTCATGAGAGAGCGCTGGAGCAGAGATAGAAGTAGCGAAGGGAGGGGGAGTTGCCACAAGTTGGCGGAGATCGGAAGCTGCCTTCTTCGGGTCTCTAGCAGCCATGATGGCACTGACGACGGCAACACCATCGAGACTCTTCTCTGCGGCTGCAGTCTGATAGAGCACACGTTGGCAGTTTTTCGCATTGATGCCACCGATACAGACGGTTTTGATTTCAGGTGCGGATTGAGATAGAGAGGCCAGAATGTGCTGCACTCCAGAAGTGCCAATGATAGACTTTGTGTTTTCCTTTGTGGGAGTAGCGAACACAGTTCCCACGCCGAGGTAGTCAGCTCCTCCTTTGGCAGCAATCTCAGCTTCTTCCAGGGAGTTTGCGGTTACACCGATGATGGCGTCCTTTCCAAGTAGTCTGCGAGCAGATGCGAGGTNCTGACATGTACAGTCAGATTTACGAGTCAGATCGAGAGCGCAACACAGGTTCGCAAGCTTCAATCGAGCTCCGAAATCATTCTAAAACGACAGATGATGTGAAAGAGCATGCTTACCGATGTCATCCTGACCAATATGGACTCCTTCGACACCAGCAGCCAGAGCTACGTCGACCCTATCATTGATGAGAAGGGGAACATTTGCGGGCTTGGTCACAGCATGGAGAGCTTTAGCAATGCGAATCTGCTCGGCAGTGTCGCTAGTCTTGTCACGTAGTTGGACAATCGTGACGCNCTGGAAAAATGTCAGATCGAGTAATTGCGAGGTGTTGATGACTGATATTCTCGGACCTCCTTCTACGGCGGCACGAACGACTTGGACAAGGTCCTGGTCGCCGAGAATGGCGGGAGTGTTGTCAGTCACGAGATAGACAGAATAATCTACATGCATCTTGATTCACTGCACGATGTGTGTTGCTCAATGGGTCAAAGGACAGGTCTGTGGTTGAGAAGAGGAATCAACCGATCCCGGCGTCAAGTCACGGCAGAATCTAAATAGCTGTATTGCACCTTCCGATAGTCGCTGCCGCTGTGAGGGAGCCTCTTTTTAAAGCAATTTACACATTGAGTTAATGGTAATTGGACTGCACGCGGTGAATGTGGTTTACTCCAGCCATATTATCGTGACTGAAGACAGGAGCGGGAGATTCACAGAAGCTGCTGCCTGCATAGAGATGTGTGTCTTCTCGAAGCTTTGATAAACTTGGAAGTCACGATCAAGCTTTGGTGCATGCCGCACAATCACAAGGACTGCAGCATGTGCAGAAGCATAGAGACAAGGCAGAAACACGTTCCACATGCAAATGCAGACTCCGACACGCTGAATGCTTGATGCTTTGATGGTCGTTGGCCGTCAACAAAGAGTGTCGGGGTGGTCATCGGCAGACAACGGTTGCGATCACGCGTTGGAAGCTCGAGCGTGGGGCGGAACGACAAATTCTGCCTTTGACTTTCCCGGCAGCACGCACCCACCACCACTCAAGGCAGGACTTTGACGCTTCCTCTCTTCCTCCTTCCTTCCTTCCACACGACACGGAGACTTTTTGTGTTTGCCTGCCTCAGACGCTCGCAAACCTTCCTGAGACAACAGACCAACACTCCCCATCCTCACGCTCGCCCGCACTCCGGATCCGAGTTCACATCCACCAAAACCCGCGACTTTCAGACCACGCAGGCAGTTTATGTATTCGTCCCGCCGCTCTCAACGACTCGCAGTTCCGGACCCTCCCAAGCTGCAACCCTTTCGTATATTGCGAAGACCTTGTAGCAATCGACTCACCAACGACTGAACACTTGCATGTTGCCGACTAATATCGCCAACCCACCAACCATCCTCTACATTTTAAATTCCTCCTAAACCAATTCTTACCTACAACAACCAACAACCGCAATCATGGCTGGAGGTTCTGTCAACATCCGTCGCGTACGTCCGCCCCGATGCCACCACACACCCCACTTTGCGCTAACATCATCTGCANNGGACATCAGCGACCCCTTCTACCGTTACAAGATGGAGCGTCTTCAGTCCAAGATTGAAGGCAAGGGTAACGGTATCAAGACTGTCGTTGTCAACCTGAGCAACGTTGCTCAGCAGCTTGCCCGCCCTCCTACTTGTGAGTCACCGTCAACCCCAATCAATCCTGCTCCATGCTAACCACGTCTAGACGTCATCAAGTACTTCGGTTTCGAACTCGGTGCTCAGACCACCAACGACCCCAAGGATGACAGATGGATTATCAACGGAGCCCACGAGGCTTCCAAGCTGCAGGACTACCTCGACGGCTTCATCAACAAGTTCGTCCTCTGCAGAAGCTGCAAGAACCCCGAGACTGTTATTAGCATCAAGGACCAGCGCATTCTCATGGACTGCAAGGCTTGCGGTACCATCACCGAGGCCGACCCCCGCCAGAAGTTGTCTTCTTTCATCTTGAAGCAGCTTCCTGCCAAGGGCAAGAAAGACAAGTCCACCAAGAAGGCTGAGCGCAGAGCCAGAAAGGAGGCCGAGCGCAACGGCACTGCTGTCAACGAGGATGGCAACGGCAGCCCCAACGGCAGCTCCGACCAGGACGAAGACGACGCCGACTTCGCCATGGATGCTGGTAGCGACGATGAGCTCACCCGTCGCATCAATGCCGAGGCACAGGAGCTTGACGAGCCTGAGGAGGAGAAGGAGGTCGAATGGACTGTCGACATGTCTGAAGCAGCCATCAAGGCTCGTGCCAGAGATCTGCCTGACGATCTCAAGCGTGCTCTTGTTATTGAGGGTGCTGAGGACGAGGACGGTGAGGGTAACCCCTACGACCAGTTCGGCAAGTGGATCCTTTCTGAGGGCGAGGCCAAGGGTGGTGTCTCTAAGCTTGACGATGTCGAAGTCTACCTCAAGGCCAAGGAGCTCGGTATCGAGACCAAGCACAAGACTGTCGCAGTCCTTGCTCAGACCATTTTCGACGAGAACATTGTCAAGCAGGTCGAGGCTCGCAGCAGCATGCTCAAGCGTATGATCTCCTCCGAGAAGCACGAAAAGGCTTTCCTCGGCGGTTTCGAGCGCTTCGTCGGTATGGAGAAGCCTGACCTCATCCCTCAAGTCTCCGCCATTCTGCTCCAATACTACCAGAACGACCTTGTCTCTGAGGAGACCCTCAAGGCTTGGGGCTCCAAGGCTAGCAAGAAATACGTCGACCTGCCCACCAGCAAGAAGGTCCGCAAGAGCGCCGAGAAGTTCATCGAGTGGCTCGAGACCGCCGAGAGTGACGAGGATGACGAGGAGGAGTCTTCTGACGAGGAGTAAGGCTTTGTTGCAGTTGAGGAATTTATCACCAGAATTGTTACGGATTACACATATCGGGCCATGATCATCCACTATTGGTTAGGACGAGCTATGGTCTGAAGTCTTGCTATGCATTGCAGTATAAATAGCTTGTAGTAGTGGCTAGCCTGTTCCGAGGCACCTAATGAAGTCGTATCTCCTCTCAAACATCTCAAAATTTGCAGAATTCAAGAAGGTGAACTTTGTCGTTTGTCGAGCTCGGCCAGTATGCTCGTGAAGTCGTCTCCACACTGGGCTCGAACCACGAAGTTCAGCGCGTGTTTGCATCTCTCACTCATCGATCACAGTCGTCTCGACCAACAATGACATAACATATGCTCCTCTTTCAGTGACGTGTCGACCACTGATCACAACCGATTCTTCCAACCATGGACAACAATATTCCGCGCAATACACCTGCGCTACTGGGTATGATCTGCTCACCTCCAACAAGTATTCAGCATCAAGGCTAACACGAGCACAGCGCGCATCGATCAACTCCGCAACAGCTTATTCAACAGATTTGAGAAACTACTCGAACAGGCAAAAGTGAGTGATGGGTATGAAAACATCGATCAAGAGCAAAAAATCCGTGGTCGATGTAGAGTTGTCGATGTACAGAGGCTGACAAGCGTGCAAAAATTACAGATTGAAAAGAATGATCGTAACAGTACAGCTCTGAGCCAATATCAGACGCAAATCGAAACTGCTGCTCTGGTGAGTTTTCGTGTTCTTTGTGCTGTTTCTGTTTCTCTATTTCCTTCTTCGTTTTGTTCTTTCATTCACGAGTTTTTCCATTCTTTTCTATGCTTTGATTCATCACATTCTTGCAACTGGTTCACGTTTTGTTCTTGATGGAAGAAGGGCATGTTCTACACATGAATACACGGACGTTGCATTTGGTTTCTGTCTGACAACTTGCTAGATACGCACGAGTGAAGACATTTTGACCCTCACGCGCCAAATGCAGGAGCTATGGCTATTCGGCCAACTTAAGACGCTGGACAAGAATGATATCCAAGCACGTATCGATGGAGACGCCAAAGAGGTTGCCGAAATGCTTGCTGTGCTTGTTGGTGGAGATCAGGAAGAGGGAGCTACGAAAGTCGAGGGTTAGATGGGAGATTGCTACATTGATCTCATCTGTTGTAGTGTTGCAGATGGAAAAAGAGAGACCCAAGACAGATTCAACGCAAGTTGTTTTTGGCACAGAATAGGAAAACACGACTTTGGCAATGCATACACTAGTGATCCTAACCAAGAACGTCTTGTTTTATGAGATTTTGCTTCAATTTGCAGAATTCAGCCATCTCTTTTCCTACACTACGTCTACAGTACCCGAACATTCCTCCCAAAGGTGACCCTGCCTCTACTCTGAACCTCTCTACTGCAAAGAGTCTCGACTCACCCCAGCACCAACACAACAACCACGGCAGACATCGGAAAGCGCAATCTCGTAACACATGTACCGCGGTCCAAACTCGGGACTCTGTCCAAGAACGAAAAGCTTCTTTGTCCAGACCGAGTCACACAAAACGTTCGGCCAGCGCCTTCATGTGGTTCTTTCTTCGGGCCAGAGGGACAAAGCCTCGGCCCCCAGGAAAGGGAACACCAAAACTTTCCCCAGATTCGGCCTTTTGCGGAGAGAGGCACGCACATGTCAGAGATGTTCGGCTGCCCTGCCCCCCCGACGTCATTTTCGAGATAATTGTTCGAGTGCAATGAGGTTTGTTGTTTGGGATTGAGGGAGTTTAGAAGGGGTGAATTGGGTCAACACAGACAGGGATACAAGATGAATGGTGAGTTATCATTGCCATCTGAAAAAGAATGCTCTGTTGTTTGGATCCTTGGAGCCTGGGCAGTTGTCGAAAGTCTGCTGGCGAAGCAAATACCGAGGTGATCCATTCGTCCATGCTGCCAACCCTTTTTCTTCTGGGCCAGAGGTAACCGACGAAAAGGGTCTGATGACTCAAAAAATAACGAGAACATGGCTCATGATGAGGTAAATAAGAAGTAGACTCTCCTCATTTTCGTCGACCCCCGTCGTATTCTATTCCCCTCTGCACTACTTTCTTCTGTTTACTTGGTGATCCAATACAAGCTACAACCCCTCTCAAACGCATCGTCCCTTTGACGAATTGAGTCAATTCGAGAATACATAGCTCCTTGAGACGCGAACACTTTACTCAAGGACAAACTCGATCGTAGAGAAGCACCGTCCCTAGACCTCGTTACCCAAATCAAGGCACCACTTCCCCTCCAATACCCTGATACAGGAAGGAAACCAGAGAACGAACAATGTCAGCAAAATCGACAAAAGGCCCAGGCGGCAAGAAGCCAGCCTCTGCAGCAACAAACCTCGTCGCAGGCGGCGGAGCAGGAATGATGGAAGCTCTAGCCTGCCATCCTCTCGACACGATCAAAGTGCGCATGCAACTCTCAAAACGATCGCAGCGTGGTGTAAGTTTCCCCCAAACCTTCATACTTCCTCAAACAGTCAATCTGACACAAGTATCTCAANNGGGCTCTCGTCGCGGCTTCATCCAAACAGGAGTTTCGATTGTAAAACGCGAGACCCCACTCGCCCTCTACAAAGGCCTTGGAGCCGTGCTCACGGGCATCGTGCCCAAGATGGCCATCCGCTTCACCTCATACGAATGGTACAAGCAAGCTCTGGCTTCAGAATCCGGTGAAATCACCTCCAAAGCCACGTTCACGGCTGGACTACTGGCAGGAGTCACCGAAGCCGTCGCCGTCGTCACGCCAATGGAGGTTGTCAAGATCAGACTGCAGGCCCAACATCACAGTATGGCTGATCCCTTGGATATTCCAAAATACCGCAATGCTGCGCATGCGTTGTACACGGTTGTCAAGGAGGAGGGAGTGGGTGCGCTGTACAGAGGTGTCTCGCTCACGGCGCTCAGACAAGGAACAAACCAAGCCGCCAACTTTACCGCTTACACTGAGCTCAAGGCTTGGTTGCAAGAACGATCTGGACACCCTGAGGCTGGGCTACCTGGCTGGCAGACTGCTTTCATTGGGTTGATCTCTGGTGCTGTGGGTCCCTTCAGTAATGCGCCGATCGATACCATCAAGACCAGACTGCAAAGGAATCCTGCGCAACCTGGTGAGACGGCTATCGGTAGAATCGTGACCATTGGCAGTCAAATGTGGAAGCAAGAAGGCATCAGGGCTTTCTGGATGGGCATCACACCGCGTGTCATGCGCGTCGCTCCCGGTCAAGCTGTCACGTTTGCCGTATACGAGTACTTGAAGGATATAATGGAAAGAGGGAGAGACATGAGACCGGGTGGTAGTTATGAGGAATAAGAGATAGGATGAGAGATGTATCCACCTACCTCTGCAATAACTTCATTCTTCACACTCGTCTGCATTTCTCTTTGCGACAGAATCAGAATTGTCAGGTGGTATGATTCAAGTGCGCCATCGTCGGTCGCATACGATGGAGATGTATATGCAAGTGTCTACCTTCTTCCAGGTCTCTTGGGTCTTGCGAAGCTCTTGCTTTCCACTTTGTGTTCTTGGAACTCGGAGGCCAAGGTACTCGCCGACCACTCGTCTGGTGAGCTAGCCTCAAGTCTTTTTGTGATGTTCAAGCCAACGTTCGAAGCCAGAGTGACCAGCTGCGAGCGCGACGAGGCGTAGACCATGCGTTCCTTAATCTTGCTCTTGCTAGGGCAGCTGTACAGGAAGACAACACCCTGCTGACCAGGGTGATTGTAGAAAGAGTAGCGGGGTTCGGACGAGCTGATTTCGGAGCTGAGGTCGGCCGGCTGGATGTCCTGTTTCGATGCGTCAAGGTGTAGTGTCTCGGAGGCTACGTCGATTTTCTATCACGATTGTCAGTCTAAATGAGGTCAAGTCTATCGGATTTGAGCACTTACAATCATAACCAAAGAGCCCTCGCGAGAGTCCTTGAGGCTCTCAAGGGCATTGCTCACTTCGTCGCCCAGGTTGAGGGCAATGCCTGCGCTGGGCAAGCTTCTGCCGCCAGTACCTCCGCTCTCCAGTGCCTCAGTATCCTTGATGTGCTTCAGGCCAGCCTCTTCTTCGGTCAGAGGAGCATCGAGACGGTTGTGCTTCTCATGACGGTCCCAGCCCTCGGGAGTGAGCTCTTCGGCAGTGGTGCAGAAGACAGTCTCGCGGAAACGCTCGACGCCCAGCTCGCGCACCAAAGTCAGACGTGTCGAAGCAAACAGCATCTTCTGGCGCACATTGGCAGTGTCGGGAACGTATGTTACGGCCACATAGCCGTCGGCGGCCGAGCCGTCTTGCTTGAGCAGAATGTATCTCGCTTCGTCTTTGCCGAGGTGTTGCGACAGGCCGGACAGATCGCTGCGGAAGTCTCCACTGGCTGGTAGGGTCTCGAGAGGTACGAGGGTTTCGTTCTTTATCGTTGCCAGGAGGCCTCGCTGTGACGATGAGGACACGAGGCTGTTGAATGCATCGTGAAGCTCTTGTGATGCTGTGGGTGGACCAGTCAGTCTCACATCTAGACTATAGCACCGGACAGAGACGCACCTGAGATTCCCGACTGCATTGTGTTTGTTGTGTGAATTGTGTTGGAAAGAGGAGGCTGTCGACTGCTCCTCGAAGCTCAAGCACAAGTCCAAAGCAATGACGCGTTTCACCATCTCCGAGTCAACAGAGACGAAACACCGACTTCTTCACCTCCTGTTCTGCCCAGTATCTTCGTGCATGAGAATATTGTACACTATCTTTGTTGCTCGCATTCAGAAATAACTATTACGCCAGACCATGCTTGATGTTACAGCCCCAATTCAATGCTTCCAAACTCAATTTCTCCTCCTAGAATCGCCCTCATTGCTGTCAGCCTGATGCCCGTTGGCCTGTCCACTCTCCTCGTCCTGGGATCCAGGCGGAGGTATCGTATAGCTTCCGTTCCACGCATCTTTTCTGCCGCCTCTGCTCTTCTCGCCTTGCTCCTGCTCTCCATCGCCCAACCAGTCTTCGAGACCTGGAGCCGAGAACAGCTTGCCCTGCCAGAATCCCTTATAGACTGTTTCCAGAGCGCAGAAGAGCCACAGGAGTGTCGCAATCATGACCGTTGTCGCTGCCCAGCCTCTCATTCCATTATCTCGCAGGTCACGAGAGAGGAAGCACCATGAGTTTGCATATGAAGCCATACTATGATTCACAGAGTTAGCGCTTGACCTTCAACTTTTGACATGGTATAGATACTTACGGGAAGACCGCGCTCCAATACGCAATGTTGAACTCCAGCCTTGGCAATGACATGAGGATGCTCATTGTGCCCTGAACCATCCAGAACGTCGCATGAGCCAAGAGGAAGAGGTTCATGAATATGATACCTTGAATGATGGTGTTGAAGGAAATTGGGATGGCTCCCAAGAATGAACTCGTGGGAAACTCCATCATATTCTTCTTGAACAGTATAGGATGCGTGATATAACGCCATGTGATCATTTCAGTGAAGAAGCCAAACAGGACTATCTCGAGGATCCATAGACAGAAGCCAATGTCACGAAGCCATCGGTCTGCTCCGGTGATGGGGTATGGGAAGTTAACAACATTGCTGCAACACTCCAGTGCCTGAATTTACGGTCAAAACGGTTCTTGCGTGTCAATGGTCCTGAGCACGCTTACTCATGACGATGGTGAACCATGATGGCTCGAAGTTGGCGATTCTTTCCCTCCAATGCCATCCTTTGAGATTGTCTTTGACAGGCATGCTATGGATTTAGGGTTAGTTCAGATGTTGGGGGTCATGGAGTCGCAGGGTGGAGTCGAGTTACACCAGGGACACCTATATATCAGCCTCCTCCCCAACCGTACCAGCAATTTGTTTTAGGTACTCGTGATGGCATTCCACTGAATTGACGTAGTGAGAGCGATGATGCTTGGGGCCCGCGGGCTGAACGGCTGCACCCCAGGAGATCCGCAGCACATCCGCCAGCCACAGATCTCATCAACGGCGGATTGCGCATCAGGCACCTCAACATCCATGTTCTGCATCGTGTCGCAAATTCATGGTATGGTTGGTCATTTTGATGTTCCACGTTGAGGCCTAACTAGACAGCTTGTTCCTGTCCATGGCGCTATGCTCACAAGTAAACTGCTGTGTTAAGCAACTGCTCCCGGTTTAGCATTGAGATCGATGACGCATGATTCAGAGGGGTCTGAATGCTCGAATGCATTAAATGTTCCGGTCACTGCAGCCCAAGGGAATGATGCTTTGAACTTCTTTATCACTTGTTACTTCTCCGGGGTATATCAAGATCTTGGACCTTGTACTGTTTTGAGCTGTTGGCCTGGAGAATCATAATGTCAGAGGATAACATGGTCGTCATTGTAACTGGAGCGGTCAGTCAAATCAGAGGTTGATTTGTAAACTCTGTCGTTCTGACAGAATACCAAACAGAACCGAGGCATTGGTCTTGCCATCTGCGAACTCATCTTGAAGACCAACCAGAATGTCAAGCTGTATGCAGCTTCCCGTGCGGGAGCCGACCTTGGGCTCAAAAGTGCTGGTTCTGGATCAATCAAATACCCCAAGCTGGACGTAACCAAAGACCAAGACATCAAGCAGCTGGCAGAAGACATCAAACGCGAAGATGGTCAAGTCAGCGTACTAATAAACAATGCTGGTATCAACACGTACCCAGAACATACTCCTGATAGCGTGAAGCAAATGCTCGATGTCAACTATCGTGGAATATACAAGATGTGTAAGGCCTTCATTCCTTTGCTTTCGCAATCAGGTCGTATTGTCAACATGTCGTCTGTGGGTTCGCAGTTGAAGATCTACAGCCAGCACAACGCAGCTCGTTTCAGAAACACAGGGTCGTACGAGGATGTCGAAAAGATTGCCCAAGACTACATGGTGAGCTGCAAGCTACCCTGCCGCGACGCCCATGAGCTATAGCTTACTGTGTTCTAGCAAGCTGTCAAGGAGAAGAACGAGCTAAACTCGGGATTTGGCGACAAGGGTCAAGGCTACAGCGTCAGCAAAGCATGTGTCAACGCAATCACTGCTATACTCGCGCGTGAGAATTCAGGACTGACCATCAACGCATGTTGTCCCGGCTGGGTGGATACTGACATGGGAGGTATTATGGGAAAGCCACCTAAGNNGCGCCCAGTAAGCATCGATTGAAAGGGCTTCTATCAACGACAATGTGCTGACTAATGTCTAGTTGATGGTGCTAAAATTCCTGTAAAGCTTGGGTTTGGCGATATTTCTGGCACAACTGGACGCTATTGGGCCAATCCTGGAATCTCGGACAAGGATGATGGTCAAGTCATGGCTTGGTAATCATTGATCGTGTCAAACAATGTATTAACGTAATTCTCAAGATCTTATGAAATATGAATCGTGCATTTGAAAGTAGACACACCTCATCCGCTTATATGCTGCAAACCTATGTTTTTCGAGTGAGCGAGCGACTAAGGCTAGGGCATGACCTTCACATCAGTTCTCAATCCAGCCTTCTGCAGACGTTCCAAGAAGGGTGCGCCCAGAGCTGCTGGGGTCAAGGAGCCACCTCCCATACCAACAGCCGGAGTCTCATCTCTCAAGATCGTGATTGCTGCTTCTGCCAAGAACACGCCGGTCAGGCAATACAAGCTGCCGTCCCAAGCCATGCGTCCAGTGATACGCTTGGGGTCATTGGGATCGGCGGAGTCGACCGTTGCGATGGCGCGATACTCGATCCTGTCGCGACGAGAGGACTCTCTTGAGGGTCCTTCGCCAGGTTGGAAAACCACGCGCTTTAACAAAGAGCGCACGGGTGGTAGAACCAGTGCAATCATGCCGATAGCGAGTGCAAAGTGGACCAGAATACCGGTAAACATATTGCGAACGTGCATGTAAGGGCTGAAGCGGAACTTAGGGCCGTAGAAGTTACCATTCTCGAACAGGCCCCAACTTCTGTGAACGATGGTAGTGTCGGTAGCACCCTGAATACTGGTGGACAAGGTTCCAAGATCGCGGACTTGACGGACACCAAAGAGTCTCTGGAGTACAGTAGGACCTTCCAGGCTACTGCGAGGTGGAGTAGTTGGGCAAAGAGACCAGGGTTTCATGGCCTCGGTAGTTTCAGAGATGCTGTACTTGTCAAACAGACCAATCACAGTGGCCAGAGTTCCACCACTGGGCTGGCCCTTCAAGTCGGCGACCGAGAAGACCAATTCTGAGATACCAGCTGAGAGAGTACGTCTGGCGTGGTTCACCATCGACCAAGACAGAAGATCAGCTGGGGCCGATTCGACGCCGATTTGGTGGATGATAATGGCCTCGTTGGCCTTTGCTGTAGCGTGATACTTCTTGATCATTTCACGAACCCATGGGGTCTCGCCAGTTACATCGAGGTAGTGGGTACCATTTTGAGCGCAAGCTTCGACGACCGGCTCAGCATATAGCATATAAGGACCAACGGTGTTGATCAAAACAGTGGTCTTCTTGACCAGGTCGTTAACGCTCTGCTTGTCAAGTCCGGAAGTCACGATTTCNNTGCATGGTGTAAGCTATTGTATTGCTCGCAGTTTGGCTTGATGTGAGTGACCTGGAGCGAGACGGTCAGGGTTCAGAGACTTGAGTTCTTGAACGAGGCTCTGAAGCTTGCTCTCCGAGCGGCCGGCAACGGCCCATTTGAGATTGGTGGGTAGCTGCGAGACGATGTGCTCGCAGGTGTATTTTCCGGTGAAGCCGGTGGCACCGAAGACGATGAGTTCGTATGGACGAGAAGACATGGTTCGGCAGAGTCACACTTGGACGCACAGAATAGGGAGGAGGATGCTTCTTGTAGACAGTTGATCTATCTAGAAATTGATTAGGCGAAAACCGTCCCCGAGCGTCGTCTTCAGGGTGCGGGAATTGAGAGATGGCCTCGCTTGATTGTACTCGACAACAGATGGAGTAAATCTGTGATAGAAAATTGAGATGCTCAAGTCATGGAGGTGGACTTGAAGAGAAAGTCATTATTCAAATTAAAGAAAGCGAGTTCGAGCATCTTCTGTTGCAGTGAGGAGTCAATCCATAGTTAGCGACGCAAGCGCCAAGCATTCGTTCGCGGTAAACTCCGACACGCACGTTGCTCAAAATTGGTCTGTCGAGCGGAGTCTTTTGAACTCAGGACTTCTCTCTTGTCAACCTCGAGTCTTCAAACCAACCGCCAAAATGACCAAGAGAACCAAGAAGGTCGGCATCACCGGAAAGTACGGTACCCGCTATGGTGCTTCCCTCAGNAAAGCAGGTGCGTCTCGACCAGGATCCATGAATGCGACAGTCGAGAGCAATGTTTAACCCCTCCCACAGGTCAAGAAGATGGAAGTGACCCAGCATGCCCGCTACACTTGCACCTTCTGCGGCAAGGTTACTGTCAAGAGACACTCGGTCGGCATCTGGGACTGCAAGTCTTGCAAGAAGACTGTTGCCGGTGGCGCTTACACCGTCTCGTACGTTTCCCCTCTCGCGACCGCCAGGACGACGCATCCTCCTCATCTCGCTGGACAACCCGACTAACACAAGGCTCTTCACAGCACTCCCGCTGCCGCTGCCACCCGCTCGACCATCCGTCGTCTGCGCGAGATTGCTGAGGTTTAAACAACCACATCAAGTCATTACAGCAATCCATCTTCGGTTTTCTCGTTTCGAGGTTCTTTTTCCATTGGGCAATCGCGGCGTAAAAATTCAGCAAGGACTTTTGACGAAGGGATGATGTAGCTAAGAAGGAAATACCCATCCACGCTGGCTTCTCTACATGCTGGGATCCTGGGAACGATCAAATGAAACTCAGTCATCCTGCCCAAAGAAACTGTCACCCTCAAGCCCGCCTGAACTTATCGATCCGTCTACAATAATCATCGACTGCAATGAATCAACGAACCCTGTTACACCGATCATGACATATCTCCAGAGTATCGCGCCGTTGCGCAACATGTTTTTATTTTTGCTATTGCAAGGCAGGCCCAGGCTGCGACTGCACGATCAGCGCATTCAGTCGCTTCAAGTGATTTCTTTGTTCCCCAACTGCAGCACATGTGAAAGCAACCAGTTGATAGTCAGCCTTCAGATCCAGGAATTCGACGTACGCTGATGCCTTGGATCTGGAGGCGTTTTGTGTTGATTTTGGAAGCGGATCAAGCAGACGCCCAGTCATCCGTTCCACGTGAACCGAAGGCAACGCGCCTTCACTCCGCAGTTTCGCATACCTTAGTATATAAAGCTTGCCCCTTCCTTCTCCCTTCCCTTCACTCATTCTTTCATGCTCTCTCAGCTCGACACGACTCTGTTTTGGGCGCCGTGATAATGACAGACGTGTGCATCGTCTGCTTGGGCGACCTGCGCCTCCGCCCCGAGGACGTTGATGCCGAGACAGATGTCAAGCCCATCAAGACCGAGACCGAGATTACTGCGCCGCTTCCTGTGCTCCCCTCTGAACAAAGGTACTCAGATCCTGTCCACGCCGAGCATTATGATCCCCCGGAGCCTTCTTCGTCGGTCCCGTCGATTCCTTGATCGCTTTGATCGGCTTGATAACACTTGCATGTGCCGCCGCATAAGCTTGGATGGTGACGTCTCCCCCGCCTTCGAAGATCTCCTGGGGGATTCATCTTCACCTCGACTCAGACTTAGTGCTGACTATGCATANNCAGCAAGCACCCCATAGACGATGAAATTGTCGCTCACCTACTCCCCTGTGGCCACAACCTCCACGATTCCTGCTTGCGACCTTGGGTCGAACGAGCCAACAGTTGTCCCATCTGTCGCGCAAGCTTCAATGTTGTCGAACTACGCAACTTTCTCGATGGCCCGGCCCATTCTTCTTACATTGTCGAGGAGAAACAACAGCAAGCCGAAGTCGATCCCACCTTGATCATCGACGACTCATTGTTTGACGAAGACGCCCCATGCCTCGTTTGTGGTAACATCGACAGCACCCATGCAACCATGTATTGCGATGGATGTGATGGCACCGTGCATATCTTCTGCGCTGGCTTTAGCGACGCCACCGCTCCAGACGTCTGGTACTGCGAGTCCTGTCACCGAGAGCTGGGCATCAACGCTACTGGCCGTAGACCCAACCCACGGGCACGGAATCCCAGACCCAGAAGAGTCGGAGGTAGACGGCCTGGTACAGAAGCATGGGATAGAGTCTGGGCAAGTGTCTGGCGCCGGTTGAACCTGGACCTCGACTTTCCCCATGAAGACGAGGACCTCACCACCATCCATCGTACTCCGGCTCAACGCAGAGAGCTTGCAGCCTGGACTCGCAGGCTCCAAGTTGCTAGTCGTCAAGGTGGTGCAAACCGCTTCAGGGACACTGCATCCACCCTCCTGGATCGAAGGAATCTTGCCGCCGCACATTCACCAGAGTCGCAAGAAGAACTACGCGCTTGGAATGCGCTTGACAAGGCTCGCGCGCTTGACCCGGAAGCGCAAGCACCGCCTAGCAGAAAGCGCAAATCCGCTACTGCCTCTCCAGCATCTCCCCGAGACAACACAGCAATAGAACGCGAGCAAGCCGAGCCACAGCGCAAGCTCAAGCGACCCAGGACCAAGAGAAACATGACGATATCAACTCTTGCAGAACCAGGCCCATCTACTATTGAGGTCCCTGTACGTCCGATACAGAAGCCCAGCGAAGGGCCAAGTTTCCTTACTCAGCTTCTTCAAGAGGTAGAGAAACAGCCAGCACCGGAGGAAACAGGCTCACCGGATGCTGAAGCAAATTCTGGTGATGAGCAGCCAGGACCATCTAACATGGCTTCACCAGGAGCATCCCCTATCCACTCTGGCCAAGTCTCACCCCGCGCGTTGTCTGTCACACCTCCACCTCAACCTGCACGTCCCAGACCAACCTCACCTATGCCTCTCACGTCTATTGTCCGACCCCTTGCTTCACCTACCTTTTCTCCAACGATGAACGGCAAGGATGAGCGAGGCAGATCACACCGACGTCCCCAACAACAAGTCAGCAGCCCTCCGCGAGACATCTCGCCTGGTTCACCATCTCGCAACATGTCCTACTCGACCAAGACCGAGATTCAGCGCATGGTCAAAGCTGTCCTTGGCCCTCGTTATCGTGGAGGCGAAATAAACAAGGACCAGTATACTGACATTAACCGGGATGTATCTCGTATGCTCTATGAGAAGGTCGGCGATGCTGAAGGTTTGGCCAACCAAGATGGCCGCGAGAAATGGCAGGAAGTGGCTTCGGCCGAAGTTGAGCGAGCAGTTCAGACCATTCGCTTGCAGGAGCAAAACTCGGAGACGTTCTCACAGGAGATCTAGGTTGATAAACGGCATTCACGATGGGCACGGCGCATTACAACACTTGACTTTGGCGCATCGGACTTTCGAGCATCTTTGGCTTGGTAAAGCTTCATGGCGTTGGGGCAGGAAATGGGAGAAGCGTGTAGATACCCCCAACCTTGAATTTTACACCTATTATGGTTCTTCTTTGACAACCACTCGACCAGTTTTGTATCGTCTTGCCCTATATCGGATGAGCATTACCACTGTGAACTCCCGAGTTTGTTATTCGTTCCCATCGACGTCATCGAAATGCTGGCGCGTTCACGTCGCGTCTTCCCAAGCTGTTCTCTCTACTCAGTACCACACCACATTACAAGAAACAAAATGTCGAAAAGAACCCTGGATACCTTCTTTAGCCCATCTCAGAAGAAGGCCAAAATATCTCTCACAGAATCAAAAGATGCGCCGTCAACCCACTCGACATATCCATTCGCTATACCACAATTGCCACCAGAGATCACAGACCTCCTCAACTTTGCTCCAGAAGCCGAAGGCAAAGCAATCAATGACCAACCGGACTTGGATCTCTTGTACTTCCAACCATACGTACCAGGTTCGATATCAACGGCCCTGTTTGAGTTTCTCCGCAGCGAATTGTTCTTCTACCGCGTAAAGTACAAGATCAAGCGAGGACCCATCGAGACGGATATCAACACGCCGCGATTCACGACTGTGTTTGGTGTAGACGAGACATCCTCTTTCTCACCTGATGGCTCACTCATCGACGCAACCACAAAAAAATCCATCCCCAAAGACCGCTACAAGACTTGCAAACCACGACCTATACCCGCATGCCTAGACCTGTTGCGCCAACTCACAGAAGCAGCAACAGACCAACGCTACAATTTCTGCCTCGTAAATTATTACGCCACTGGCGACGACAGCATATCCTACCACAGCGACGACGAAAGATTTCTCGGCGTGGATCCCGCAATCGCATCATTCAGTCTGGGAGCCAGGAGGGACTTNTTGATGAAGCACAAACCCACTCCACCGTCTGAAAGCAAAAGCGCCGCGGCAGTTGCTTCAGAGACGAAACCTCTGAAACTGCCTTTGGGTAGTGGAGACATGGTGTTGATGAGAGGCTCGACGCAGAGTAAATGGTTGCATAGCATTCCCAAGAGAAAGGGAGGAGAAAGTGGGAACGGCAGGATCAACATCACATTCAGAAGGGCGATGGTGACTGGAGGTACTGAGAATTACTACCGGTATAATGTTGGCGACGGAGATGTCATGAAGTGGGATGAGAAGGCAAAGAAAATGGTTGTCTGGGGTGAGAAGAAGGGAGATGGAGAGGCTGTGAAGCAGGAGATCAGACCGGAAGATGTAGACAAGGGATATGCTGGTTTGTAAGATCTGTAGTATTAGGAGACATAAACAGATGATATACTGCATGTGCACAAGCCGCATCCAGTCTTTGGCTCCTCACGAAATGCAAGAGAGAGTGAATTGGTTTCCAAATGCCAGATCTGTCACCGAAAAACAAAAAGCGTACCCTCATGTTCTGATCATGGAGAAGCAGGGACAAAATACTTGTCGCAGCCGTGAATCGAACACGGGGCTCGTGCATGGCAAGCACGAATTTTACCACTAAACCACTGCGACGTATGATTGGATGATAGGATTTCTTTAACACATTCAATAATTATGATGCAAACTTTCGAGCTTACAGCCGGTCAGTGATCTGCATGTGCTTGTTTCGAGCTTCGACAGAGAAGTCGACCTTGAATTCACTATTCACACGACCTTGTAATTATCACCTCTGACTCACACCAGTCGAAGATTCGGAACTGGAATCGTCTCTCCGTCTATGCATACTTGGTAAAGAAGCAAGAGAGCATCCGACACACAAGCCCGAGAGGCACACTCACCTCCTCGAACTGTCAGGACACAGACAACCCTACAGCACCAAACCATGGATCTCGCCAAAAACCTCCTTCGCATCACAGCGCGAGCATTCTACACGACCGAAGACGTCCTCATCGTCGACGCCCTCGGCATCCACAGCACCCTCACAGACGCCGACCTCGCACACTGTCTCGGCACCAACAGAAAAGAGCTACGGAAGCAATGCGGCAAGCTCAAAGACGCCGGCCTGATATCCGTACAAACGCGCGCCGAAAAGAAGGAAGATGCGCCGCCGCCGTCGACGAATCCGAATTTCAAGAGTAGAGAGCACGTCAAGCATGTGGATTGGTACTGGTTGCACTTTCACCCCGCTATTGATGCCATCAAGTACCGTTTGTCCCGGCTATCCAGACATATCGACAGTATGGGTGCGCCGACGACGGAAAAGAAGGATCTCGAGTGTCCGAGATGCAAGAGCCAATACACAGATCTCGAAGTCATGGACAACATCGATCCCCTGAGTGGAAGCTTTCTCTGCCATCTCTGCGAACACCCTCTCGACCCTGTAGACGAAGACCTGCAAGAAAACGAAAGCAAAATGCGCCTCAACACCCAAGTCGCCGCCATCGAAGCCCTGCTGCGCGAGATCGATCAAGCAAACGTGCCCGAAAATGACTTTGACACGGCCTTGTCACTACACCTGCCGATCAACAGAGGAGACGCGCATCCAGACCGCCCAACGAGAATCGCAGAAGAAGTCAAGCCCAGCATCGCCGGATCCAAGGGTCTGGCTCTGGCGCCCGAAACAGTAAAGGTGCAATTGGAAGACGACATTACAACAAAACCGGATCCAGAGGCTGCAAGGATCAAGCGCGAAAAGGAGGCCAAGCAAAACGCTCTGCCCGAGTGGCTCACGAGGTCGACTGTTTCTGGCGACATGACGACGGCAGGCGCAAAGGAGCTGAGAGAGCAGCGAGAAAGAGAAGCACATGCCGGAGGTCTCTCCGTCGACGACGCAGCAGACGAGAAGAAACTGGGAGGCACACCAGGAAGAGATGATGCCGTCATGGACGACTACTGGGCCGCATACCGTGCAGAGCAAGAAAGAGCGAGGCTACAAGAGGAAGAGGAAGAAGAAGACGAGGACGAGGAGGACGAGTTCGAAGACGTGCCTCCAGGCGCCAGTGTACCAGACATCAAGGTCGAAGAGGCCGAAGGTCCAGATGCCAAACGCGTCAAGACGGAGCAAGAGACTGATGCTAAGCCCTTGGCCAGTGTCGCGCCTCCGGTCGATGCCAATGCAGAGTCTGACGAAGATGACATGGAGTTTGAGGATGTCTAGAAGACGCTCAAAGTATACTACGATACCCATAGACCTTGAACAAAACAAAGAGCATTCCATGCATATTATCACTACATGAACCCGCTCTTGAAGCAGTTGAAGGTGTGTGAGATGAAGAAAGACAGTTCGTTATGCTTTTGGTCATGGTATTATATTTACATGCTCTCTGTCCATATGAGATCAACCCAAGAATCTCTTCAACTCACCACCGACGCCTTCAAGATCAAGCAGGAAGGTGTCATGACCAAACAAACTCCTATCCTCGCCAAGCTCAACATGGGTAACTTTTCTATTTCCCACCTTCCTCAACGCAGCAGCAATTTCTCTTTGCTGCCAAGCAGGGAACAAAATATCAGAAGCCACACCCAGCACCAAAGCAGGGATATCTCTCAATCCCTGCATGCCCTTGACAAGATCGGCAGGTGGCTCGTTGTCCTGAGCAGCAGCCTTGATGTCGGCATTCTCATTCATGATCTCCGCCGTCGACTCTTGCTCCTCATAAGGTGTATCCGGCAGCGTCAAGTTGCACAGATCCGCTGCGCCACTCTCTGGTTTCGGTGTGGGTTTGTCGGCACCGAATTGGTCTAGCTTGTGGACATTGGATGCTCTCACGCCTTCGAGCATGTCCATGTGTTCCTTGCCTAGGTCGAATAGATCCATCGCTTTGCTCACGTACAGCAGACTGTTTGCATCGTACTCCAAGCACCACTTTTCACCCGCGTGGTCGAGATACGTCTCGATCAGGAAGTCTGGACATAGGGCAGGAGGTTTCGAGGGGTCGGCGCGACGGCGGCCAAAGCGAAGCTCCCACTCAGGACCGCTGCGGTAAGTCACGGTTGCAATCTCGCGTGCGAGTTTCATGCCGGCGTGGGGTGGGATGGCCGAGTAGTAGTTTCCGCGAGTGGAGGACCAGGCGGGGTCGTTCATGAGGACNNTGCAACCGGGTCAGCAATGGTGGTATGAGAAGAAAGGGAAACAGAGAGACGAACCTTGACGTTGGGTGTGGCGCATGGCTACGCTGTAAGGGTGACTCCTAGCACAGCCCGAGATGCTGACCAACTTGCCTACACGTTCGGGGTGCAGGACTGAGGCAGCCAGACTCTGCATGCCACCCATACTGGAGCCAACCGAAGCATACAGCTTCTCAATGCCCATCCAGTCAAGAAGACGGAACTGTGCGCGCACCATGTCCTGCATGGTGAGGATGGGGAAGCGGGTAGCGTATGGCTGGTCGTTGGCCAAGGGGTCCTTGGAACTTGGACCAGTACTACCATAGCACCCTCCTAGCACATTGGTGCAGATGACAAAGTACTTGTCGGTATCAACAGGGGCGCCGGGTCCAATGAACTTTTCCCACCAGCCAGGCTTGGAGTTTGCCGGAGTGCTCTTCGCGTGACTGCTAGCACTCAGGCCCGTGTGTAGCAAGATGGCATTGCTCTTGTCGGCATTGAGCTTGCCCCATGTCTCGTATGCGATATCGAAGGACGGCAAGACACCGCCCCAGTCCAGCAGGAGAGGCGAGGGGCAGTGGAATGTCTCGGTTGCACCTGGTGCGTACGATGGTTCGGGTCCGGACAAGGATCGCTTGTTGGTCAAGGTCTGAGTCTTCTTGTCCAAGGCATCCAGACAGGGGAAGCTGAGCGGTGGATTCACGACTGGTATCTCCGAGGGCCTCTCTGCCTCGACAATGGGTTGGCCAGCGGCTGCTTGCGAGGCCGGTTTGCTTGTGCTATGTATGCTGCGTTGGGTGGGAAGGAAGCGTGTTCTAGGGTTGGTTCGTCGGAACAGTCCATTGGCAAGCTGCCTTGCTGCTCGAGGTGCCGACATGCTGTCTCCTGTCGCTCTGGCTAATGTGAAGAGTCAAGGTTGAATGATTACCATGCTCCGGTGGAAAAGTCATGGTCTCGAATCTGACGCCATCAGCCGAGGCGTTTGTCAGCCTCCGGGATCGGGCTTGCTCCATTGCCCTATCTCTTGTCCAACATCACATACTCATTACTGATTATAAAGATACGGATGCAGCAGAAGCCAACATGAATCATCTGAAACCTTTTGAGTATCCATCGCCCTAACATATCTGGCGCTTGCAATCAACATTGTGAACTATCGACTTTGTGGTCAGGGTGTCCCGCGCAATCATCATTTGAAGCTTAAGAATACCACTGGATTCCGGTTTCCCAACATGATCATCACTAGTGAGCTGTAGGGGTTGAGCTACGTTGATGTTAGTACGTCGGCCTATCCTGTATCACATAAGTCCCAGATCGGGCAGTAGTGGACATGGCTGAGAGTAACAGGCCGGGCACAGAGGATATAGATTATGGATGATAATGCATTTTGCTTGACCCATTCATGGACCTGTCCTGATGACCAATGCTTGTTTTCCGGATCAAGAACGAAGTAAAAAACTTTAAGACTATCGACTTGCCCCCAGAGCGATGATAGTGACGATACTGCTGATAATGACAATGCTGGGAATGCGCATACTCAAAACGGACGACGGAATGAGACCAAGGGCAAAGATGACAAGGAGAAGTAAAAGATTTGTCAAGACAACAGAGGTAAAAGGTGAAAAGAAGAGAAGAAAGAAGAAGAAAAGAACAAGCAGCCCCTCTCTTAAGAACTCATCGCAACTAAGAGACATTTCTCGGAGACTCTGATGCTGACTGCCTCTCAAAGGAAGAGCGGTAATATTGACCACTTCCTAGCACGGTAGCAGACAATGCACAAAAGTAGTGGTCAACCGCCGACTAGACTTTCCGGTTTATGTCACACCCATGGGCCTTGGAGTGTATCCACTGTTGCGGTTGCCATTCCTGGTGGGACTGCCTTGGCTTTCGGAAGACTTGTTTGGATGCATGGCAAAGGGCGGTTGTGGTGGCATATCCGCTGCCACATGACGAACACTGGCTTCGTTGCCCCATGCGTTGGCCTGTTCGGCGTCTGTGTCAACACGAGTGACAACAGGCGCACTACCTCTGCTTTCACGGGACTTTGGTGTCGTGGATTGCGGCGNGGGTGCTACATCTCCTGGTGTACTTGAAGGCCCCTTTGTCCGATCGCCATATCGTTTCAAGATTTCCTTGGTCGTGATGTCGGCGCTGGCCGAGAATAGCGTCGAGTCGTTGAGGATGAGAGCTAGGTCTTCCGGTACCTGGACAGATAATGTTAGCCTTTCATTGTTCAGTGAATGAGACGTCAACGGAGCACTTACCTCGCACATGTACTCATTGAATTCTATGAGCGAGTGCACCGCCTCAATAGCGAGCAAGTTATCATCCAACGGTACGTCGCGCTTGCCCAAGTGCAGGATGTTGGGTGCCATCACAGTAGCAAGATTGTGAACGTCCATCTTGCTACCAGATTCTTCATCAATGTGAGAGAACGAAGACACCCATTGCATAAAGTTGAACAACACCTCCATTGTGTCTCTGTGTGCCTTTGGAAGAAGACAGCATGTAAGGTGGAGGACCCTTCGCCGTGTCTCCTCATCCGTTATTCCTAAGTTACGTTTAGTAGATGATCTACGAACACTTTACAAAGTAAAAAACTTACTTTGTGACGTTATCCACAACTTATGCAGCTTGAATGTCATAAGAGGATCCGGCAGCTCTCGTAGGAACTTCTTGAGAAGTGCGGCGACTTGAACCGGATTTTCTTTCGTAAGATCAACGTCGACCATCTCCTTGGAGTCGATCTCTTCTTTGACGTCGTTGAGTCTCTTGATGTTACCGTTCTTGCGGAAAACCCNCTCGACAGACATGTCCATTGTCCGCATTGCCGATATCGCGTCCTGGATAAGAACGGGGATGCGCAAGGCACCCGGCCCAATGCCATCTGTTGATTCCGCGTAGTCTTTTTCTACCAGCTGCTCAAGAGACACACCAAAGATGCCCCGCTTGTTGCCTTTGGGTTTCTTGCCTGTCTCAGGCTTGAAAGCCTTCCCAAATTTACCCCAGAATGTGGGTCTCTTCGTCTCAATGAGGTCAAGCAACTCTTCCTGGTTGAAATGGCCCTCAAGAAGAGGCTCCATTGAAAGTACGGCTACGTGACGAACGATGAAATATTCAAGTGCTGACAGTTCGGAGAAATACTTCTTCGTCTTGAACGCACCACCCTCCATGAGAGCTGGCTTGTCGTCGTTACCGAGCGAGACGTGTCGTGTATGGCCATTGTTGACGAGCTTCGGTCTTGGTTCCTGAGGTATCATGGGACCACGATGGAACTTGGAAGCGTTGGGTCTCTGCTCTCTCGTTTGCTGTGCTTGGACAATCCTTGGAATGTCGTCCAGGGTCATTGATTCATGGTTGCCGAACTGAAGCTGCGACATGCGCGACCCACCGGTTTCACCGTCATCGACGATTTGGAAATTACCAGTCTGGCGGCGTTCGAATCTGTCTTCCGGATCGCCATGCAGACCTTCGGGGCCGTCGATCACTCTGGATGTACGAGCCTTGCGGTTTGTTGTTGAGATGTTCTTTTCCATGCGTGTGGAACGCAACCTCCGGATGTCCCCGAGTGTTTGTTCATACGAGGGTGAGTGTTCACGTTTGGTCGAGCCAGCATATGACTTGGAGCGGGTATTTGATCTAAGCAATGGCGGATCGATAGACCCCTNTGGCGAGACACGATGTCCTCGGTTGGAGTCGTAGTCTGTAAGGTTAGGATCATCTGANNAAGCTCTGTGAGTAATTATATCATCCAACGCAAAATATCTTTTCAACGGACCTGAAGTATGAGGCAGCGCGCCGCTTGTACGCAAAGTGGCAAGTAACCTTGCATGAGCAACGCGGAGAAGATGGACATACTGCTGGAGACGGGTGACGAAAATGAGATTGCCCTCACTCGAGCCTCCAGCATGACGGTCGCAGTAGAGCTTCTGAGAGGACTCGTCCCATCTCGCTAGCGCATGATCATCGGCGAGAGGCCTCGAGCACTTGCTGCATGTGAGACACTGCGCATGGAATCTTCTATCCCTGCGTACGAAACACTTGTCCTCGACAGACTTGTCGCAAACGGTGCAGTTGTCAGCAGATCGTGCCACGAAGTTTTCTGTCTCGCTCTTTGGATCCTTGTCCTCTTCGGCAGTGAGTCTGTCATCAAGAGCGCCAATTTCGTCCAGGAAGTTAGTCAAACCCTCATGGCTGCCAGTTTCGCGCTCTAGCTTTAGAGCGCCTTGCAGACAGATCCGGATCAAGAGCTTGAGATAATGCGCTAAGCCTGTGACGAGAGACAAAAGCTCTTGGGTGACGCCCAGCCGCCTCACGCCAGTTTCCTGAGATTCGGCGAGCAGCTGGAAGAAAGCAACAACTTTCTTGCATAGCAGTTTGGCCTCTCTCGAATAGGAAAGACCNNTGAAAAGGTTAGCATATGCAGAACACGCTACGCAACAAAGAAACGCACCCTTCGCTGTGTGAGATTGCAAGACCTGGTCTAGATTGTCCGCCGCAGAAANAAGAAGGTCGACATGGATGATGAACCTCTTGGCCGTCATGACTCCATCAACATAGGCACCGTTGCTGACATGTAACAACATATCAGAGATGCACGTCGCCGATTTCTCTTCAAAGGCAGAGAGCGTGCGCCAAATCCAAAGCACTTTCTCTTCAACGCTCTCCTCGCTTTCTTTGACCATCTTTCGCAGCTCCTCTGTAGCGTTCTCCTCGGAATCCAGAGGGTCGTCCGCAGAACCACCCTGGTGCAATCTGACGTTCCAGTATTTGTGGATCATATAACACTCTGGATGCCAATGCTGATTTTGGCCATTGCGGAAGATTTCGACAAATTGTTTGAGAATAGCCGTCTGACAGCCATTGCAGCGCTGAGCGAACTTTGTTGAATAATGGTAATGGCAGTATACGTTTCCCTCATGCTCGTAATAGCTGTCCTGGGCGCCAAACACAGTCGGACATACAGAGCAGGTAAAATGTTCGATATGATATTTGCGATCGAGTGCGGTGATATAGGAGCCACGAAGAGCACCTCCGCATGCATGGCAGAGTAGGTCCAATCTGCGGAAGTAATCTGTTTCGCACAGAGGGTATTGATTCGGAGGCTGTTCTGGGACGGGGAAGAATTTGGAAGCGACGACTTTACCACAATCNNCTACAAACAGTCAGCAATTGCACGAGTTCCACGTTTCAATTGTACGAACGTGGCATGTGAAGCACTCAAGATGATATGTGCCGCCCAGAGCGCGCACGAACTGGCCAGTCAAGTGACCGCCACACTTTGCGCATATCCTGTTAGATTGCTTTCCATTGGGTCGAGAGCGGTCCCTTGAAGGTGAGGCTTGGGCGTCGGTAGGGCGATCGTCCTTGATGTCCAGGCTGCGCTTAGGTCGGTGACGACTCGCCAATTCAAGCTGGGATTCGGCGTCTGTGGAAGTCCTGGAGGGCGACTCGCCAGGAGACTCGAACGTGTTGGTGCGAGAGGGTGGAAGAGCGATGTCGGAAGGATAGGGATGGTCATCAGCGTCGTGCTGGGTGGAGGGGTCGGTCGGTAGACCCATGGTGTATTAGGATGAATTGCGGACAGAGGAAACAAAGCGAGCGTAAGGTAGCAGCGGCTACTTGAGTGGAGGCGTCGAGCAGGATGGTGTGGGATAGAATGGCATCAAAACAGGGACAGCCAGTTGCGGACAGTCAGGAGGCGGCGGGCGATTGTGTGTTTAGTCGGGGCGGACGCAGCGCCTGCTCGTTGGAAGACTGGATAGCGACCGCATGGGACGTTGCTCCAAGAGTCGAGATAGAAAGTGCCTGCGTGGGGCGGCCGGCAGCGTAGGTCGATTGTAGGTAAATACTCAAGTACGTGCTCCAAGGGTGGAATAATGCTCGAACAGCCCCCAGGCGCCAAGGACACGACCAGTCGTGACTCGCAAACGCCCGCCGTGCTGTTTTGTGAGAATTCCATAGACAAGGAATCTAGACAAGAACCTAGCCTCGACCAATGCAGATTCCTAAACTACCCTAGCCTGCCATTGTATTGAGCCCTAACTTTTACTCAGCCGTCGACATGTTCTCGCATGAGCTTTCCCTCTGGCGTTGAATTGCTTGACTTGCTGATGAGCGTGCCACACGCGTGAATGGCACTTGCCCAATCGACGCCGCCGAACGGCCGAAATCCCCGTACTGTCCCTGCCTGACAGTGACGATCTGACCTTGGTATCTTCACCACCTGCTCTGCTCCACCCTCCCCGTGTGCGATAGAGAGTCTCACTCTTCCAAATGAATTCTCTCTCATGGCGACGCACAGCAGTAGTTTAAGCTATAGAAACGCACAATATTGTTCAGAAACAAGTAGCATCCACTCAGAGTCCTGCTCAAACCGGCTCTCTTCGGTCACGCTTAAAGTACAAAGAGTACATACTACAGTTTCAAAGAAGTGCCTCCAGAGACCACAAGTGTTTCCACTAAACCCAATCGACTCTCTTGGCTTGAGATGACTGTAGTATACGAGGCAGGAACTCGTTGAAGCTATGTAGCCTATGTCATAGATAACCAGTTGCTCCAAGAAAGTGCCGGACCGCTGTCAATGACCGCGCATGGGTCGAATGGCCTGAACATTGTAAATCGCCCCCACCAAGAGAGATTGCGAGGTTGATTTGGCAGGCAGTTACTTTGTACCGTTGTGTTTCCACATTTGAAACGGGCATTCCAGTGTGTATGGCCAAAGATCCAATTACTCACTTGCTCGTGACCTTTCCACGTTCTGAAAGCCTCCAGTGTGTTACTGCAAAAGCACTGACTCACAGCATTGTTCTCGTGCATGGGATGGCATGTGTCTTTGAAAGACGGAGCGTGGTGAGTGAGTATGATGACTTGCCTTGCAGGATCCGTCTCAGCAATTTGTAGAAGGGACGAATGCAACCACTCCACATCTCGTCCATGTTCTCTGTTATGGTCTTGAACACTCCAGTCTCTGATACACTTGAAATCCTTGTTCAACTGGGTACAGTCAGGTTCGATGTGAGAGTACAGGGTACAACCCAGCACTGTGATATTGGATCCTGCGAGGTCCACTCTAGTACAATTTAAGAATACCAGTTTCCCTTGCAAAGTCGGGTCTTGCACTAGCCTGTTCGCAGCGTCCAGTCCCTCTTGTCGCGACGAGCCATAGAACTCATTGTTTCCGGCAATCAATAGTACCTGGTCAAAATTCTGGCATTGGGTTCTGAGGAAACCGGCATAGTCGTCGTAGTCGCAGAAGCGGCCAATGTCTCCAACCAAGGCCAGATAGGATGCAGAGCAAGGAATATCATAGTCGTAGCCATTGCGCTCCAGATGTAAGTCTGACATGAATTGTATCCTCGAAGCCATCTTGATTTGTGCTCTCGGGAAGAAGTGAGGGATCCATCAAGGCTCTGCCGTGGGTTCATGCAAGCCGGCGCCAAGCCCTGTCGCTGCCAGCGCTTTGAACTCCAAATCAACAACTTCATCACGTCGTCGTCGCACAGCACACAATTGTCGTCGATCCATCGTATCTTTACTTCCCCCAGTCGCTCTCCGTCGCCGATCGAACCTCCTCCGTGTCAACCGCTCCAGACAAGATGGCCAACCCCGGCGCACCCGCTCCTGCACCTCATATGATCTCGCGCCCAAAGAGAGCACCCACTGGAGACGAAGAGGCCACGGCGATCCTGCGTCTGGGAGAGTTCCAGCAGGTGCCCGCTCTGAACTTGTCCGAAGCGCGTACCATCATCAACGCTGTCACGCAGCGCCGGCGCAACATCAAGCAGAAAGTCTCCGAGTCCGAGACTCTTCTGAAGACCCAGGAGTACCTCGAGTTGTTTGCCCGCTTCAAGCAGCAGGAGCACGTCACTGCTGTTGAGCAGTTGCTCACGACTCGCACCGAGCTTGAGCGCTTTGAGCGCAGCCAGCTCGGTGAGTTTACTTGACTACTACAGTATACATTCGTTTACTGACCGTCTCAAAANGGAAGTCTATGCCCCGATTCCGCCGAGGAAGCAAAGACCCTTGTGCCCTCGCTCGAAGGCAAGATTTCTGATGAGGACCTGCAGGAGCTGCTGGACGAAATGATGAAGCTGAGGAACTTTGTGCAGTGAGAGACCATTCATCTCAACTTTCTAACCTACCGACATGCCTGATGACTCGTCACATCCTGGCGTGCGCACCGATCCCATCGAAGCCTTGCTATTACTGGAGTTTGCTGGAACGGATGCATCTTATTGGCGTTGGACTGCATAGTGCGGCTCTTTTCGAAGCGTGGAGTTTGGATTGACACAAAAACAAGATGGCAACGGTACACTACTCGGCGGTTCGTGGTGCCCATGGTCCTTACAGGACGGGCTTGTCAGAGATTACTCGGAGTTCACCTGGAAGCAGAAGCCACAACGCGGAGTGGTAAGGTCTGGCTTGCAACTACCGAGACCACGGGCGCAATCATTAACGACAGCAAGAATCCTGGAGTTACCGTTCAGGGAAGACTGACAAAACAGCTTGAGCAAAGTCACGTCTGACAAGGCTCATTCTCAGTAGCCGTATTCTATTTGTCTAGATGCGCGACGCACTCGGTCAGCACAATCAAAGATTTCATCGGAATACCATGGACCGTTTCCAATATGAACAAGAATTTGCCAGCTCTGAATGTAGTCTCTCCGTTCTTAGCGTTGTCTTCTCATGCTATGCTTGCAAATGTCGATTTCTTGTATGAGCTTCGCAGTCCAGCCATCGCGATGGAATCTGATTCGGATCAACACAATCAACGCATGTTCCTCGCTCATTATTTAGTGAAGTATATATATAGGTTTTCTGTAGTCCTCTTTGATCGCCATATGGTAATTCGATTTATATACAAAGTGCTTCTGATTGGACATCACTCCACGCTTTGCGCGCTCGGGCCGGCAAAACAGCGCCAAGGACGACTCGACATCACTCTCATCGGACCAAGAGAGCGACTAGTTAGCATAGCGATTAGGCTTGTACACACCACACATCATGCAGGCCTTCAGAAGAAGCGCAGCTACTGCTGCGCAAAGTGCACGCGCAGTCACTCGCCAGCAAACAAGACGTCACGCACACCACGAAGCCCCGGCCGCCGGCAGCATCAAGTACCCGGAAGATGAGAAGCTCGGAGTACGTGTCATGGGGAGACGAGAAGAAGCCATGGACTGATAGAGGCGACAGAGCGGATTCTTCATGGCCATGTCCCTTATCCCGATCGGCTACCTCATGTACCAGTTCGCTGGTCCTGGCAATTACGAACACAAGTACCTCACCCGCGTCATCAACAGCTACGACCACTACCGCAAGGACGCAGCTCATATCGCCGCTCTTCACACCGACGCCCTTGAGCAGGCTGCTGCAGACCGTAACCTGTTTGCCAACACCCAGCGCGCCCAGAACGTTACGTTGAAGTTCCCCGAGTACGTCCGAGACAAGAACACTCCAGCAGCACAGCATCAGGAAAGAAAGTCAAGAGAAGGACGCTATAATGCGAGAACAGACACACGGAACATATGCGAAGAGAATTGGAATGCTAACGAGATTTGTCGGCAGNNGATCCTCAACACTGGAGCCCCTCACAACGTGCCCGCCGGCCACTACGCCGACATGTCACAAGTCATTGCCAAGTTCGAGAAGGAGGCACATGAGGCCAACGCAAAGAAGCTGCAGCAGATCAAGGACAACGCTGTCCCCAGCGAGCACCCCTTCAAGGGCAACCTTCCCACTGGCGTCGAGACCGTGTTGATGTAGATATACCATGCCAACAGCGAATTCATGTTTTCTTTTGTATCTTTTGTAATTCGTGGCTCGTGTGAACAAAAATGCTGCTGCTATTTGAGACAGGCTTCCCATAACTCCATTGCGCCTTTTCCATGCCGGGATTGAATGTACATGTGGTGATACAGATGTTGAGTCGAAGTCGGGCCATGTTTACTTAGGAGCGACCTGCCTCACAGTGCTGGTGTGAGGAGCATGTCCAGGGGTGGCGGGCGCATCGGGAACGACGACATCCTCGAAGTCATCCTGGGCGACGGCGCGGATGGTGAAGGAATCTGCGGGTGGCGGGTCAGTCGACTGGTCGCATAGAAAGAGAAGAGGCAGATGCGACGGACAAACACCAATAGCGAAGCCAAAGATGGCCAGACCAGTCAAGGCATTCTTGACAATGTACGGCTGGCGGGCACGGTAGAGGGCGGCGGTGGGCCGGTTGTACTTGTCGTAGTACGACGACTGAGGGATCCTGCGGTCGCGTCAGTGGGAGACACTCTGCCGTGAAGTCTGGATTGTCCGTACTTTCCAATAGGCATGTTTGCTCGAGTCGTGGAATTATCAAACCGTCTGCGAAGGGAAGGCACGATTCACATGTTCGAGAACGGAAACTGCCAAGATCGACCGGCGAGGGTCGTCGCTGCTTTCCCGCGCGTCAACCCATCGAGAGAGCCTGAGAGCTTGCTTCACCACCCAATCCAAGCCCATCGCATTGCGTTCTGCGTCGCCGTTTTTCCAATCATCCACCAGGACAGCAAACCATCTCATCCTCTGTAGAGAGCCGTGCGAGCTGCTACACACGTACCTCATGTCGCAATAGCGTAGCTGTCACCGAGTTGCATCCTACCCCGTCTGCGTGACGTCTTCGGCGCGTGTTCCGCCCTCTCGTCGCCCACCATGGCCGCCCAAGCCAATGTCGCCGACACCATCAAGCAGCTGAATGCTGCCCGGAACCTNGCACTCGCCGATCCTGCCCTCTACCCTCAAGTCGTTCCTGGCCTCCTTCGAATCGTGGGCGCCGATGCCATCCTCGAGTTGAGAAGATGGGGCGCCGACTTCTTCGCAGAAACCTTCGCATCCCCAGTCCTTGCTCAGGAGCACAAGCAGAACTTGGCTCTACAGGTTCTGGACACTCTCAAGGCCTTTCTCGAACGCCCGAACGAAGACACTGCCGTAATCAAGAGCGTTGTCCAAGCAGCTGCAAGCATCTANCCCTTTGTCTTCCGCCATATCGTAGCCAACCCTCATGACGCCTCACCATGGCAGAAGATGGCTGCTATCAAGTCGAGCATTCTGCGCAGGATGCACAACGCTCCTCCGGGTATTCATATATGCTCAGTCAAGTTTATCCAAAGAGTGGTTCAGGTCCAGACTCCGGGTTTGATCGCAGATCCAAGGCGTCCTGAGCAGAACGAGATTTCTCTTGCTCTGGTCCCTCGCGATCATCCCATCATGTCTCCTTCGACATTGGAGGCTGAAGCCTTGGGTCTGCTCGACAGATTATTAGGCGTGTTGCAGGACAACAGCACCGACGCGTTGCTTGTAACCGCTACCTTGAACAGTCTTGGATCTCTGGTCAAAAGCCGTCCTTCTGTCGCCAACAAGATCATCTCCACCGTTCTCAACTACAATCCTTTCAAACTCGCTACCACGACACCTGTCTCGCCGACCCACAAAGTCATGATCAGATCTATGACACGAACGACAACTGCTTTCCTGCTGAATATCATCAAGAAGAACCCCAACCATCCTCTCGCTGGCCGCATCCAACAATGCATCGAGAGACTTAGACACACGCTCGTAGATGTGTTCGATGAGTCAAGCCGTAAAAGGGCAGCACCCGCTGAACCTACTGACGGTCTGTCCGAGGCGAAGCGACAGCGTCTTAATGCGCAAATGCCGCAGCCCAGTCCCCCTACTTCTCAGATTCCACCCCTGCCACAGGGACCTGTTAGTCTTGCCCAGCTCTTTACCCTCACGCATGACCAAGGGTTGAGGAACTTTGATGTAAACGTGATCCCTTCCAACGTCGTTTTGAGCATTGTGGCACCATTATTGAAGTCCATAGATAAGGTCAAAATGGACGCTGCTATCAACGCTGTTCAGGCGAGATACTTGTCCTTGGCTGCAAGACCTGCTACTGCTTCAAGTGCCGCTCGTGCGGTGACGGGCTCTGGTCCCGTCCAGGCTGAAGAAGACGAAGACTACGAACCCGGCGTTGAAAGTACCGACCAAATTACCAACAACCTTGATCAAGCCCCTGAATCGGACAGAGCTCCGGTGTCTCTGGGACCATTCAATCTGCCTCCGCCACCGCCACTGACTACAGAACAGACTGTAGAGTACAGCAAAGGGGCCGTCAACCGCGTTTTCGGTACGCTAACCACGATGGATCAGTCTGCGTCGAGCAAAACACAGAAACCCGGCTTCAATCGTCTGGCAGCAACCAACCACGATCGGGATGCTTGGATTACCCTTATCACTCGTCTTGCCACACGCGCTCCTGCCGGACTTGACGAAAACAAGCTCAAATCAGAGTCGGCGAGCTTGTCGAGGGGCAGCTTCTCACTGAACGACGCTATTCGAGACTCGTTGTACTTGTACGTCGTCGATGACTTCCGAAAGCGTATTGATGTCGGTATCTCTTGGCTCAACGAGGAATGGTATAACGATCGCATACAAACACAGCAGAACGAGGAGGCAGAGTATATTTCGGAGCATTATGAGAAGTGGATGCTCAAGATCCTCGACGGAATTGTACCGTTCTTGGACGCCAAGGACAAACTTCTCATCAGATTCCTTTCAGAGATTCCCAGCATTAATCAAGATGTTCTTAAGCGGGTGGTCAGGCTTGCAAAGGATCCAGAAAGAGTGCAACTTGCGGTTCAAGCGCTACACTATCTGATTCTGCTTCGACCTCCAGCAAGAGAAATGGCACTCGATGCCTTGGAAGACCTCTACAAGAACTGTATGTTTCCACACACGTCCTTAGCTCTCCCACATCCACTGACAGGACTGACAGATGATGAATCGCGGCCACTGGTGACGAAAATCATGCCCAAATTCCGACCAGAAGCCTTTCAAAAACTACAAGAAGCAGTGGCGACCTAGGTTAGGAGATACTTCGAGCCTGTAGCATGTCTTGCTCAAACCTGCACCAAGAACAGGAATATAACTCATGTTGCATCGAACCTCGAGAAAGACAGGCTTGCCAGAGAAACAAGAGAATCACAAATAGATATAACGCAAACATACAATCAAGATAGCAGCTTGACTGAGCGCATTGCTATATCGATTGCAAGACAACGGCCCGCCGAAATTGCTGCTATACATAGTCATTTGAGGCAGTGCCAGATAAAGGGAGCGGTTAAGGGTTGAACGCGTGTGTGTCGTCTTTGTGACGGCCGTTGAAGGCCTAACGTGCTGTATCTCTTACCCTGCCGGCGCAATGTCCTTTTTAATTTAGACTTTAAGGTGGACACTCGGCGAGGTGCATAAGGTCTGCGGCCATCCCACACTTTCGCGCGCGGTGCTTTTGGCTTTGCTCCACAAGTACCGCAAGAACAGCAGGAACCGTTTGCGCCGCCTTGCTGCTCTTCCGTGCACACGGACTCTTTGACACTGGCCTTTGCCGTTGCTGTGGACGAGCATGGCCGACGAGCACCCGCAGAAACCTGGACTCGGACGGAGAAAGTCGTCACTCAATACGCTCAGAGATCTGTCGCAGCGTTTCAAGCATGCTGGGCGCAAGACATCGGAAAGTGTCGAGGAAGAAAGAGAGATTATTGGCGGTAAGCACGTTCCAGTTGGCGCTGCTCTTGCGTTTGCTCGCAGCTCCAAATGCAGGGTCCTTTGTTTTTGTGTCCGTCACTGCCGCAACGTTCCTCGCTCATTTTACAGTCGCNNAGATGGTCAATTTTCGATGCCTCCCCAACTGAATATGCCCAACTTTGCTCCTTTCGACTCGACCTCTCCTGCCGACAGTGCATCCCATCCATCCGCTCCAGAGGTCGAATCCGCCTTGTCGTCGCCTCGAACAGCTCAACCTTTGCTGTCAACAAACACCCGTGACAGTGTACAAGAACGCCTGTTGTCACCAAAACCATCCAGCAACGATATGAGTACTACGACGACTTTGTTGGAGAGCTCTCCGATCCTCTCGGACAGTACCCCCTGGGTCGGCGGCACAGGTCTCGGGAATGCAAACCTCGGGAAGTCTGGCCGTGTCATCGAGAAGCTCATGGCCGAAAACGACAGACTCAAAAGAGAGATCAAAGCAGAAGCCGCCAAAAGAGAGGAGTTACAACGCACAGCAAATGCACAAAAACCCCGGCTGGAAGCTCTCCAAGCCGAGAATGCACGACTTTCGCATTGTAAAGCAGTGGACGAGAGCGTGATCAAGCGCCGCGACCGCAAGATTGAAGATCTCAAGGCCGAGCTCGATATTGAGCGACAGAAGAGAGAGTCCTTGGAGCACCGGGTTCAGGAAGCCGAACGCAGAATGGGCGAGTACCAAGAGCACAGCAACAAAGAAGTCCAACAGGCCGTCGAAGAAGCCAAACACGCAACTACACACGCCTCAATCCTCGAAACCTCGCACCGCCAGCTCTCGTCCGAATACCGACAGCGCATCGCAGCAGCTAACAAGCAACTACGGGAGCTGAGTGACGATAGGGAGGAGGACAGGAAACGGCTGACCAAACTAGACGTCGTCAATCACCAGATGCGTCAAGAGTCAGAGAAAGCAAGAAAACTGTATAACGAACTGCTGGCAGCGTCGGACAAGTACAGGAAAGAANNAAAAGATTCCGAGGTCGACCTTGTCCTTGGAGATGTCAAAGAACTCAAAGGAGGCATCAGTCGCCGCGAGGTGAAACTCGAGAGGACGCTGGAAGAAATGCAAGAAGTCACGAACCGCATGAAGTGGCTCATGAATATGCAGAAGGTCAACAGCGAGAATGGCGTAAACTCGCCCCCGCCGTCACCGCCGTCTTGAACCTCGTACCCACCTCAGGAGCTGGCTGCAAAAGTGAATTATGTTTTGGGATAAGGAGTATTTCTTCTGGCATGTTTATGTTGTATAGAGCGGGATCCCCGACTACACAGGGGGGTTTACGAGAGGTGTTCATGGGTTCTTTGTTTCCAGGACCAAGTGTTAGCAGACATGTTGTTGCTCACGAATGGCTGCATAGCGAGGCGTTATGGGAGGAGACAATGGGGACAATACGGATATCAACATATCATTACTCACGGTATATGAACATAAGATGACACTACTTGCTTCTCAGAGTGGGCTGGGGAGTTGAATAGCAGGCTAGGTCAATCTTCGTCAAAGACTTCAGGTGTTTGATTGCGCCTACCATTCGATCAACCCACTCAAAGTGTTTTATGATGCAAACCCGCGCGAGCTTCCTGTATGCACATGCAAGGCGGCATCTGCAAACGAACGGGACGTCGCAGCTTCCCAATCAACACAGGAAAAAAACGAGCGATCTCTGGCACTGCACTTTTGCGTCTGCAAAATTGCCAGTCCGACCATCTCCTGCGCACCAACATCTTCACCTCACTTGAGCCATCATTTCAAGATCTCTTATCCCCATTAATTACTCCTCAGAGGTTGTCACTGCGTTGACGCCTTCAAGGTCAATCAAGTCACCAGCCACACTTCCAACATGGCGAGCACTTTCATGTACAGCACGGTGTGGAAGTTTCTTGAGCCTGATGAGCTGATCACCATGTTCGATGAGATGGTTCAAGACGCGAATGCCAGATGCACATACATGTCGGACAAGCAGGTGGGCACAGCTTCATGTCGTCTCTTCTCACTCCTGTACACCACTGACGAAGACNNTCAGATGTTCCGCATTGAGTTTCCAGAGCCCGGACATGAACAGGCTTACTTCAAGTTCGTGGATTTGTGCAACAACTACATTGACCAGCACCAAGACGGCCCTCAGGATGCCATGAGCGACCCCAAGATCTTTCGCCCGGCCGAGACTGGTGGAAATGCAAACGCCGAGGATGAACTTGACGATCTATTGAGGGAAGACGACGACATCTTGCTTGACGAACCTCTTATTGATGTTGGTGGTCTCTCGTCCGACTACGAAGACGAGAACAAGCCCTTCTGGAGTCCTAAGAATCCAAGCACGAACATCGCACTTGTTCTACCAGACAGGGTTTTGCAAGAGGTTGCTCAAGACACTGCATGCTCCTTGGAGATGAGTGTCGAGAAGGCGTACGTCTCGATCACCAACGCAACTGCCAGCAAGATCCAAATAATCATTAAGAAGCTGGACAACATCGAGCGAAACTCGGTAAGCTTCAACCAGCAGAACTGAAAGAGCGCCTCACTAACCGAGGCGTAGCACCGCCCACGATTCGACTCGCATCTCATGCGTACGGAGAAAGAGCGCGATCCTCTCCTACAACTCCATCGTCTGCAGCACCTGAAAGATGGACTGTTGTTGCAAACATTGACTCCGGACGAAAAGAGGACTAGAGACATGCTACCTCGTCAACGTGTGCTATGCTTGATGCGTCCAGATGTCAACAACGATCGACTGCGCATCTTCAGTACCCGGCCTTCCAACTACGCTCACGACGCAGCACTGGTCCAGAGATGGGCGTCCATACCACTTCCGCACTTCATCAGAGAAGGCATGCATGACCCCCTAGTGACCTTCGTTGACAATTCCGTCGAGGAGTGGGTGCAGGGTACCATTGATTCTGCGCCTGAGGATGGCGACCTGTTGAGTGGCGGTATCGAGACTCTTGATCTCGGTGAGGACAATGAAGCACTCAGACCCGTGCCAGCACCTCTCAGACAGCAGGCCGAGCGTTCTGTTCAGGATCTTGGGTTCCCCGAAGAGACTGATTCTGAAGGTCGTCCGAATTCGAGTCTGCTGACTGACGCCGAGGTCCGTCCAGAGTCAAGTTTCCTTATCGACTACGAGGGTCGTCCACCATCGCTGTCCCAAGCTGTCCACCGTGAGGATCCCATCTACCCCCATGCCCCTAGGTCTGTCGATCTTGGTTCCGCTGTTTCATCAGGCCCTGTTGAGTCGTTGCAGACTAGGATGGCATCTGGAATTAGATTCGCAGATAGGCTACCCAGAGCGCCATGGGATGTCACCACTGCACACCCAGCTCCAGTCGAATGCATTGCGCAACCTGTGACAAACTATGTCGGAAACAATGACACTGAGCCGTTCCCTCCTCTTGGAACAAAAGCTCCCCGACCTCGTGTACAGCAAGTGCAGTCATCGAGACCATGGACTCCTGCTGCACCACCTGGACTATCGACTCACCCAGGCCAGTATTCTCAACTGGCTCTTGCCGCTGAGCTTAAAGAGCCCATCGACTTTGATGAAAGAATTCAGATCGAAGATGAAGTCGCTAGCCGCCGATATTTCAACACGACGGCTCATCGCAAACCTAAGTCCAAGGCCAAGGGAAAGTCTAGCAATCCATCCTTCAAGGTGGAACTTGATCTTCCGGACTGGGACCCTAGAGTGAGCAAGCTACCTAGCAAATCAGACCAGAGTCAACCAAAGGCATCTCTTGTCCAAGCAGCCCCAACTCCTCGGGCGAAGCCTCTAGTTGTGCCAGACTGCAGTAACGATTTACTCCAGATTCTGGACTGTGCCAGAACATATAGAGGACATCTAGACATGGAAATCGCCATCGGCCGCGTCCTGATCGAAGGCTTGAGAGGGCCCGAAGCAAAGGAATTTGCTGCCTCTAGGCCCATGTCTTCCAAGCGTATGGCAGCAGGCATCAAGGAACACCTCTCTTCGGATCAGGGATCAGCTCTTCACTTCATCGAAAGGCTGACTTCATCCACTGTCGAGGCGTGCCAGATCCCAACTCCACAACTGTTTCATCAAGATCCTGTTGAAGAATATTGGTATGAGTTCCACTGCGAGGACAAACATCACAACCGCCTCATCGTCAATGTCAAGGGTCCTGATGATACAAAAGTCGAACTCGTTCCTACTACAATCGGTCAAGCATTCTTCCACTACCCAAAGCGAAGGTGGGATGCTTGCTTTGCTGTGAAAGGCCGAAAGCCATACACGCACCGCAAGGCAGTCATGGAGTTCTTGGAGAAGCTATCAGCTGAAGTTCGTGATTCTAAGGACGGTCGTCTTGTTGATCTTCGCTTCCTGGTGACCAGTGACCTGAAGGTTGAGAGTGCCTACACCAAGAAGCGTCTTTCGTTCCGTCACATCCACAACGAGCGCATCACACTGCACCTCACGGAGGTACAAGATCTGTTCAGAGGTTGGATGAGGGATAACACCTCGCTTCATCAATTCGCGTCTCGGGAGAAGACTGAGATGATTGCATCTGGACGGTTCTGGTTCGAGGCAAACCTTTCAATCTCTTCCAAGTCTTTCTTCGACCAAAATCTGGTTACGAAGACGGGTGATGATGCCGCTTGGAACGCAAAGGATGTGCTTGTCGACAAGATGCTGTCGGATGTCCAGGATGTTATTGATCGTGTTGTCATTCGTATGGATGGTGTTGGTGTGCAGAACAAGGGATGGCGTGGTAGCGAGGAAGACATGGCTGAGCTGGAGGAATGGGAGCAAAGCAACAAGATGCAGGGTCGTGTTGACTACTGGTGAAAGAGTCGAAGTGTGTTGTGCGGATATGCATAGTATCTGCAGGGAGCAGTCGTTGATCTTCTGGCTGGTATGGTGGTGAATTTACAGAGTCGAAACGCCAATCGTGTACTTTAGATCGGGTCATAGTCTTCGATCCAATAAGTGCCATGATGGAGGCTATAAGAAGTATGTTTGCCCTGGCGGTGTCGAGCTAGTGAATCGGATGCGAGCCTCACAAGGAGGGTTGAAAATAAACAGTTGACAATGTTACTCATCTATCATACAGGCCATACTATTACATAACTTCGTCTTCTGTCCAGATGTACAAATCTCTTATTCTTCTTCTCTAATCGAAGAATATAGCATCAGGCTTGTGCACGGCAATTTTACCGCTGGACTCGCTCTTCAGCACAATCCTGGGGTCATCCTCCGATGCTTTGACCTTCTTGCCATCGACCTCTTTCTCTTCGTATGCGACTTCGACGACGGTTCCTTTTGTCCAGTTTCCTAGGGTTTTCCAGTAGACTTCTTGGTCCTTCTTTGGAAGGCGGTCTTTGGATGCTGGTTTGCCGTGTGAGTCCTTGGAGTCGTTCTTGGAGTCGTTCTTGGAGTCGTTCTTGGAGTCGTTCTTGGAGTCGTTCTTGGAGTCGTTCTTTGAGGCTTCCTTGGTGTCTTCCTTGGTGTTGTTGCCATTGGACTTTGACTCTGAGGGCGAAGTGGTCTCCTTTGCGGCACCATCATTCTGCTTTTGCTTCTTCGAGGGAGAGGCAGACTTGGACGAGCGGGTACGCTTGTCACCAGCCTGTGCCTCTGCCTCTGCATCACCCTCCTTCTTCTCCTCTGCCTTTTTCTTTTCAAACTTATCGTCCTCTTCTTCGTTGGCTTGTTTTCTGCTCTCCTTTGCCTTGTCGGTGTTTTCGACGTGCTGCTTGCCTTGTTTGCTTTCGGCTTGCTTCTTGTCGTCGGTTTCCTTCTTTTCTTGCTCGCTCATGTTTTCCCAAGCCTTTTTCGGGAGGTAGCGTTGTTGGGTGCCGTCGTCGTTTCTGGCGTTTGCTGAGCCGTCTTTGGTTTGCCAGTCTTCTTCTCCCCATTTTGAGAGGTGTTCTTGGGATTCGTCTTGGTCTTTTTTNNTGTCGGTGGTGTANNCTTGTGAGATATGTCAGCGATTGCTTGTGTAGAGTATGGGAAGAGGTATGGAATGAGAAAAACTTACACCACCACCACGCTTCTTGTATTCTGAAGCCATCATCTGGGCTTTGCGGGCTGACCACTGTCCTGGTGCGCCGCCCTTGTCGCCATTGTGGATTTCCTCCTTGACTTCATCGCGAAGCTCGGGGTCGGTGTACTTGTCCTTGGGAGGCATGTTTGCGAAAAACGAAGGTATGAATGTTCGGATTGTAAAAGCTTTCCTCAAGCAAGTGGATTTCAAATGGTGTCTTATAATTGGTGTTGCTCTGGTCAATTGCATGGTCTCTTACCTTGGGTTATATATGTGATGCGATACTAAGATGCGCTATGTAATCAGCCCAGCCCTCATTGTGCTTTGACTTCTATCGTCATCGATTTCTTTGAAGCATCGTGGCAGGAGGTGCGTTGCTTCAATAAAGTGACATCATGTGATCGGTCTTTTTGGACCATGATGGTTTTCTTTAGAGGAGGTTGGGAGATCGGCGAAAGAGGGTCTATGGTCGATCTGTCAGAGTCTTGGCGATTGAATGCTTGGCTCCTGAATCTCGAGCTCAATGGTCGAATGTTGCTGTATCTGTTGGCTAATATTGTGGTCCTAGAAAGAGGAACAGTGCCTTGTAGAAGAAACTTGGAAGTATTAGAGGTCTGAAAAGTTTTGAAAGTTGTCTTCCAGGTGTGCTGGCTCCAGCAGATGAACGAATGTATATCAATTGACTTATCACAGCCAGAATGTCTAAATCGGGACCAAGTACTTAAGAGCACAAAATAGCAAGATAGCAGCCATAAACGTCGATAGTACAAGTGTCGGGCATGACAGAGCAAATGCTGCACAAAAAATCAAGAGATCTCGATGTATAGATAAGTGAGAGAGACAGTAGTATCCCACAGCCAGGGTTGCACCATCAACATCGAGTCTTAGCAATCTCCACAAAGTCGGAAGCTGTGCAGTACAGTAGCACGCGTACCACACTCGCTGCCGCACCTTCCGGCGATGGGATGTTAGATAGACATGGCGTGGGACTACCCAGGATCCGATGCCGCCTCGCGCCTGGGCGAGTTGGACGGGGCAACCGAAGGCGTTGCTGCATAATCATGCGTCCAGCTTGCTGCACGACGCGGATATGAGTTACGAATTTTGCAGCGGTACGCAAATTGATGTAATTTCCGTCGTGAAGCACGCTGTCAATGGGTTCGCAATTGACGAACTGGATGTACGGCACCGTCACATGCCTTCAGATGGTGCACAGCAGACCCTCGACTAGGGTGTTGTAAGCTGATTGTCACGAACAGCGAGAAAGACAGGAATCGCAAATTTCAGCTCGTCATGAAGGAATTGAATGTAGAGGCAGAGGTAAGTTACGAGAGAAAATGGAAGGCACGCCTTGTCGCTGTCGACTACCCACACAGAAAAACAATTGCTCGAGCATGCTCTAGCACCTTGCGAGGAAGTCACGAGTCGCGAGATAGGGACGGCAATGACCGAATAAAACAAAGGCTTAGCATCCAAAAGAAGCGCTAGCGGGCGGGAGGAGGCGGGGCAGGGTGAATGGTTGGTCATTATCACTCGACCTCGTTGTCCAAGGCCATTGCCATTCCCAAGTCGCAACTGCATCCAAAACAATTTCGCTGTGCTGTGGACCGTACCAATTCACCGCCTTGTCAATCGCTACATCCGACTACCCACGCAGTTGTCGGTCGAGCCTTCCTGAGCTAAGGACTCCTCCACCGCCTGCTGCTGCCAACACGCCTGAAGTCGCTCCTCGCACCTCTCTTCGTCGTCCTAGCCGCCAAAAACTGAAGCGTCTCTCAGCAGCCAGATAGCGACTCTCGACTGGCGAGAGAGCTGCCAACAAGCGCCGGAGCATCCATCTTGATTCTGGTCACGATGGTCATGGTCCAATCGCGCATCTAGCGAAGCCTCAACTGGGCTGCCCTGGCGGGCAGGTGCTCTGCAACGATTCATATCGCTAAACTCACACAACGAACATCATGGCCGATTCGCCAAACCCGACAATGCTGGCTCCGCCTGCCGTTGTCGCTTTGAAAGAGGAGGCTGTAGGAACAAATGACACTGGATACAGAGGTACCATGGAAAGGACTGTCAGCATGGACATCCGAGAAGAACGGGAAGACCTCAAACGAGCTGCCGAACAGTCTCTCAACGCAATCATGGACCTCAACTTGGACGGAACTATTCGCTGGGCGAGTCCCTCTTGGAAGGATCTCAGCGGAATCGACCCGGAAACGATAGTCGGCAAGACCATGTCTGATATCATTGTCGATCACAAGAACATTTTCACAGATGCCATAGCTCTCATGAGGAACGACGATACAAAGAGCCGTATCATTCGCTTCGCAGTTGCATACCAGCTACCAATTGGTGCGAGTCCGGAAGTTATTGTCGAGAGCCCCCATGCCGAACTTGTGGCTTTCACTACTGGTCAAGAAGACCAAGACATTCGTGAGCACCTAGTAAATCTCGAAGCCCAAGGTATCATGGTATACGAGAGAGCCACTGGAGAAGAGAGTCATGTATGTTCCTTGCAACGCGATACACGAGTACTACTGACGTGATCGCAGACCATGTGGATGATCAAACCTGCAGTTCATCGCGAGATAACCATCGACCTTCCTGACGTCCTTGCAGAGTCCCTAGGAATTGGTGCTCATGTTTTGGCCCAATACCTGACCCATTTGGCCGAGATCGGCAGTGACGACCCAGCTGATCATCCGCCCCCACCCCCAGTACTGTGCCGTATTTGCGAGCGTCAGATAACCCCTTGGTGGTTTGAGAAGCATACTGAATTATGCATGCAGGAGCATAAGGCCGAGATGGACGTCCAGATCGCCCAAGAAAACTTGACTGAGCATCGTGCTGCCATTGTCAAGGTTTTGGATGCCCTGGAAGTTCAGACCCGCCATTCTCGCCATGCTCCCTCAGACTCGGGCTCTCCACTGCCCACTCCGCTGTGCGACTACAAAGGCCATCCCATTGGACCTGCTTCTCAGCCATCATCTGGTCCATCGTCTGGTCGTGCGTCACCTGCAGGTCCTCAACTCAAGCCGCGGAGTTCTTCGCGATCCGGCTTAGGTCACCAAAGAGCCCGCTCCTTTGCTGTCAGGCGTCCTTTGGCTCGAATTGTTGAGCTCGTTCTCGATCTTTGCGACACTGCTCTGGAGATCAGTCAGCCCGCTGTCAAAGACAGCTCTCAAGATGGCGAGATCAGGACCCAATCTCCTCAATCTGAAGGCAGAATATCACAGGTATTGCAATGGCAGCCTCCAAACACAAGTACCGTGGACAACGAACATGGTCTCGCGCTGCTTGCTGAGGACACTTCAGGCTTCTGCAAAGCCAAAGTTGAAGCTATCTTCCGTCACCGGCGTATCCTAGAATACTCCGAGCGTCTCCGCATCGAGTTTCACATTTTGGTACAAGAGTGTATTGACGAAGCTGTAGCCAAAGCTGCACGTATAGCCAATGGAGAACTCAGCGACTCGAGTGAATCATCTTCCTCTGCTGACTTAGAAAATGAGGAAGAAGAGGAGAACGAAGATCAAGACAAGTTCAGCCACATCGGAGATGCCATGTCTGATATAGATGGGCCACCTTCACGGCTACCTGAAGGCATGCAAGAGGACTTCTCTATCAACCCCTATGGATCACCACTTGCACCATCGGCTATGACTATGGCGCTGCGTAACATACCAGAAGCATCATCGTACCGGCGGCCTTCATCGACTGGTGAATCTTCGCGTTCCAATAGTCCTCATGGTGCTCGAACACCACGATCATATGGAAGTGCTCTCAGTACCTTGATCCACCAGAAGAGAGCAGCCATGCTAGCCCCGGAAAGCGATGCTGGTGCAGAGAGCGACAGCAGCGTTCGTTCCTCATTGGCCTCGGTACCTGTTCGAACAGATTCACCCGCTCCTGAACTGACTCTTAGCCGGGTCACTAGTACCCGGGAACACAAACGAAGGAGTCTTGTACTACCAAGTCTAGCAAACAACAGCAGACAGCAGTCTCCTACTCGAAGTATAGCGCCTTCTTCTCCACTGCGAGTCGCAAAGCCACGAGTACCAAGTGGTGGGGAGCCTGCTCCTTCACCGCTTACGTCTCCCATACTCTCTCATGATCACCATTTTCAGTCTCCCATTCTGCGAGCCCAATCGTTACATCATCACCACCACCGACGTCAGTCTTCAGCGACTCAATATTCCGAATCATATCGCGCACCATCATCACCGAGGCTGAGTGCCGTCAACAGCAACCCGCAACCCCGAGCGGTACAAACCTCTATCAAAGACTTTGAAGTCATCAAACCTATCAGCAAAGGCGCGTTTGGCAGTGTTTATCTTGCCAAGAAAAAGGTCACTGGAGATTATTATGCCATCAAGGTCCTCAAGAAGGCTGATATGGTTGCCAAAAACCAAGTCACCAATGTCAAGGCTGAACGAGCGATCATGATGTGGCAAGGCGAGAGTGACTTTGTTGCGAAACTCTACTGGACCTTTGCAAGCAAAGACTACTTGTATCTTGTTATGGAGTACCTGAATGGAGGCGATTGTGCTTCTTTGGTCAAAACACTAGGTGGACTACCTGAAGATTGGGCAAAGAAATATTTGGCCGAAGTCGTTCTGGGCGTTCAACATCTTCATGACAGACAGATTGTTCATCGCGATTTGAAGCCAGACAATCTTCTCATCGACCAGAAAGGTCATCTCAAGCTTACAGATTTCGGTCTCTCGCGAATGGGACTTATCGGGCGTCAAAAGAGAATGCAAAACAACAAGCTTGGTGATGCACCAGACTTGCTCAAGCTAGGCAAACGTGCGCCATCTATTGCATCTTCACGTTCTACTTCCTTCGACTTCAACGGCGGTCAGTCTCCAGCTCCGACCCCAGGACTCACACCCGCTTTGGCTGGAGAGCTTGGTCAACCATCCTACTTCAGCTTGACTAAAGGAGAGTCTCGTGAGCCTTCGCGACGGACATCCGGTCAACGTAGCGACAGTGGAGAGAGCGATGCGTTGGCAAATATGTTCCGTCGCTTCTCAATTGTGGATGAATCTTCAGGCTACCAGAGGCGAACACCGATTGAAGAAGAGACTGCTAGTGAAGGCGAGTCACCCGAACCCTACGCCCTACAGCCCGTTTTGAGCCACATGAGTGGACTAGGCACCCCTCCTGGTCAATCTGGCATGCTACCTCCGCCAATGGCTCTGTTCGACCCTGATGATAGTTCGCGAAGATTTGTCGGCACGCCAGACTACCTCGCCCCAGAGACGATCAATGGAAGTGGTCAAGACGAGATGAGTGATTGGTGGTCCCTAGGCTGCATCCTCTTCGAGTGTTTGTATGGCTACCCACCATTCCACGCAGACACTCCCGAGCAGGTTTTCCAGAACATTCTAGATCGCAAGATTGACTGGCCTGATGATGAAGATTGTCCCGTGACTTCAGAAGCCAAGGATCTCATGAACAGACTTATGTGCTCGGACCCCAAAGAGAGACTCGGGTCCAACATCGACGAGAAGTTTGCAAACGGTGGAGATGAGATCAGAGCTCATCCATGGTTCGCTGATGTTGAGTGGGATACGCTTCGGGAAGAGGAAGCTTCGTTCATCCCGGCACCAGCAAACCCTGAGGACACAGAGTACTTCGACTCCAGAGGTGCTACGTTACAAAATTTCAGAGCCGAGTTTGAAGATCAGGTTTCATCGCCAGCCAACACACCTGGCGCTGACTATCCAGAACGACCTCACGACGCCTTGTCCAGGGTTAGAAATCAGGTCAACTCAATGAAGCGAGGATTGATGCCATTGCATATACCTCCACACGTTAGAGACGGTCGCAGTCGGAGACTAAGTGAGCCTGTTGCCGCGGATGACTTTGGAAACTTCCAATTCAAAAACCTTCCTGTTCTAGAGAAAGCAAACAAGGACGTCATTCAGAAACTTCGTGCTGAAGCAATGCAAGCTCAGAGCAAGGTCGCCCAAGGTATCGTATCTCCATCGCCGGTGGTACTATCGCCTTCTCCGTCAGTTGAGTCAAGTCCAGTAGGACCCGCGCCACTGAAACGTACGCTTTCATCAAACAAAGGAAATAACAGACCTGCTTCCCCTTCACTCTTGAGCAAGACGAACTCATCTCCAAGCAGAGGCTCTCAGCCATCATCTCCTTTGTTGGTGTCGTTCAGTGCAGGAGGCCATCACGAACGTAGGAAAACATCAACCTCTTCTTCGTTGGCTCAGCAAATCAACAGCTTGCAAACGAGCAGTAACTTGTTGGATGCTCCTAATTTACCTGCCGGCTTCAAGTCATTGTCTGCAGCTTCATCTCCAATTAAAATCCCGAAGAGCTTGAACGGGCAACAAAGCTATATGCCAGACAAGTCTTCACTGCCGAATGGAAGAAGAGGCAGTATATCATCGCCACGACAGCGTTCACACACCATTGGCTCTCAAGATGACGATATGCCACCTGGACCAATATCGCAGTACAAGCGGAGGAGTATGGCATTTGACGCCTCGCCATCATCTTCGGACAACGAAGATCAACGAGCAAAGGCTTTCTTGCGAGTTCAACGTCGTAGACAGAGCACACGAAGACTTTCTCAGATCACGTTAGCCGAGGGACCTGCTTTCAGACCACTGGATGTGCTGATCTGTGAGGACCATCCAGTTTCACGCCTTGTCATGGAGAGACTTCTTGAGAAGCTTCGTTGTCGTACCATCTCTGTACAAGATGGTTCTGAAGCAATGCGTTACGCCATGAGCGAAGTCAAGTTCGACATTATCATGATGGAGTTCAAGTTGCCCCAGATCAACGGAGCAGACGTGGCACGCATGATAAGAGATACCAAGAACGCAAACTCGCACACTCCAATCGTTGCGGTCACGGGATATCTCAAGGAGCTTCAGGCACCGCACTACTTCGATGCGTTGATCGAGAAGCCACCGGACACAGCAAAACTGATTGAAGTCATGAGCCGGCTTTGCCAATGGAAGCCACCCCCACCTGGATGGACCCCGGCACAATTGCCCATGATGCCGTCCTCGAGTCTACGTCGGGAATCGCCATTGACTGAGGAGAGTCCAACAACTAGTTCGATATCTGGTTATGGGATGCTCACCAACAGTTTCCGTGGATCCAGCAGAGAGGACTCGATAGGATCAAGTTCAATACCTGAGATGGGCAGCCCATATGACTCGATCCCTGTCATCATCAGTAGACATACCAACGATTGGCAAGAATCTGAGCTGGAGCGCCAATTTGGCGGACTAGGTATCAGTCCGGAGGAAGTGGTGCACGCGAGAACAAAACCTCCGCCCGAGTCTAAGATGCCGGCGTTGACGGAACAAGTCTCTGCACCAGGGAAACTCGAGAGCCCGCGAGAAGTTTCGCCTCGCAAACAACGATCTTCGGAATCAATAGAGGCGAGGAAGAAGTCTCTGGAGGTGGGAAGACATGAGTGTGCGGAATCAGGAGACGATGAAGATGAAGAGCTGGGCAATGCTCAGATCCGAGCACGATCGCCCAAGTCTAAGACACGAGGAGCATCGAAGCTTGGTACCGAGATGTTGCGTACAAACAGTCAGGGGAGTGTTGTGTCGAATGAAGAGGTCATGGCGGCGCACAACCTCAAAGCAACGGCATCTCTGACAGGCAACGAGGAAGCGGCGATTGAAGAGGAGGGAGCTACATTGACGCCACCAGAGTTGTTCTTGCCGCACGGCATCAATGTCGTGGACACGGACAGGACGCCACGGCCGCACTACACGAGCGATCCTGATCCAGATCCAACTCCTCGAGCTTCCACATCACCAACGCGGAAGGAATGATTGCTAGGAAGTTCAACCAGGTGGACCATACGATGTCACTATTATTTTGAGGCGGGTTTCATTTGTTATTTTTTCATTTCTTGTTCCTTTTTTCTGATTTCTCATGATACAAGTCTTCAGCCAGTCGTAATACCCCTTTTACGTGTGATTTCTTTCTCTTGATCTCAAAACGCCAAACTCCATCGCTATGTGAATGAAAAAGAAAGTGACTTATGTGAAGCAAATCAACGTCTAGGAGCCAGACCAGGCACGCCGCTGTATCTCTCCTCTCTCTCGGTCTTGAAAGTGACCTGAACCCAGAACTCCTTGTTATCTTCGTCAAACCAAGTCCAGTACTTGCCCTCTGAGCGATCGATTTCGCGAGCCTGAAGCTTGAAAGCGCATGTCTCGTAGGGCTCAGCAGCGACCAACAAGTATTGGAACTGCTTGTCGGGCTCCTCGACCTTTTGCTCAAAGGCAGACATGAATCTGACCCTAGGCTGAACATCCTGCGAGATTTCAGGATACTGCAGCTGAAACAGCAGACCCAATTGCCTCGTCAACGGATCCCTCGTCTTTGTGATTTTGTAACCCGGTCTTCCGATCTTGACCACATTCCTCTTGACCTGGACCTGCGACAAGCCCGACAAGTTCTGATCTCTGTCTTTACCCAACTGAGCTTCTCTGGCGGCACGTCTGGCCAAGTTGGTCTGATGCTTGCGTCCCTGGGTATGTGCGAGATAGGAGCCGTCGTTCTGGTGGACGGTCAAACAGAGGCGACACTCGAAGCTGCCGACGTGGTTTTTGAAAATATAAGGGTCTTTGTCCAGGTCGATTGTTTCGAGGGCGAGTTTGCGGAGGCGTTCGCGACGGTCGGCGTTTGTTGCGCTCGCTGAGGCTACACCGCCACCTCCGAATTTGGAGCCCGCGCGGTTCTGGAGGGAAGGGGTCAGCAAGGGGATAGAGAGATGGACGAGGTTGAAGGCGTACTTGGTAGTCCATGGTTTATAGGCAAGATGTGAAGATGCGCGCGTGGCGCTAGGGTTTATCGCGTTGTCGGAAGATGAATTGGCGCAGATGTATGAATGCGGTCCAGCGATGTGTTTGACTGGAAGTGAAATGATGCGCGTTTGAGGAAAGTTGATGTATGGTCTGACGGAACGCGAAAACGATGGATGAATCTCGAGCTACATCTTCGAGACCGATGCACGGGCCACAATACCACTGCGAACCTCCTCCACGAAGTCTTTCGCTTCGTTGTCCGAGTTTGATACACGACATGATCTGGATGAGACTCTGACCAACCTCAGCGCTGACAGTAACGTAAGTCTACATTGAACATGCCTGTTACAGAAGGGAGGAGCATGGCCTCATATGTCGAAGTGAGCCGATATCTCATCGTGAAATCACAATATCATGGGAAGTAGAGCACCACACACGGAGATGCAGCATTCATCGAATTCGAGAGATTGCTAAAGTCTTTCACTAACGTTGTTCGGGCTCTATGTGATCACTACCTGAAGTGAAGTATACGGAAGGAGGTCTCTGGTCAACAAGCCACTCCTTCCTTTCGTCCGTAGACTTCGAACCTCTCTGAACGTTCCTTGTTGTTCACTACAATCCAGTAGTGAGCTGTCATACATTCATTCAAGACCAATCTCCCCGTCTTTCACCTTAAAACTACACATGCCCATCAAGCTTATAAGCTGTTCATACCTCCACCCTCAACAACCCTTTCCTCACATACCTGCATCTAACACCAACCACTACCTTTCCCTTTCAACATCAACCAGCTTGCCTCGTCCCGACACAACGTATCTCCCATACTGTCCATCAAGTATTTCCATCATGGCTCCTCCCACTCCCGCAGCCACTTCAAAGCCAATCTACTTCTTCAGCACCCGCGAACGCCCTCACGGCATCTTCTCCCAGTTCCAAAAGTGCTCTTTCACCGACCCCGACTACCCCAACGTCAAGTTCACCTGCGCCGAACAATACATGATGCACGGCAAAGCCCAAACCTTCGATAACCCAGACATCGCCGCCCAGATCCTAGCCGCAACAGCTTCCAAGGCCCAAAAGGCACTGGGCCGCAAGATCAAGGGCTTCAGCGACAGAGTGTGGGATCCAGTCAAACTTGGTATTGTGGAGCGTGGCAACTACCTCAAATTCTCCCAGAAAGAAAAGTTCAAAAAGGTGTTGCTGGACACTGGAGATAGATTGATCGTCGAGGCTTCTGCTGACGACAAGATTTGGGGCATTGGATACAATGCTACAGGTGCGGAAAAGGTCTCTCGTGAGAGATGGGGTCAGAACCTGCTGGGTATCGCATTGATGAATGTCAGAGAGAAGATCAGAGCAGAAGAGGCTAGAGAAGAAGAGGACGAGGAAGAGGCTGGAGAAGAAGAAGAAGAAGAAGATGATGATGATGATGATGACGAGGAGGAGGAAGTCGACGAACCTGTGAAGCAGGTCACCGACGAGCAACCCGAAATTCTTCCTACGACTCTCAAACCAACAAGCACCAAAAGCGCAAGTACGACTCCATCACCGAGGACCAGACCGACGAGCCAACCAAGTCCGAAAAGACTCTCCCCAAAAAGACCCGCGTCACCAAGACCGCAGATGTAAACGAAGGTCTCCGTCAGATCCTCAACGCCCAAAAGGGCAGACACCACAAAGACGAACAAACAGCCGAAGACGATCTGCTTGAATTGCTTACCAAGAAAGCCGCCGAGGACTCGATGATCAACGGCAAATGATGATCAAGATCAAACTTACTTCGTCCCGAGTGTGAACAGCTTTCCCATCCCTCAGCGATGCAAACACGGAAAGATATCCCGATTGATGCCACTTTTATGAACGACCACGACCTCTTGCTTCCAGCACAAACTAAGTTTTTAATGACAGTACTTGATTCTAGATCTATGATCTTTGACTTCTTTTGCGAAACAATGCAAGCTAGCCATTGAGCCAAATCAAACACTGGAAATCCCCTGTGATGACTCCCATAGTTGCACTATTGCCATGTGTCGCCGTGAGATACATTCGAATATGAGAATACGGCAGACTCTGCTCTGAAGCTTCACAGGCAAGTGTGCATCAAAAATCAAAAGTTCTAGTGTCAGACCTCTTGTATCAGCAGCAGTGATTTGTACTTCAAAGATTGTCATTCGTAGTATGAGCGAACGATCTTGTTAGCATCATGAGCGAGAGCTATAGATAAGCAGGTAATGGGCCAGCAGCGTGCTAACTTTAGCATCCTCCAGTTCCCTTCGACGAGCAAGATCGAGCCAGCTCTTCTGTGCTCCCTGGGGCGGGAATTTAGTTCATGTGATGCCAGCTGTTCATCGATAGCGATAGAATGCCCGACATCTTTCCTGTATGCTAGTCGCCCTTATACAATCTTGAAGAGTTGACCTGATGCACCGTGCACGTTCCAAGGTGCCGTCTTGCATTCTGAGCCATCTCTCTAACTGGGAGCTAAAAGACTGCATACTCTGTGATGTATGGAGTGCTGCTTCGCCGGCCCTTTTGTGAATCTCATCCAACAACTCTTTCATGTCTTTCTCAATGAGATGTCTCGGATGCGAAGAGCCGAACCATGGATCGTTGAATACGGGATCGGTGCACTTGAGCCGCCAACACAATTGAATGAGTTGCACTTCACCTTCAGACTTGGATCTCGTGGCTCGGTAATCCTCAAACAACATAGTGCCGATCTGTAGAAGGACCGAATAGTCGAATACTTTCCTTGACAGCTCGTGTATATGGATGGTCAACCTGATAGAGCTCAGGTTACGTGTCAGTGGGAGCCTGTGTTCGAGCTGTCGTAAGCTCAAGAAGCTGTGGTTGTTCTTGATGATCGGTGTCAGGTGAATCTTCAAGAAGAAAGAACACTTTGAATAGAAGCGGGGGANCAGTCCAGAGCGCAGCGACGAGCAAACCATCAACAGTAGGGGCTGGTAGATGACTAGCTTGTCAATAGCGTCGCTTCGAGGTACAACCTGTATCATGTAGCAGCGATGTCTGAGATGATTGCTACAAGCAATGTGATCAAATATCATGAAGAGGATTTCAAGGGGCAGGTCGAGAAGCGTGACGGTCCTTTGCCGTGGTTCGGTAGTTTTATGCTTCGAGAGAGCACGTTTCAGGGCCCATCTTCTCACTATGTCATCATCGAGTTGGTGACTTGGTACAAGATATCGTGTCCTCCAAGAGGCTAAGAATGAGTTCAGCGAGATACGGTGGTATGAGTTGGGCAACAAAGACTTACTTGAGGCAGATTTGATCCTGATTTTGTGCTTGGCCACGTTTGAGCGTTTGACTTGGGCCTTCTTCTTCGTCATGGCGAATGATGCAGCTGCAGATGTTACGACGGCGGCAAGAGCGGGCAGTGAGTGTTGCCAAAGTGGCGTTGAGGTGTATTGATAGCAATGTCAAGCGCGCTGGAAATGCTGATGGTGGCTGCAACGAGAAGATTTGATGCTGACGGAAGAAAGAAAGAACAACGCTGGAGGCAAGCGTAGCCAACAGAGTTGGATGGTACTGTAGCTTCTGAGCTGTGTGAGGAAGGAGCGACTTCCTCGTCAAGCATGTGACGTATACCGACAACAGCTCCGAGAAGCAGGTCAGTCTCAATTGAGGAGCAACACAGAGCCTCCCAAAAGCGGCATCTAGTATTCCAAGTAATGTGCCCAATCCTTGAACTTCTGCCACACACCCAAAGGATCTCGTTCAATCTCAACCAGATTCTGCATGCCAACTCCATCTCTGACTTGTTGAGTGAGCGCGTGTACCATAAAGGTAAGATGACTCCCCGATCCATGACTTTTGACCACATCCACACTAAGCTTCTTCAACAACTTCCACACGGGAACCACGAAATCAAATTCCATCCGGAAAAGCTCTTCCACGCCGGGGTCGACAGTCGCGCGAGGATCTTGGGGTGAAGAGTACGCCTGTACCAGCGTCTTTGCTAGATTCCATGTGTGTACCACTCTGACTGGGTGGAAATCTTGCGGATACAAGATAGGGTCGATGAGGAAGTATGTCTTTGCCATCTGGTACATTGCGAGAGAAAGGCGGTTTTCGGCTATCATGCGAGAAGCGATGTCCACGCGGATGTTTGCGTATGGTTGTCTGGTGATGGGCCACATATTCGTTTGCTTGCAGATTCGCATGACATTCTCGAGCGCTTCTATAGCGAGCTTGTTGTCCTTTTGGTTGTATATTGGCTCGTAAGAGGCATACACATCGCCTTGTATGACCGACATGTTCCACTCAGCTTTACTCTCGCCCAAAAAGTTTGCTGGAACAGAAGAATAACCCTCGTGGCTGTCCATGAGTTCGGCAAGATCGGCCCATTTAGCCTCGAGGTTCTCGAGTGGTTGTGCCCAGTCGTCTTCTCGTCCATTAATGCCAAGTTGGCATTTGGAGCATTGGCACTCAAAGCAGTATCGGATCGTCAACTGCGCTTGTCTTCGGTAAAAGGGGTCTGTATTATCGACATAGGAGATAAAGACTTCTTGGCCTTTCTTGATCGGCGACAAGGAGCGCATCATGAGTCTGGGTTGATCGAAAAGAACACTTGCGTTCGGCTCGCAAGAATGATTTGCTGAGCATACAATTGGATCGAGAGCAACACCCACGGGTTCGAGAGTGGGGAGGGTGAGTGTCAACGAATTACGAAGAATCTGTCCTCGTTTGTTAGCATTGTATGAGTTACGGTATTGGTAATGAAATACTTTTCCAACGTATTCGCGAATTTTGTGGCCATCATGATCATCAGGGCTGAGGCGGGCAAAGAGATCTCTTGCCGCAGCGACAGTCACTTCATACTGCATAACTTCTCTAAATTGTTCGATTGTGGACGAATCATGGGCTTCAAGGCGACGCACACCTGCCTTGTCTTCTTCAGATACGGCATCGCTGTCCATGAGACAAGCTAATTGCAATGCTGCTCGTACAGCACTTGGCAGAGGCGGAAGGTCCGGGTCTCTGAGTAGCCTACATTCGCGTTTGTGATATCTGGTCCAAGCCTGCTTTTGACAAACNNCTATGTTGCACAAGTGAGCCTCTGGCCATGTTTGGAACATGTTACAGAAGAAACATAGGAAGCATACCTTACTACAATATTTCACCTTCTTACAACCAGTACAAGCCTTGACACCCAACATTTCACCCACGTGCTGACAACCAGAACAGTCAGGAAAGCGACTCAAGCGATCGGCTTCTGTAGCGTGTATAGAACATGCCCGTATGGCCTTCTGCGAAAACAGAAAACAATTCGCACACGAATCCTGCAACCGTGGCAAGTCCAGTTCGCCAATCAAAGGGCGAGCTTTGAGCAGAATCGTAGAGCCTACTGGTATATCTTTGGTTGCGAAGAGTCCGTTGCCTGCGATCGCTGATGGTCGGACTTCCACGTTGCATTCTGGTGTCGGAGGTGTCATGGTGGATGTGGGCGGCGATCCTGGTTGGGAGGCCATGTTTAGGGCATACACAGACACAGCTGACGAGTGGCAGCAAGTTGATGTCGCTTACAGATGTGAAGAAATTACATCAAGCAAGTCGGACGGTCGAACTCCAAACACGAAATCACGCGTTTCGCTACGTCATATATAAAATTTACTGATATTCACAAGAAGTGCGAGCAACATGTGAAGATGGAGAAGAGCGATTCTAATTGACTGATCAAGGGAGCAGGCGTGCTAATGATATGTAAATGACTCGCTGTGGATATCCTGTGAGAATAACAGAAGGGAAAAGGTGACAAAACCATGAAGAGTAAATGAGGCAAGAATAAACAATATTTCTAACAAGGACAACGAAAGAGGTCCAGCAGCACGCTCGTGTGCACGTTTCGGTTCGTTTCAGGGTTCTTGGAGATCATTCCTAATCGTCATCCATAGGTTTATCAACGAGTTCGACGCCACGTTGGGCCAATGCCTCTTCCTCTGCGCGCTCTGCAACGTCCACAGGGCTGTCAACAAAATCAGCAGCAGGTGCGGCAGCGGCAGCGGCAGCGGCACCGGATGATGAAGTGCCTACGCTGCCGACACTCTCTCGCTTGCCAATCAGACTCTGGCGTGACAGGCTGCTTGCCGTACCCTTACGCGCAACACGACCCATCGATCGGTTCAGAGAGTTGCGCTTCTCGACCTCGACAGATTGACGGTTGTTGTTGATGCCCGAGCTTGGCTCCGGAGCTATGGAGTCGGCATCACTCCCAGCTTCTTCGTCGTGCTGTTGTTCTTGAGCATGGGCAAGATAGTCAGGAGCTTCTGTTTGAGCGCCGGGAGTCATGACTACAGAGTTGATAGTGTCACTGCGTTGACGAGCGAAAGGAGCTGCAGCATCTCCTGATACTGCAGAGTCGGAAGAAGATGGCATAGAGTCGGTTCTTCCATTGCCCTTGGGTGGCGACTGCAGCAGGACAGGGGCGCGGATCGGAGAACCAGGCACCTCTAGACTGCCACGGTTCGCATTACGGACGTCGGTAGGGGTGCTTGCTGCAGAAGGGGTGACGGGGAATCGTGTCTCGGCACCTGAGCTGCGGTCTCTCTTGTGCATGGATCCAAGAGGGCCGCCAAAGGTGGACTTGAAAGGGCTAGACGCACGGCCACGGGTCTCGGCAGCAGCGATAATGGCTCGTTGCCGCTCTTCCATATGCTCACGACGTCTGCTCTCATCGGTACTGATAGCGCGAGGTCTCGAGGCACCAGAGTTGGTGTGCGTCAATGACGACTGGCGCTTGAGCTCACCAAAGATGGTGTCTTTGTGAGCGAACAGATCACGTACGAGCCTGTAGTTGAACTTTTCGTTCAGTGAAAGAGTGTTACCTTGCTTGGGACGAAGTATGCAGGGCGCAAGCGTAGTGGACAGGGCTGAGATGTATCCCTCGTCGGCCGATGTCAGCTCAATCAAGCGCGTGAAGTGGGTGGTAATGGCATCCAATGTGGCAATATTGGCAAGTCTGAGTTGGCCAAGCGTGCTTTGGATCACAGAGATGCGTGCGGTCTCCGAGGTGTTAGGTGCGGTGCTTGTGTAGATCGTCTTGATGATTTCATAAACATGTGCTGATACCAGAGAATCAGGAAGTTCAAGCAGATAAAGCTTCAGAACAGATGCAACGATGGGGATTTCATAACGATCCAGCGTGTCTTGAGACACTGTGTCTTTGCCAGTATTGAGAATGTTTCGCAGATGATGGGTAGCAGCCAAAGGAACGTCCACAAGCCAGATGCTGCGACGGGCTTCGTCTCCTTCGAGCTCAGGGTAATGATTGTCGAGGAAAGTCAACAGAGTGGTCACGATCAGAGGGACGCGCTTTCTGTCCGCACGAGCGCGGGCTTCGATGTCAATGCCGAAAGTTTGCTCGTCGACATTGTTGTAGTAGTTTTCGTAGATGGTGACTTTGGGCACGAATGGACCAGTCCTGTAGTTCTCCAAGAGATAGCGCAAGTCGCCCAGCGGCTGAACAGTCTCCTGGAAAAGCATCATGTTGTCGACAGTACTTTGCAAGCTGGGGATGACATTGCTAATGGCTCCAGAGAAATCCAGGATCACGCTCTTGATGGCCTTTAGACGATCGAGCTCGCAACGCTCCATGAATTTGAGGTGGTCAACCATAGCCTCCTCGAGGTTGCAACGGAGAGCATCAAGCTTTCTTACAGCGGCCTTGTAGCGTTCATCGGCCTCGCGAGCCTCCCTACGCAATTTGGCTGCGGGAGTTTCGCCCGGATGAGCGTTGCTCAGAGGGTTCCACCCGGAAAAGAGTTCGCCAACAGCACCAACAGGCGAGTCCGGGATCGAACTGACGGATGAAACTGTGGCAGATCTGCCCATGCCTCGTCTTTCGGGAAGGCCAGTGATTTGGAAGACCTTGGGGCGCCACTGGTAATTCATGCGACTGCTGTTTGCGAAGGTGCTTCCAACATTGCCAATCAGTCTCAGGAAGCCGTGGCCGACCATATCCTGACCGATGCGCTCGGCGTAACTGACGCTCGTACCGTTCATGTGCTTCTGAATGTAATCAGTGATATCGGCTCCGGTCGAAACGTTATGGTATGTGCCGAGAATGGGCACCTTGGTCTCGCCTAGCTTGATGGTTTCGAGCATGTGGTTGAGGATCTTCTTGACCTGTTCAGGGGTGTACGTCTGATCACCGATGTCGATGGGTTCAGGTTCGTCCTCCTCTTCAGGTTCGGACAGCTTGACGACTGGGATTTGCGAGGCAGGCTTGGGACTTTGGGCGGCCTCACTCAGAGGATCCTGGAAGGCCAGCTTCTCTTCCTCGTCCAGATCTTCGACACGGCGGCACTTGTTGTAGTACTGGCTGCGGTAGGTACGGACGTGGTCGGCTTGTCGGTCGTGGGCTTTGATACGTGCTTGCAGGTCGTCCTGAGAGTTCTGTACTCGAGCGGCGTGGGCATCGCACCAGCGGGCGAAAGGGCTTACAACAAGCTCGCGGATGTTGGATGCGATCTTGCGGTGATTTTTGGCCGCCTCGCTCATCTCGGAACGCATGCCCTCAAAGGCCTGATTGTGTTAGCCGTCTTCTGCCTGCTTTTGTGCGGGACACGGCACTCGGCGACGCACCTTCTTGACACTGGCACCATCGTCTTTCTGGAATCCTCCCTCGACCTTTAGGGTAGCAGCATCGATGTCGCCCAGGCGTTGGCCGTAGAGGTCTTCAGCTTCGGCTCGCATGCGCGCAATCGTCAGGACCTGCTGATTCTCCTGCACGCCCTGCTGGAGCTTGCCAAAGAGGACTCCCAGTCNCTGGCGGAGGGTTAGCACGAGCAGACCAAGGAACGAATTGAGCACACCTCCTGCATAACTCTGGTCGGACGACCAGAATGAATTTGCGAAACTCGTCATAGTGGACGTCTGGCGACGACAGCTAGTCGAGCGAGATGAAACAGACGAGGGTGTCGGAGATGGTAGAAATCAAGGGCCTTCCCCAGAAACGGTCGTCTTGACAATGATACAGTAGCACCGAGTGTGCAGTCTTCGGTGAGTTGGACCAGCAAGGCGAAGGAATGGACGGAGTAAAAGGCCTGCTGAAGGAAGTGACCAGGCCACCGGCAGGTTTATCGTGTTGACGAGCAAGAGATTGAGCTCGGTTGAGGCTCGAGCGACAAAGGCTCTCTTTGCCTTAAGTTGAAACGCCGTATTCTACCCTTGGCAGCCAGCAGGAACCCTGATCGTGCCTCCTTCGACAACGCGCCTGTGCTTGCCATTTTTAGCCCTCCCAAAACTCAATAAACAAATGTCTTTTCACCACCTTCTTCACACTGCCTCCATTGCCACTGCACTCTTCTCCGTCATCCCACCATAAGGTTGAGAGCACGAGCCAGACAAGTCGCGTCGCAATTTGTATACGAGAAACCACGCATTGGCCGCGTACTTCATCCTCTCCCGCCTAAGCGTCGACAACAGCAGCACAAGCTTCACAGACAAGCACTCTCGAACGTGTTACAACGAGTTTATCTTTAGGTCTCCCTGTGAAAGTATATAACCTGGACCGTCTTGTTCCATCTGTGGCCCGAAAATCCTTCTCCTCTTACGCCCGTCTGCCCGTGAAGCAAAGAAAGAGTGCCAGTGCCTTATGTTGTGTGAGGCGCCTTGTTGCTACTGTACTTGCTCCGCTTGTGCTCCTGACCTGCATCCTTGATCCTCCGCCATGAACGCCAGCATGATGAAATTGATGCAAAGATCCATTAACCGAAAGAACTGCCTGCATGTTGCGCCGTCATCGAGCCGGTCCCTCCTGCGCGACGTCCCAGATATGTGTAAATCCTCGAAAACAGTGAGAAAAACGAAAGAAAAGAAAAAGACACCAAATATACTCCCGTGATTCATAGCCTGCATTGAAAGAGCCAGTCTTCGGTGAAGGCCCTGACATTGATGTCCCGATTGTCTACCTAGGTGGTGTACCCATAGCTGTACCTGGTGACGAGGACGTTCTTGCCATGGGCCTGGTCGTAGATGTCGGAGTGGTCTGTCTCGGCACGATTTGCTGCCTGAGTTTACGGCGGAGACCATCGAGTCTGCCTCGGGTGCCTTCAATCACTGAACAAAAAAGTCAGTACACGCAAGCGTCGAGTCGTTCTTAGGATACTTACACTTNTAGAACCGCATCGCGATCCTCAGATTCCATGCCATTGATGGTGATGATTGCATTACCCGCTCTAGCCTTGTTTGCGTTTTGTCTCGAAAGCAAGGGATCATCGTCGTTCTCGAGAACAGCTTCCAGGAGCATGATCGATGTGATGTAACTAAGCTCGCAACCGCCAAAATCGGCTCCCACGAGCTCGTTGACAGCAGCAGCTCTGCTCATCTCGACGGCGCGGTCGAACATCAGTTTTTCAGCCGTGACGCCACTGGTCAATTGGATTTGATCAACAGCAGCGCTCAAAGTGTTGCCGGAACCCGAAGACTGCAACTGGCCGTGGTTGTCGGGGTGTCCTGGATGACCAGCAGGAAGCTGCTTCTGAGCCTCGATCAAGCGGCGTCCGACCAACTCGGACTTCTCGAGACTCTCGTTGAAGCGAGTGCGAGCCCATTGCACAACATTGTTCATCTTCTTGTTCATGTCAAGAGAGCTTTGCTTAATGTCGCCGAGTCTCGATGGAAGTGATCCAGGTGGCGTGTCGATCCTGCGTTGACGATCCCACCAGTACTTGACGAGATTGATGGTCTTTACCAGGATGGCCAAAGCCTTGACGTATAGGACAAACGCTTCCTCAGCCACCGCCACAATGGCAACTTGTGTGAGATCCTGGTTGTCAGCGTCCACACCAGTGTTGAGCGGTTGTTCCAGGGCACTGATCTGGCGGATTGTGGTCCTGTCTTCTGCAGAAGGAGTGGCGGGGAGCAATTGCCGGTACTTGACTTCTGCGAAGCCGTATACCACATCACTGCGAGTCGCGCCCTCTTCCACAATCTGGAGCATCCGAGTGTCCTCGTCGACGCTACTCGGGGAGTTTCTTCCGTCACCGATTGTCAATGGTAGAGGGGGTGCTGAAGACGCGGGGAAGCCAGCAAATCCTTGAGGAGGCGATATACCCTGGGGCTGTCCGATAATTGCCTGACGTATGCGATTATTGGCTGCGCTCAACGCGCGTGACAAGTAGTCTGTAGGCGTGGGAGCCTGACCACGCTGGTCGAAAGAAGGGCGACGACCGGGGAGCGCGTTTGCTTGTCTGCTGCCAGAGACTGTCTTTATTACGTTGGAGACGACCGTGGCGCCAGGCACTCCTGGGACCGTCGAACGACGAGTCATGTGGTTTTCGGGCTGTCTGTTGCGGTCCGCGAGCTCATCGGCAAACGCATTGACTTCGACGGCCTTCTTCTCAACCATAACATACTCTTTCTCGAACGTCAAGTCATGAGCAGTGTTTGTGTCGCGTGATTCCCGAGAGATCTTCTCATGCATGGGTGATGTCTGCGGAGCCGAAGAACTAGGAGATGGAACGTAGCGTGGGTTGCTAGCCCTGCCTTGGTGGACAGGAGCTGCGTGCTGTAGCTCTTGGCGCGAGGGAGCAGTGGCAGTCGGAACTAGGGGTGGTCTCTTCTGTTCCGTCGGACCGGCATATCGCTTCATGTCAGCTGTAGTCGTCGAAGGAACAGCGGCTTCAGTTTGACGACGATTGATAGGCATCTCAGGTCTCTTAGTAGGTTCAGCGCTCGGCGAGACGGGTGCAGCTGTGGGCCTTCTAGTCATGCCTGAGAAGGGATCACGAGCAGGTCGACCGCTGCCAGCAGTGTCGATTTCTTGCTCGGGGCTGTTGATGGATTGCTGCTGCAAACGAAGACTCAAGGCGGACATGGCAATGTCAGACTCAGATGCATCAGCAACACGTGGTTTGTCTTCATCAACAAGGCCTGGAATGTCGCCGATGATTGTGGAGCTTCCAAAGAAACGATCGAAACTGACACGCTGAGTAGGTTGCCTCTTCAGAAGAGATTTGATCGTGTCCTTGAACTCCCGAGAAACAACCAGGCCAGCTGGAAACTGGATCATGTCCTGTGCTTGGTCGATCTTGCGAAGTAGCTCGACATGATTTGTCGCTTTGAAAGGGGGCCTTCCAGCCACCATCTCATAGGCCACGGTGCCAACAGACCACAAGTCTGCCTTTGCATCATACTTTTGATAAGCCAAGATTTCCGGAGCCATATACAGGGGCGAACCACNAAGGGTTTCGGCCAGCGAAGTACTGGCAAGGTGACGAGCAAAACCAAAATCGGCAAGCTTCAGCATGGGCAAAGAAGCCACACCGACAGCAGGGATGAGGGAGTTCTCGCTTGCGGCCAAGGGCACGTCCTCTGGTCTTTGTTGCTGCATGTACGTTGGAGGCGGGTTAAGCAACAAGTTCTGCGGTTTGATGTCGCGATGGATCAGGTTGTACTTGCGCAGGTATTGGAGGGCACTGGCAATCTGCTTGAGGAAGTGTCGGGCCAGGACTTCGTGCAAACCACCGTTGGTCGCATTTGGATATCTGTCAAAGATATCATGCGTCTCAGGCAGTGAAGCAATCCGGGCTCTACCCTTCATGAAAGCAGCCAGATCCGACATTTGACAGTACTCCATGACCAGATGGATGTGCTGTGGCGTGTCGACGCATTCAAACAAGGCAACGATGTGAGGGTGCTGGAGCTTCCTCAGGATGTTGATCTCAGAGTTGAGATTCTCTCTCAGCTTTCCAGTCAACTTTCCTGTGACGACTGACTTGATAGCAGCGAAAGACTTTCGCTTCTGTTGTGTACGTTAGCGACAAGAACCATGGAAGATGCAAAGATCTGGGCGGCATACCCTGTGAGAGGCGAGATAGACAGTAGCGAAACTGCCCTTGCCAATCTCATTCTTGCGGATGAAGTCACCCACAGGGACCTCGACGAATGGAGCCTCACGACGGCTGTGACCTGCGGAGGTGCGATGTGTCGCCATGTTGATGTAGCTCGGCAGGGCAGTGGTTGGACTGAGGGACCTGGAGCAAGGTGGCTAGCAATGCATCTGTGTGTTCCGGAGTCGACGATTCGAGGCGCGCTGGAGGAAGGGAAGTGGTATTCGATGGAGGGGCGAAGGCTGTCGAGTTGGGCGTTCGACGTCGATATACGGGGTTCGACGAGGGTCGACTAGGAATGTACGTCGACAGCAATCGGATGCAGAGAGTATAAAGGTGATAACGGAAGCGAACGGGGCAAAGACAAGGGCGAAGGTCGAATGGATCAGATGGCAGTCGAGTCAGTCGGCAGCGAAGCCTGTCTCGAACGGTGCTGGGTTGTGACTCGGCGAGACGGGGTACTCGTAATCGACAAGGGATGGACAGGCGAGAAAGAATGTAAGAGGCAGCAAGCGGCGATGCGATGGCTATAGTAGTGGATATTCACAAGATTGTCGTGTTGTAGGGAAAGTAGGAGTAGCGTCGACGAGATGCAACTCGCGAATGCAGACTGAAGCCGCAATCAGAGCACGTTGATCGTCGCCGCGACCCGCTCTTTTGGCACACGATCACGACTTTGGTCACGACCGCAACAAGATGATGACTCCTCCTGTCCCCTCCCCTCCTCCTTTTTTTTACTTTGGCTGTATTGCCACTGCCCTCCTTTCTTCTGATGAGCGCCTGAGTCACCGCTATCGACGGGTTACGCGCCAGTGACTTGATTCTGTCACGAACAGCGAGCGTACACGGAGCTTGGAGGAGATAAGCTTGCTCATAGATAAGCATGTGCCCACTCAGGTGCTCTGGAAAGTCTAGCCTCGACTTGCTTTTTGCTGCTGTGATGCCTGGATGGGACGAGGTGTGCGCTGCCTGTGACTTTGCGTCTGTCGTCCTTTCTGAGCAGACCCGTCTTGCCTTTCGAGAGTCTATCGCTTCACTCGGACAACAAGGATTCTGTTGCTGCCTTTGTACGGAGTCAGTATTTGTGTATTGACAGTCATGTGATCAGACTTCGAGGTTTCGTTGTCAACTTCAACGTTGCTGCCTGTCTGAAGGACTTGACTTCCTCCCATGCAGCAGTGTTCTTGGACACATGCCCTGTCAGTGAGTAGACTCTGTTGAGTGACAGCATATCACATGCGAAAAATGTACAGTCGGCTGTTACAAAGACGATCTGTTCGTCACAGCAGTCGTTCCAACCATGCCATGCGACCTGGACAACAACCCCTGCGTCACTGATCCGATTGAACGTGAAGCCATGTACTTTTCTGATAGAGAATGTATGCATTCTGTCCTGGGCCCGATCGTACCTGTGGAGAGTCCATAAATACGTCTGACACAACAACCGTCAGGTTAGGAAGAAGAACCAAGTCCCCAGTCCAATTTCAGCATGTGGAATTGTGATGCGATTTGGGCGGATGATCTTGGTGGGCCAAGACGTCCAAGTAACGAGGTAAACATGTTAGAGCATCGTTGCTCGAGGTGATCCGGACTACTCGCAATGATAAGAAGCACCACCGTTGCAGTGCAAACCCCTCTGATGCTTGCAAATTCAGATCGACCGAGTACACCCTCGCTGTCGTCTGATATTGTGAGATGATACAAGCAGGACCGACATTGGGACGAGCTGAACGATTAGCCCAAACTCAAGAAGCGCCCTAGCATGTCCTAGCCCATCAACAATCAGTCCCACAGCCACATCATCGATATCTCTGGAGCATAGCATAAGAGAATATATGTATGCATATTGAGCCGCGCAGACCATTCAAAGGAAGAAGATGTGGTCAAAGAGTAGAAATAATGCTTCATCAAAGCTACGTAGATTGTACCCTCTAAGCTAGTCATCAATATCATTGTAGTCGAACCGCTAGTATCCATTCACCAATGCCTTCCCAAACTCAAGCATCCCAGACCAGAGAACTCCATAAAAATGCCCAATCAACAAGCCAAACTGCACTGCATCTCTACGTGTAATCCCCTTATATATCATCATGTAGTCGTCCCTCATTTATCATGCTCTAGAAACAGCTCCGTAATCCTGATTCGAGGTGCGAGGAAGCAGAGAGTCTCTCTCGTTCCCATTGTCCGATCTGCCAACAGGCTCACCGAAACTGGGCACCCAGCCGCGCATCCAGCCGCTGACTCTACGCCAGCGCCAGTTCTCAGCACCAGATTCTTCCAGTACGACAACCTTTGAATTTTCACTCTCGCCGTACATGAGGAATTGCACACCAACAGCCGCGTCCATGATAAGCACACCGGCCGCACCAAGCCAGAATGGCAAAGCCCGCATGAGCCAGTCATAACGGACATTGGGTGTATTCTCAACCCAACCATGCAAGCCGTGGGCAGGTGCATCGGCCCAGAGATTGGGGTTCGTAAGCATGCTAGTGCTGTAGAAAAGGTTTCCAAAGAAAGCGGCGATGAATAGATGAGCACTAAGACCTGCAGTCGATTTTCTGGCCCAGTTCTTGTAAAGTTGTGGCAACCGGCTGCCCAGATATAAAAGCGTCGACAACCAGGAAAACACAGTACCAGCGGCGGCCAGACCCGAAACTTTACTAACAGGCTCGTGGTGTCGAGGGTGGTGAATAGGAGAATCTAATGGTGATGCGTGGGCAAGAGAGATCAAGCAGGCCAACAGCAGCACAGTGCGAGGAGATGGTGACTGGAAGGAAGAAGAAGCCTGGACGCGATTGATGGCACGTGGGCTCCTTGGTGAGCCGTATTTCTCGACATCCCCAAAGACTGGCATGCGCCACATGCTTGCTTTTCCATTGCCAGTGGTATTGATATCCTTGGCCGAGCTCTTTCTTTCCGGGCTGTTAATCCTCTCAAACGTGTTCTCACGACTCATTACCGGCATGCCCTCGATGACCATCTCTTGACCTCGGCCAGATTGATCAGTACCATCTCTGTCTGGCCACATCTGTCGAATCCTGTAGCCATGTCGTAGACGTTCGTACCAGATCCACTGAGCGACAAGCATAAAGTCCACAAGGCAATAATACCCTGCTACTATCATTTGCCATGTTGCCTGCTTTGTGAAGACGGCTCCGAGAAGGTTGCTGACATCTCCTGCACACCACTCCACCAGAAAGAAGATGGACAGACCAGACGTGCTCTTAATCTTGTAATTCTTGTATATCTGTGGCATCTGTGCGAACAGCCATGATACGATAGAGAGGGTGCCCAATAGTGTCGATATGAAGGCCAGAGGAGTCGGCACACATGTGTGAAATGTACTCGAGAAGCGGGTCAGGAAGTCGTTTGTCGGGGTGCAATAGGGCGGCAGCTCAGGCTGGAAGGTGAGAGCCTGCCATGACATCGTCGGAGGAAGGACTCGGCGTCGCAAGAGTGAATGTTAGGTCGTTAGGTAGGCGGTCGAGCAGCGAAAAGGACGAACAATACAATAGGTGTGAGATGGAAGAAGGAAGAGTCACGAGGAGGTATGAAGATAGGTGATAGACATGTGCTAGATGACTCAATACGGATCCATGACAAGATACGGATGATAGACGCTCACGAGACGAGTATGTTTGAGGGCGAGACGACAAAAACAACCAAATGAACCCATAATTCAACGCTACCTGCTGATAATGGACAAGAACCGTCTGGATGCCCAGGAGAAGAGCGCATCACATGGCCAGACATGCTGCTGTTCGCCGCGATAAGGCGTCTGAAGCCAGAGATAAGCGTCATCCGCTCCTATCATTCGGGCCCGCAATCTCGGTGTGTGTGCGCGAGTGAGGTGTCTGGGTGTTTTCTTTTCCTCAGCCGTAATAACCATTTAACAGACGGATATCTCATCGTGATTGCTCACTACTGAATGCAGGTACAGGCAAATGTCGGCGGGACAGTGTGGGAGGGTTTGTCCAGAAATTGACAAACTGCTTCGTGGAGTTGTTCTCCCAAGGGTCCACTGCCCCACGCTCTTCTCCCCGCGATGATCTTTGTCATTGACGGTTGTGTTCAATTTTAGACACCACGCTCGGAGCTCTGGCAATCCGGCCTGACAAGTGACTCGGCAGAAATCTCTTGATCAGTCGGGTCGCGCACTCCTGCTTGCTCGCCAACATTATCATAATGCATACCAGGCCCAAAAGAGGCAGGCATACCGCAGGCAGTCTATGTTTTGCGGAAATAATTCCGTGGTAGCAGCAAATGTGGATCAAGTGCCAACAATGCCACCTCAAAACCAGCCGCTGTTGCGTGGACCGTTGATTCGCGAGGTTCACAAATCATGGGAGTGTGTCACATGGGTGGCGGGTGCTTTCTGCATACCACAAGTGACAAGATTCTCCTTGCACGCATTCTGCGTCACCGTTCTGTTGATCTCGGCCACGAAGCGAGCTACTGAGTGACTACGAGGTTGACTATCATGAAGCCCTGACCTTCTTCGGTAGGTGTTCCGTGCTATTGCATCTTTTCATGGTTCGCTGCCGCGTCTGCAGGAAACAGCAAAACATGGAAGATCTACGCTGCTATGTGCAGTTGTGAAAGAAAGCAGTTGACGCTCTTCGAATTATGCCTTTGAGAAGATCCTTACTGTCGATTGTTCGCAAAGCCTAGCCAAGTCGTCTTTGAAAGTTGATATTTGATTCATTAGACGCAATCTCTTATGAGCTGCTGTAGCTCAGTGGTAGAGCGTGGGATTGCAGTTTCTGCAATTATCCTAAGGTCCGTTGTTCGACCCAGCGTAGCAGCTTTCCTTTGCTCTGGTCTCCAGGCCCCATCGTTTTGCTTCGTCCATGCTCTCGGCTTTGCATCTTTCGCGAAAACGACGATCTCACACTCAAAAAGCTTCCAAGAAATTTCCGGACCGGCATATTGTCGATCGCAGAAGGAATCACGTTCATACACTGCTGAGTCCATCGCAGCTTCGTGATCCCGGAGGGATTCCAATACGTGTCTCACCTCCCGGCAGACCTTCTCCAAATGACAAACATACTCGCAATGAGCGTCTCTCAATACTTCATGACGTTGTGGCCGCCGGCGCACCCGATTCCTGCAGG